GCAGTTGGAGTATGTCAGAAAGAGGGAGAGGATATCATAATCTACTAGACTGATATTAGTGACTTTGAAGGAAAATAATTCTCAATATTTTAAACTATGTCTATCATCTTGTTAAATTATTACTTTACTTGGAGTTATCATCAATTTATGGTAATAATGAGGTTTTACACTTACATTTTGAAAGACTTATATAAACAAAATAGTATTAAGTTCTTTTATAATGTTATTTCTGTAGTTCCAATTTTCACAGCAGTGAAGTTGCCAGACTTTTCTATAATTCTAACAATCTAGAATGTACTGTGTAGTATCAGAGGAATGGCATAAAGTTTAACAATGCAAAAAATGAAAAAAAGTCTCCAAAATAGACTTTTGGACAAGATGGTGAAACGTGAACTAGAGATATGCCCTCAAACTTTTATACCTGGTACTCATTTCTCCATTAAAGAACCTTGGTAAAAAAAAAAAAAAAAAAAAAAATCAGTAGGCTCCATATATTGCAAGCAACTAGTTAAAAGTTATAATGTAAGAAAAGACTCCATTTATAATAGCAACACAAAAAGTATATAGGAATAAACTTAACAAGTAGGTAAAGCCTATATAAAGAAAAATTTGACAGCCTACTTAAGGGCATGTAGAAGGACGTATCTTGTATTGGAAAATTACAATGAAGTCAATTCTAAGTTAATTTGTAAATATAATCAGAACCTGGAGTGTTTTTTTCCCTCTGAAACTTGACAAGATGAGTCTAAAAATTCATGTGGAAAAAGTAGACAAGGAATAATAGCCAGGATTACTCTGAAAAATTAAAGGAGCAGTAGGAACCTCTGCCCGGTGTGCACAGCAGCACAGACTGTACCTCCTGTATCTATGCTGGCCACCAGGTGCTCCAGCCTGCTCAGGGATGCTGGGGCCACCCACTGCTGTCACCTTGGCCACTTCTCATCCGCTTGGAATTAGCAGTGAAACAGTTTTGAAAGCAGCTTTGATTACTGAGCAAGGAACCTTGAATTTATTCAGTAAGTTAATCTTGACACTGTATATGGCCGTCTTGTTTACTGCCTCTTTCGGAACACACTGAGAGAAAGACAAGGGAATAATGGCTTTCATGTCACTAATCCCAGGCAAAGGTGTTGGGCTAGTAGTCCATGTTACCCACTAACACGTGGAGTGTGTGGGAGGTAACTAAACTGGGAGTTCCAACCTTGGAGAAGAAAGGGCTGATTGTGATCGGAAAGTCAAAAAATTGTGGAATGTCCCAAAATGGATGGGCTACATGAACACCCTGGAAATATGTCACTGCTCCAACATCTTATCCATACGCACCAAATATGTACAGTTCCTGTAAAACATGTCACTGTTGCAAAACATGTAAACAAAGGGTTTACACACAGAAAAGAAATAATAGTGGTCTTTAAATATACAGAAAGATGATTCATCTTTCTATAATAAGAGAAATGCAGATCAGAGTTAGACTGAGAAAGCAGATTTCAAAAATTCATATGTATGATAGTGCACTCTACTGGTGAGTCTTATTTTGCATAAGAAAACAGGGAAAACAAGATATGTGTTTGTATTATATTTGTATAAAGAAACACCAGAAGGATAAACCAGAAACTTATGGGGAAAAATTTGTCACCTCTGTGGGCCAAGGGTAGGGGCTGGTGAACAGGGTGGAAGGTGCTGGAATGAGAACAAAAATTCTTTGTGAATAGTTTTTACATAGTTTTGACTTTGGACTCATGCAAAGATTATCCCAAAAATATCATGACTATGCTGAAGTTGTATAAGTGAATTTGAGTTTGGTTTTTATTCAGGAAGCAATTGATTCAACTCCAAAGTACAGCAAGTTTCCCTTTGAAGTTCATAATTGTTGTTTTGCTCAGAGACTGGGCAGAATCTACTTTAGATTTAAAATTCAATGTCAATGCAACACGTATCTCTTATTGTTTACCATAAGAGCTGTTAAATATATTAATTAAATTGCATGACACTTATTTGTTTTGGTTGGGGGGAGATGGGGAAGGGGGTCAGGTGGTCAGGTAACTTCTTTCGCGTCAGTATTGTGAAACAGATTGTGTCAATTATGTAATTACGTAATAAACCAGAGGCAGATATTTAAGTACAAAATCCAATTAAAAGATTACACCTAATTCAGATAAAAGCTCACACTTTTCTAACTATGTCAACTAATGACTTAGAATGTGTGAAAATTTTACGGAGTTCTAGAGAAAATTCCTAGGTTAGCATATCTTCTCCAACAGTTCTTCTGTAAAATATATTTTTTCGGAATCTTTGTTTCTCTCATCACTCACCCAGAAAAAAGCAAAACCCTTCCTATATTAGATTTACATCTGATTGGACTTCAGATTTTAAGTCCGGCATGCATGTAGTTCCAGCATAGGGACCTCCAGACAAGTTTATAAACCAATTTACCACTTAAATGCTCAACCAGTCTCCTGAAATCCAATCAATTGGAATTTTTTTAGTTTCAACTAATGGCACAGCTCCATTGGTTGTTAAAGGAATACATTTCTGTACATTGTTCCCTCTTTTCTTTAATGAGGTCATATTTGTCCGTGGAGATTTGAATTTGTTTCTGCTCAAAGCTTATGAGCACTCCCAACCTAATTCCACTTTTTTTTAAATTTTTTAATTTTTTTGCCGCGCCGCAGGGCATGCGGGATCTTCGCTCCCTGACCATGGATTGAACATATGCCCCCTGCAGTGGAAGCACGGAGTCCTAACCACTGGACCACCAGGGAATTCCCCTAATTCCACTTTAAATTAAAAGTCTGTTTATGTTTTTTGGACCTTCAAAATAGTGTGAAATTGGGCCTCAAACTCATATGAAGATAAGCCAGAAGCCATGAATTCTTATGGAAGACTGTTCTTCCTCCATTAAGAACCATGGTGAACTCAGCAAGTTTCTATGCTGTTTCTGCAGGACATTTTGTTTTCTAGGTCAACTTTTCACTGTGAGTGTAGCACTTCCTTATGTGCACAAGGATAGCTCTGACCCTGCTGCCTGCCCTTGGTGGGCCCAAGGCGCTGCCTCCTGTCCTTCTGAGACTGACCTTTAAAAACTCACACTTTAGGCCACCTAGCATGAGGATGCTTGAGATTTCCTCAGGGCAGGGCCTTCAGTGTTTGTTATATCCTTGGACTCTTATTCACACTTCTTCTCTACTCTTAAGTGAAATCTTTAATTTAAAACGTTAAACCATTCTTTTAGAGGGCAATATTAATATTTTAATCTAGCATTTCTGATATTTTCTTTTAGTAGAAGGATTTCAGGATCTCTGGTTCATCATATTGCTAGAAACTAAATTCTTACTCCTTGATTTGAGAACGGCTGCCTTTAATCATACACTTGGGATAGTTTGCCAGGATTGAAGGCTACCCCCTTTGAGGGGAAGAGAAAGAATTTGTCACCACCAGTGCCAATACACATACCTCTCTTTGACATTGTTTCGGCATCAAGTTTACTGAGTTTAACTTATTACCCTTGTTTTGAGCATCTTTTCTGTTCAAGACTCTGTGCTTGGCCTAAAAATTCTTGAGGGAATTAGCAGAGAGGGAATTAGTTTAGTATAGATCAGTGTTTGACATGCTTTCTACTTTCAGTTGTGATGCCTAACACAAAGGAGGTGCTGGAGAGAGCTTGAGACAATGTGTATGATGGTTCAATGCAAATTTTGGGAAAACAGGCAGTGGATTCACTAGACCTCTATAGACTTTGAAGTTTGAATGCAAGTTTCCTAGCAAAAAGTAACTATTTGATAGAAAGGCACAGAAGTAGCTAAAGACAAATCAGAATTTCACCTTTGAATCTCTCATGTTAATCTCTTGCCAGTATTCTGCATAAAGCAAATGGAGATATTTTCTGCACTGTTACAAATTTAGTTCCTCCTCTCCCCTCTCTATATGTAGCTCACCTGTCATGGTGAGTGATAACCATACAGAAAAATTCACCTCTGTAAAGCCTCCTCTGAACTTCTTCAAGTTAGTTGCTTCATCTGTCTTTCCAGAATAATTTATACAAATCTCTCTCACTTATTGTGTGATATCATTGAAATGCACTGTTCCGAAATTGTTTTTCTTCCTAAATCAATTTGCCTACTCTGGTAATAGTCATAATGAAAGCTTCATTTGTGAGTACTTTATATGTGACTAGACACAGATATATATTACATTAAACCTTTATAACAGACTTGTGAGTATTCTATTTTACAGATGAGGAAACTGAGACTTATGGAAGATACTAAGTAAATTTGCCTAAATCTTACCACAAGTAAGTAGCAAGACTAGGGTTTAAACCAGATCTGACTCCCTCACCGTGATCTTGCTACCTATGCTGTATGGCTAAGACATTTCCTTTTTTTCTAGTGCCTGGAGTTGTTTCTAGCACTGAGTAGGCACTTGGGAAATATTTACTTAATAAAAAGTTAGTGAACATTGAAACACTGCTTTAATGAAAACTTATGAATTCATAAATGATTGCTAAATATTTACACATACACCAAGGTTTTGAGTTCTGGGATATCAAACAATAGGATTCTGCCAGCTATCAAATTCTAAGTGTTTGTGTGCACAAACACACACACAGTATAAAATGTAATAGGTAAGTAATTGTCGTAGCGTTAGAAATTTAATATCACATACTGCAAAATCAAAATCCTCAGGTATTGTGTCTTTAATCTGTTTTAAGGTTACCATCCCTTAGATCAGATGTGGGCAGTACTACCTACATATAGGCCAAATGTGGGCTGCTGCCTGTCTTTATACATATAAAAGTTTTGTTGGAACATAATCGTGCTCATTTGTTAATTATCTGTGACTGCTTTTGTGCTACAGGGGCAGAGTCGAGTGGTTCAACAGAGATGATATAGCTGGCAAAGCCTAAAATATTTACTATCTGACTCAACAGAAATAGTTGGCCAGCTCCTGACATCGATCAGCTATTGTTCTATCACTCGGTTAACTCTTTTCTGTATTTCCAGCATCTTCAAGATAGATTTGAAATTCAGCCAGGCGATGCTGGTCTCTATATAAATGGACTTCATGTTGATATGGATTCTTATGATCCTTTTAAGTAAGTATTGAATTATTGATACAAACTGTGGTTTATATATGAAGGTACACTTTTGTCCTGAATTTAGTATTTGTTAAAATGCAAATAATCACTTTAAAGGTAAAGCAAATATATCTTTTTTTTTTTTTTTTTTTTTTTTTGCGGTACACGGGCCTCTCACTGCTGTGGCCTCTCTCGCTGCGGAGCACAGGCTCTGGACGCGCAGGCTCAGCGGCCATGGCTCACGGGCCCAGCCGCTCTGCGGCATGTGGGATCTTCCCGGACCAGGGCACGAACTCGTGTCCCCTGCATCGGCAGGCGGACTCTCAACCACTGCGCCACCAGGGAAGCCCCAAATATATTTTTTTGATTGTGCAGAACAACTCTGTTATTTTGGTAGAATATTCTCTTAATTGTCTTTGAATGTCAGAAATGGAAGAGACCTTGGAGAAATTTGTTCAGATGAGAAAATTGAAGTTTCTGAATCCTAGACCTATATTTGTCCTATTATTCGAAACTGTCTTTAATTGGCAAGTAGGTCCATCACTTAGCAGGGAAGTTTCTTGGGACAGAGCTGAGTAGCTAGGGAGCTGTACGCTCCAGAAAAGAACTGAAAGGAATATGAGATGCTTTCTCTGAGTAAAGAAACTAACAGGAAGAATTTTAAGAGCTTGTGTCTATCAGAAAAGAAACTTGAAATTATATATGGCTGGATGCTATCTCCTTAGGTTAAAAAGATTCCTCAAAAATGCTCTAGTGCAGAATTAGAAAGTCTTGTATTTATCATGGCCATTGACCTGTAAATTAAAGTCATGGGCCAAACAGAAGAGAAGTCAAACTGAATTTATTTTACTTTTTTTTTTTTTTTTTTTTTTTGGTACATGGGCCTCTTACTGTTTTGGCTCTCCCCTTTGGGAGCACGCGCCGGACGCGCAGGCTCAGTGGCCATGGCTCACGGGCCCAGCCGCTCCGTGGCATGTGGGATCCTCCCGGACCGGGGCACGAACCCGTGTCCCCTGCATCGGCAGGCGGACTCTCAACCACTGCGCCACCAGGGAAGCCCTATTTTACTTTTAAAGAGAGTCATAAAACTACTTTAAAATTCATATTTAGAATATAAAATGAATTTAGTAAACACAATACTTTAGTTCAGATATTCAGTTTTAATTGAATTCAGTTTGTTTTTATTGAACTTAAATTAATTGTTCATTTGTTTCATTTTCTTAGCACCTTGGAAATATATAGGAAAACACAGGGAAGATTGAGAAGTAGGGTTCAAGTGGGGCTTTTATCTTTATTTAGTTGAATTTTTGGACCTAATCTTGGGAAAATACTAATCTGAGATATAAAGGCCAAATACTACACATAGAGAAGAGCAGTTGTCAGCTCCTGGCAGTAAACTTTAGAGGACAGAAATTACATTTGTGCTCAAGAACAGTGAAAATAGATTTAAAAGAGGGCAGAAATGGTAGGTAGATTTTGGAAAGTTCTCTGTGGCAGTGTATGGGGAAATTTTCATAACAGGAACATTGTGACGTGTAACTTGGAAAGGCTACAGGTTATTCAAGAGATAGAGCCCCCTGGGCTCCTCCACCTGGTAATCAGTGATCTGCAGGGCGTGTGATACATTTTTGTTTCTTGTTGATCGGATCACTAGTTAAAACTACTATAATTCCCTTAAAGGAGAAAAAAGAAAATATGTGAGGATATTTATATCTTCTGACATTTTTAGCACAAAATAAACAATCAAAGAAAGAAGTTCTCAGGAAGGATCAGAGCATGTAGAATAAAAAGTATGAAAAGGTTGATGACTGAAAGAGAATGATTGAGGAAAGAGGAGAGGAAGGAAATGTCCTATTAAGTTATATCCTGGATCTTGAGAGAGGTGCTTTGCAACCAGTACTTTAATATTGTCGATTTGGGGAAAGAAAGTGAAGGGGGAATTATTTTTCTCTTTCTTCCTATCTCCTACCCTTGTCGCGTTTTGGGTTGTAGAGCTGGTACCAAGCCCACGCCCTAACCCTTCTTCCTCTGATTTCCAAGGAGCCAGAGCCTCCGTGCCTCAGCGTCAGGTCGGCCCAGGTTCACACAGGCTGTGTCCAAGCCCAGCTCTCACCCCCAGGGAGACTAGGACAGTAGGAGGGAGTGACAATGACCAGGGAAAAAGGCAGGTAGGACTGAGGAAATTTGAGGAGTTCCATAAATGTGTTTTATATATCTACCTTAGATGCATTTGCCTTAGAGCTACTTAATAGTCACCCCAGCCACAGAATGGACCAGACTCTGTTCAGGTCCAAGTGCTCAAGAAACTGACTCTGGTACATACTGGATGTTACTCATTTTGACAGCCAGCCTGTTCCTGCTTGAGTAATATCACTACAGTATAACTACCAGAAAGATAGAGGTAACGAAGGAGTCTTGATATTTGCACTTGTGGAGTTTTTCTATATCTTAATAAAGTTGTCTGGCTCACAGTTCTTTTGCGCTCTGGATTAAATATGTATTTGTAATGCAAGCAACATTAAAATTCAATATTATAAAATCAATTCAGTATTAAAATTCGATTTGGTTAATATCTGAATGCCTACTATGCTGTAGAGACTGCTAGATATCAGGGGTGTAGTGGTGAACAAGACAGAAACATCTTGCTTAAGCAAAATTTACAGTCTAGGAGGATAACTGATATTAAATAATTGTATTATGATAAGGTTTGTAAAAGATAAAGTGCAGTGCTTTGAGAGCTTTTAACTCCAGGGATTTAAACTTGTTCTTGATGGAACATGGGGACAGTGCATATCAGATTTCTTCAAGGAAGTGATATTTAAGGATGAATCAGGCAAAGTGGGGAGTTGAGGTTCTGCAAGCATGACATATTTGAGAAAATGCATTGTCTAGTATGGCCAGACTCTGCAGTGAGGAAGAATTAGAAGAAGCTTAGGTCGCACAGGTGGGCAAAGATCAGATTGTGAAACCAGGTTCTGGGTTTTGGCCTTTTGTCTCAAGGGCAGGAGAAGCCAGTGAAGGCTTCTAAGCAAATTTAAAGATAGTGACTATTCAAAAGGAGAAAGCATGAGAGGTTATTTAACAATCCAGAGATATAAGTTTTCCTGATAAATAAACCTAGCATATTTCAAGAACCAGATTTTTTCTATTGGTATCCAAAATTCAAGATTTGAGAAGAGCAAGGAGGAAACTAGTGCTTGTTGAGGGCAACTGTGTGCTCAGTAGGAAATTCATTTAATCGTAATACCCTATCAAGTGATTATTACTATTCTCTTTTTTATTGATGGGGAAACAAAGACTCAGATCTCACATAAAGATAGGGACATAGCTAGCAAATAGTTGCAGGATTTGAAATTTCATGCCCTTTTCAACGTACCACAGTATGTAACTCTATCTAGTTTTTCTATTGGTGGTTCTCCTTGGAAACTAGGTTGTGATAACAAAGATGATTGTTACAAAAGCTATGAGGAATATTATAATTCTGTCACACAAAAGTCAATAAGATCAATAAGCATCATAAAATTTTTTAAATGGAGAGAACATTGGCAATACCATCCAAAATTCTTATTTTACAAGCGAGAAAATTTAGACTCAAGGAATTAAGAACTTCAGGAAGCCCCACATGAAGAAGTAGTGTTATAGCTCCGACTAAATCTTACTACTGGTGATTTATGATATTCAACCTAGTACTCTTTTTATCACGCTCATCTTCTAATAGATTTGGGGGGAGGGGGTAGAAACTCTCCTTTGTAAAACAGTGGTCAGAGCTGTCTAGGATACAGACATGCTGAGCTGATGTCATACAGAGCGGCTTGAAATACTTCTAAAACAGCCTTCTTAAGAGTTTAGATATTAGATCTCTGCTTTTTAAATGTAGATCTCTATTGTCCTCCCCGAGAACTGTACTCTAAAGCCCATATATTGCTTTATTCTAATTCTTTTCATTTCCGAAAGGTGAAGTGATTTCCATGAATGGATTTTTGAATGAAGCACTTAGGTTAAATAAAATAAATATAAATTTTAACACTTGGTTTCAAAAAGTAATAATCAAAATTCCTCCTTACCTAGTAGATTTTTACCTTCTCAAACATGAACATGAACATGCTTTACCACAGTCTGTACAGCCTTATCCATCTTTGCAGATACAGGGAAGCACTGCGTTCCTATAGCCTTCACGTCCCGGCTCTTCCACTCTACTGGCTGAGTGACTGGGCAGGAGGCTTCACCTCTCTGAGCCTCATTGGTGTCGCTTGAGACTTCCTGAGGTTGTTTTGAGACACAGAATGAACTTGATAAACAGTAGTTTAAAGAATCAAACTGCCCTAACTTTTTGTCAGTAGGGTTATTTATTGATGTTGTTACTTTTAGCAGTAATACTTTCTAACATGTTTAAGAGCTATCAAATTATTATTATATATGTAATTAGAAATTTTAGTATGTATTCTCAACAGATGTGAACTTTCATACTTTAATGGGGTTTCCCCTGCATTAATATTTTATATTTTAGGTCATGTTTGATTTTACCTTGTTTTTGTAGTAGCTTTATCTAAAGAGTGACCTACTGTATTTTTTCCTTTCATTTTTGACCTGCTCAGTGGTGAGTATATCCTCACTTCTTTCGTGAAGTGTATAATAAATATACCTTGTTGTCTTATCCTTTAAATAAGAAGATTTTGTTACCACTTTAAAAAAAACCTCCGCATAAGTTTACCCTGGATAACTAGACTCCTTGTCTTATTTGTTAATGAGTTTAATAGTGTATTTTCCTGCTATTAATAAAAATACCAGTGAAACTTGTTTCTAATGCTTTGAGAAATCTATAAACTTTACAGGATTTAATAAAAATTTTTGGCAAATCAAAACAAAACATTTCTTTTCTTTAAACATAAAGTCTTTTGGATATGCTGAAACTAGAAGGAAAAGTGATGAACGGCCTTCGCAATCTTGGGATCAAAGAAGAACATATGAGCAAATTTTTAAAGTTAAGCTCGCCTGATTGGGACGATACCTATGCATTAGATATTAGACATTCTTCCATAATGGTAAGTATGCATGTAATTGCTCGCTTTAAAACCTTTAGTAGACTTCCCAGTTAACATAAAACCAAATATTGGCAGACTTTAGAGTAAATGTAAGCATTTTGAAAGATGTTGTAGGAGAACTCAGCGAGAAGAAAAAGTTAAAACTACAGACTCATCCCCTCTCACCCTTACATCTTCTTTCCCTTCCTGGTATTCTCTGTACTTCCTCATGAGAATATCTACTCAGCTCCTTCACTATCCTTTCCAGCTTTAAAGATAAAAACAAGTGAGAACAACAGAATAACCACATGAGCAACAACAAAATACCAAATGGTCAAAATCTGAGGAATATACGAATACCACCTTAATATAATGGAAATCTTGCCTAACCATTTGCAGTGGCCTCCTAACGTTCTGGTCCATGTATTATAGCCTAAGTGAATTTTTTTTGCAATCTGATCACATCCCTTTCCCTTGCTTAAAGCACAGAAATAGTCCATCATACGGCCTAATAGGTGTAAATGGCCTACTTCCTCCTCTCATATCTTAAACTATGATATATTCTTTTTTACCACTCTCCCTTATCCCGTGCTTGGAAAGCAGTTCTTCCTCTCTTTATCCAGTTGACCCCTACTCTTTTTTCAGACTTCAGCTCCAAAAAATACTTCCTGAGAGAAGCTTTCCTTAACTATCCAAAGTAGACGATTATTTCATATACGCATTGTGTCAAGGAATCCTCAAGTTCACCCTCAGGTTCAGTGGGTTTGCTAAAAGGACTGACAAGCCCTGGAAGTTGTTATACTCATGGTTACGATTTATTAGAGCAGAAGAATACCAAGCAGTATCAGAAGCAGAAAGGGCATGGGGTGAAGTCCAGAGGAAACCAAGTACAGGCTTCCAGGAGTTCCTCCTAGTGGAGCTGTGCAGGACATGCTGAACTGGATGTGTGACAGTCCGTGCAAAGTGCTGCCTACTAGGGGAGCTGACTTGAGCCTGAGAGTTCAGGGTTTTTAAGAGGGGTCTGGCACTTAAGCATATAATGGCCATGTGACTGATGTTAGTCACTGAAACTCCAGACCCTGAGAGAAAAAGCAGGTATTCATTATAAATCATATCGTTTGTAAAAACTCTGTACAAACTGCTAGAGCATGCAGCAGGCCCTCAGCGTGCAAAACACTCTTTTATCAGTCAGAACATTCCAAGAGCTCAATTCCCAGGAGCCAACCTCGAGAACCTTTATCAGGAACACAGGCCCTTCTTGGAAATGTGCAAGGTGTGGGCAACCCAGGCTTGCTGACTTAATCCTCTTTCTCTCTCTCTCTCTCTTTCTCTCTCTCTCTCTCTCTCTCTTTCTTTCTCTCTCTCTCTCTCTCTCTCTCTCTCTCACACACACACACACGTGTGTGTGTATGTATCTATATTTATTATGTTATAGCACTACCAATTGCTCTGTGTACTTAGCACAGTTATAATTTTACATTTATCTTGTGGTTCTTTGTGATGTCTTTGTTTCTTACTTGACTATATAAACTTCATGAAGGTAGGAATTTTTTCCATTTTTTCTCTCACCATTATATCCCTGGCTGTAGTAGGTACTCAATAAATATAAATATTCCTTGAATGAATAAGTAAATACTTATCTCAAACCAACATAAAACATAATTTTAACAGTGAAACTCCGGAAGCATTCCAGTCAGAACATAATATAAGTATGCTCATGTCACTGTTATGATTTAACATTATTATAAAAAGTATAACTATTAGAAATGAGAAAATAAAAATGTTGCATGACATAAGATTATGTAACTAAAACTCCTTAAGGGAAGGATTTATAATTAATAAGAGATTTTAGTAATATGGGTTTGAAGTAACTGTAAACAGATCAAAAGCTTTTTTTCCAAAAACCATTTGGAAGACAATGATTTATTCATAATAACATAAAAATTTAAATACCCTGATAATATCTTAATAACTACTATGTGATAAAATAGTCTTAATAACTAATAATAAAAACTACAACTTAACTGACGAGTTAGAAAAGAAGGATAAAAGGACACATGGAGAGTGTTAATTGGCATAGCCTTTTAAAAAATGATGGCTGCGGTGCTGTTAAGAAACTGTTCATATATACTTGAGCTAGTAATTTCACTGGAAACTTCCATAAAGAAGTAGGAAATGGAGAAAAATCATTATATCCAAAGATATCATTACTGCATATTTTTGAAACAACTAGAAATGAGTTAGCTATAAACAGAAATGTTGTAAGTTGTATAACCACACAATTATTATTCAGAGATCAAAATTATGTTTATAGATATGTTTTAATAACCAGGGATAATGACTATGTCCTCATGTAAATAAAAAATATAGATTTATATGATATCATCATGTGAAAAGATAGAGGATCAGAAGGAAATCTGTCAAAATATTAAGTTACTAATGGGTGATGTGGTTTGGTCGGTATTTTTTTTCATTCTTTTCTGTAAATTTCAGATTTTAACAATGGGCATTATTATATGATCAGGAAAAAAAGTTTTTAAGGGAAAAAAACATAACTTCACTGGACGTCATACTGTTTGTTTTCCTGTAGAAATTTAAGGGATTCGCTCTGAAGTGTAGCAGTTGTTACAGTTACTTTTGTCCTGTGGGAACAGCCGTCCCACTTATAGACCTAGTCCACCATCCAAGAATCATGGAACAATAACAGCACCAAAGAACTACCATATTCCCTGAACATCAGAGACCTCAGACTGAGGACAAACCACATATGTTATTAATTAGTTACCATCGTATTTTCTAGAACAATTTTCTAAATGATTTGTTTGTTGATACTGTTTTTTTACTACTCTTTAGACCATATTCTCTCATTAGCTAGATTTTACTCTTTCTTGGATATCTTTAAACTCTATAGCAGATATCTTTTCTAATAATGTTTTATCAGGAAAAGGAATGACCATGTTAGTAATCTTAATACTTTGTGCCTTTTATTTTAAGCATTTATGCTTTTGATCATTTCTAGAAGAATGCTGAGAGTAAGTCACACTGTTAAAATGAGGGAAGTAATTTTCAAGGCTATTCTGGACATAAGAAATAGACCTGTAAAGAAACTGTCCAGCTGCATTTATAAAGTAACATCCTGATCCTCTAAGGTTGGCCGTGGAAGACAGTCACTCACATGGGGGGAGCAGCCCTGATGCTGTTCCCATTGCCTCCACCGCCCACAGAGTCGCAAAGTCTCCTCCTATACTGCTATAAAGTCTCCTTTCTTGCCCAACTCTTCGACACCTTCGAGAGGCTTTCTTTTACAAGGAACTTCTGAGAATGCATGAAGTAATTTTTATTGAGATAAAATATAAATAGGATAATGCTTTTTTAACCATTTTAGGTGTGTAATCCATTGGCATCAAGTAGATTCACAGTCTCGTCCAACCATCACCATTATCCATTTCCAGAACTTTTTCATTATTTCAAATAGAAACCCATTCCCTTCTCCTCTAAGTCCCCGGTAACCTCTGTTCTACTTTTTGTCTCTATGAATTTCCTATTCTAAGTACTTCATGTAAGGTTAATCATACAGTATGTGTCCATTTATGCCTGGCTTATTTCACTAGGCATAATGTTTTCAGTGTTCATCCGTATTATAGCATGTATCAGAATTTCATTCCTTTTTAAAACTAATAATTTTTAAAGTATCTTTTTTACATACTATTAAGGGAAGCTTCATGTCTCAATTAAATGCTTCTGTTTTTCCACTTGGAAAGTGCCTGCCTGAGTAGAAAATTATTTCTGAGGCTTTATTCTCTAGATACCTTAAAAAAATCAACTGGCACAAATGCAGAGCTCTGAGGTCTCAGTACCCTTCAGCTTGGTCTGTTAGAGCAGCAAAATTAGCTCACACATTAGCTTTATTTTTGTTTCATAGCATTTGCTACCACCCAATATGATATGTATTTGTTTATAATAATCTTCCAGTGGAATGTAAGTGCCACAAAAACCAGGACTTTGTTAAATATCTTCAACATACATCACGTCCTATTGAATAGGAAGCACTCCAAAAAAATCATTGACTATCTTAATGTCAAAACAGAGGTATTCATGAATGCAAGCAATACTTTGCTTTTAATTCTTTTTCCCCTGGATCTGTCTCCCCACTTACTTTTTATCTTTACAGAGAAAGCTGAGGCCCTTTTTATCTTTACAGAGAAAGCTGAGGCCCTGAGTTAAATCACTTCTGACCTCTGTGTTTATACCCTCCCCTCAAAAAATCTTGGTGGTTTATTTCTTAAAAGTCTAATTGACAGTTAAGTAAGAATCTGAGGTTCATTGGTATTCTTCCATCCCTGATTTACCATTCCAGCTTTCTCTTTCTCAGACATCAGGAATCACCTCAGGTGTCACTGGAATTTTGTTAAGAGTCAGTAAAAACAATCATAGGATTATATGTTTGGCTCCTTTGGATTGTAATTTCTTTTCAGTTCACTGTGCCAGACCACGAACAGTGACAGAGGCTTTGGTCATATTCTAGCAAAACTACCCCTGCAACTGTTTTCTGTACTGTGATGTTGATGATGTAGCCGTATTCCTGGGGCGTTTATTATAACTTTCTTTAATGTTCCCAAGTCACTCTAGCCACTTGTCATTATATAAAAACAATTCTAAGTTTTTGTTATTGTCGCCAAGATGATAGTGATATGATTTTTTTAAAAAGGCACCAGTAGGCACAGGCAGAGCTTATCAGTTCTTTAGCTAAGAGTGTAACTTGCCAACCACAGTAGATTCCACAGTCATAAAGGCAAGTTTCCCTGTCCACGTCCAGTCATGATGTTGTAAATCAGTTGACTATAGACATGTGGGTTTATTTCTGGACTTTCAGTTCAATTCTGTTGATCTGTATCTTATCCTTATGCCAGCACCACACTGTTGTGTTTTTTTTTTTTTTTTTTTTTTTTTACTGTAGCTTTGTAGTAACTTTAAAAATCGGGAATTTTGAGTCCTCCAACTTTATTCTTCTTTTTAAAGATTGTCTTGGCATCCTTGCACCTTTTCCTTTCATTATGAATTATGGAGTCAGCTTGTCCATTTCTGTTAAAAAGAAAAAAAAGACAGCTGGAGTTTTTATTGAGATTTTGTTGAATCTATAGATCAATTTAAGGAATATTGCTATTGAAATATATTACATCTTCCAATCCATGAACATGGGATGCCTTTCCATTTATTTAGGTCTTCTTTAATTTCGTGCAACAGTGCTTTGTAGCTTTCAGTGTAAGTCTCAGACTTTTTAAATTATTTCTAAGTATTTTACCCTTTTTTATGTCCCTATAAATGGAATTGTTTTCTTATGTTTAATTTAGGATTTTTCATTGCCTTTTTTGTTGTTGTTGAAAACTGTATTGTGGCAGTTCTGGAAGTCAGATTCTCACCCCTCCCCAGGGTTTGTTATTGCTGTTTGCTGTTGTTTTTGTTATTTGTTTAGTGACTAATTTTATAAAGTCTGTGTTCTTTTTCATGTGTGGCCACAGAAGTGTCTGTTATGTTAGCCTAGTCATCTGCTAAGTATTGGACAGAGATTTACTTACACGCCTCAAACCAGAAAATCTCCCAGTCTTTGCACAGGGGCTCTGTGTGTGTGGCACATGGAGGGAGGGGGAGCAGCACACGCTAAACATTCAATCAGGTGGTCTGCATCTCTGCATTATCCTTCAGTTCTTGTTTGCATAGAGCTTGGAAGCCAGGGGTGAGAAGAATGTAGGGCCTTCTCAGGTCTTTCCTGAGCATGCACGTGTTCCTGGGCATGCACATGGCCTTGTAGATTTCCAGGAATACGTCAGAACTTCTCAAAGCCCTGTTTCCCAAAACATCTCATTCCCCAGCCTTTCCTCACTAAGTTTGTGGTTACTCTATTGTGTGTCCCAGCTATTTTCTGTTGTCTCAGGAGTGACTAAAACATTTGCCTGTAAATGTTTTCCATAAATCAGAGTAGCAGCTGTAACACTAGGCAAATCACAAGTTAGGCAGGATAAAGGCAAGACTTTTCAGAAGGTTTTCTAGGGAGTCACCAGACAGTTCAAACAAAAAATTACAATTCGTTCAGAATAAAGTCCATTCTACTGCTTCTGGTAATATTGGTACTGGAATGTGAGCTGTCATTTTCAAGGCTACTGATTAGCTTGGGAGCAGGAGATGGGACTAAGGTAAGTTATAATGCCACACATCTCTGTTCTTACGGAGATGCAGCCATTTTTCTTGAATAAACACTCTCAGCGTTGCTGCAAGCGTTTGGTTAGTTTTCATGGTTCTGAAAATGTTCATTCCCACAGATTTTCTAGTTTTTCCATTTTCTGTATAAGGACAGAGTTTTGGAGTTCCTTGCTCAGCCATTTTAGCTAATGTCACTCCCCAAGGAGAGCCCAGAAGATGTGAACTGTAAATCTTTTAAGTTCTTTGCTTCTCTCAGAGAGAGAGTCAGCCTCTAACAGCATGACCCATTATGTGATTATTTGTTGACCTGTATAGCTCCTTGGATGTTCAGGAAATTGTCTTCCAGGTTCTAATCCATAAATGACAGTATCTTTTTTTCAGTATCTTGGAAGCCTAGTAGATAGAAAGGACCGAGTTATGACCAACAGAATGGATAGAGGTAGATCATTGGAGTGTCAGTGCCAGTTCTGCATGCGAATTTGTGAGGCGCTCTTCCAGTTACTGTTGCTGCTTTTGTGTATTCACCTGAGACTAAGGAAAGGGGCGGTTCAGTGTCTGTGGGCCTAGTCAATGTGATGTCCAGTGTTGTCTCAGTAGTTCTCCAAAATGGATCCACGTATTACCTCAATTACTTCACCCAACACCCATGGCTGTAAATTAGGCCATTTCTCTAGCTTTCTAACTTTAGTATTTGTGATAAGAATCACGTAGGGCACTTGTTTTAAATACGGATGATTTAGTAGGCCTGAAGTGGCGCCAAGGAATCTGCATATTAAATAGACACATGCAGCTGTTTTGATCCACATTAGAAGTGACTCTATCTCCAGTCATTAATTCAAGTTCAGTGGGACTGATACATAAAGCATAATGCCAGTTTCTCACTTGAAGTAAAAAATACAACTCACCACCAAGGGGATCGGATATTCACATCCTCTACATGGTGCCGCCTTCTCCTCTGACCTAGGATTCCCGCAGGAGAACAGTTAACTAATCTAGACATTGCTGACTGAGTCTACAGCAAGTTCCAGTTCTCACAGGATCCCTGGCCTATTGTGAGGGATTTAGAACCGTTCCCATTACCTTCACATCTTGGCAAGAATTACCTCAGAAACATAAATAAGAGACAATACTACTGATTTTTCCAGGGAGACTAAAGTTCTCCCTTCTATCTCAGTACCACCAAGACAAATTTTAGTGGAAAAAAGCTAATCCCAGAACCCATCGTACTTGTTAGCCACTAAAATAGAAATTGTTACAACTGTCAACTGTCATCCCCCCTCAGATGTCTTATAGACGAGGATGTCTGAAACCGAGTTAACTCCTTCTCTGCTTTCCTGGAAAAGCCTACTTCTTAAAGCTTAATGTCTCTCTGCTGATACAGTGTTCCTCTCTGAAAGCCATGAATTACCCTAGATTTCTCCCTCCTCTTCATCCCTCTTTGTGTGTGTCTCTTAATTCTGCCTTCTCTCTAAAACCACTGCCTCTGACTTAGGTAAGCCCTCCAGAAATTCATGTCTAGATTATTGCAAAAGCCTCCTCATTTCTTCAGGTATTGTGTTGTCCCATTTGTCCTCTCCTCTCTGACTTTGAGCTACAAGTACATTAGACCTTTTGCCTGTGTCACTCATCTCTCTTACACTTTGTTTTGACTTTGCATTATTTTTGTTTGCTTTAGTTAATATACATTCTGTTGATCTGTCATCCTGTTTCCTAATCCCTGTCTCTTCTTTTGTGTCCGGTCTGCAATTAAAACCACCTGATAAGTTGGTCCATTTCTTAATTACGGACACTGTTTTAAATTCTAAAATATCCCTTTGGTTCTTTTTTTTTTTTTAATAGGTTTTAGTTCTCTGTTAAAAGTTGCCATCTTTCCACCTATTTTTGTTCTTTTTAAAATGTATATGAATTGTTATTTTAAAGTCCTTGCCTAAGTCCCTTTCTATTGTCTGGTTTTTTTCTCCTGCATTTTGATATTTGGTCCTTTTCTTTTGGCATGACAGTTTTTGGTAAGAACCAGAAGTTGCTGATGAAAAGTTATAGAAGCAAAGAATTGTAAGGTCTGTTCTGGCAGTCCAGGTACCAGACGCTTACTTGATTCTGTTGAGGCTTGATTTTAGGCTGTGTGAGAGTTCTTCTGTTTTGTGTCTTACTCCTAGCGTCTGGCCCTACTGGGTCTCAAATGAAAAGTGCAGTGTTTAGCAAAGTCCTTCCACCTTGAACTCCAACCTCTGTCTCTTCAGTAACATGTTATGCCTGCAGCTTCAACCTCCGCGTTTCTGTTTTCTCCTGGCCTTTTTGCGGGGGGAGGCGTGTTGCCATGTGTATGTGTAGATGAGTAGTCAGCAAATGAGAGGAGTTTCTGCGGAGATTTCTTTGGTTTCTTCTCTGCGGTTTCCTCCTCTGCTGGACTTGCCCCCATCTCACATCTCATCAGTTTGGCAGCCCTAACTTTCTCTTCTGTCTTTCCCAATATGTAGGAAATATATCTTCCCCACACTGGGACAGCGCAATATGATTGTCACTCTCTGTTGGAATTCTCTTCCTCCAGGCTGCAATTTGGAAAATGCCCCCAGCAACAAAGTTGAGGAGCTTGCCTCGTCTGCCTCCTGCTTTCAAGGATTGTAACTCCTCAGTTGTTAATTGTTGGTTGACCCCTACCTCCATGCCTCTAGACAGTGCTTTTCTCTACCTTTTGTCATTGTTTCGGGGTGGGGGGGGAAAGGCTAGTCTAATATAAGCTATTCCATCTTTATTAGAACTGGACGTCCAAAATGTCGGTTTTAAACATTTAACTTTTGTGAAGTCGTTTTATTTTCCTTATGTCCAAGCTTTTAAATTTTAGAGGAAAGGCAAATGACCTCATTGCCTCCTGTACCTTAAATGGTTTATCGGAGTAATTTTTATACAATTTTATTTTTTAGTATGAAAAACAAACATATGAGTAAATGGAGTCAATTGTTTCGGAAGGGGAAGGCTTAATGTAGAAGGCTATGGGAATATAAAATTTTTGCACATATATGTTCCTTAAAGAATGTTCAGCTAGCTTCTTATACTTAATCAGAAATGTAGAAAATCTTGTGTATATTTCACTTGCTGTTTGACAGAGTGAAATCTGGCTTTGAAAATGATTTAAGTATTAATATAGCTTTCACAGATTTCTGGATTCTTTTCTAGTGGATTAATGACTTAGAAACTGATGATTTGTATGTTATGTGGCCTTCAAGTTGCCAGGAACTCTTGAAGCCAGTGTCCCCTGGAAGTATACCTTTCATAAGGCGTAATTTTCATAATTTGGTAAGTTTTATACTTTGAAATTTTGTATACATCTTTTATAAAGATATCACCCTTCTTTTTGGACTACCCTGCTCTTGGTAAATAGGCATGTGAGTAATAAAGAAAGAAGTATTTGCCTGATGCAACAAGCTTGAGGTGGCATGGCTGACTAGGTATCAAAAGCTAGCAGTGTCACATAACCTGCCTTTTATTATTTAACCCTCATGTGCTTTTATAATACCATCATTAAATTGATGGGTTACTGTTATATTTTCTAAAAGCAATTTATGATCGAACTTTTCTTCCTTCTTTATTATAAAGAATTAATTTAAGTACGTTTCAGGGAAAAGTACATAAATACTACTATGTCATCTGTGATATAAATGTTCATTATTACAATGTTAAATAACCTTATAGAACTTTGTAATGTGGAGAAAACACCTAGGGCTTTATATTTTTTTCACATAGGAATTGAATATCTTAGTTCCTGCAGCAGATGTTAATGCTCTTATTTTTTGGATCAAAATTCAATTTCTATTTCCTTTTTAAAAAAATTCGTCACAGAAAATCCAACGAACACTTAGAATAAGGTAGTTCAGTTCTTGTACAAAATATTTACTTAGTGCTGTGCTTCAAAAAGAGGATGAATAACTGAATAACCTGATTAAATTTCGTGTATTATTACATTTTGGTGTGTAGCTTTTAGAAATTTGTAAACTGTGAAATTCTTTCTTATGTACGTTCCTCAAAATTCTTTAAAATTGCTAGAAAATTTTTAAAATTGTACCTTGAATTTCATGCTTTTAGCTACAGAAATTAGATTAACTTTCAATTTCATGAAAATTATGAAGTGTTAGAACAAAATGGTGATTATAGTCTGTCTACTTTTTTTTAGGTTCTGTTTATTGATCCGGCTCAAGAATATACCGTGGACTTTATAAAACTTGCTGAACTTTTCTTTTATCATAAAATTCCTCTTAGGTAATTATCAATTTATAACAGACTGTCAACTGAAGGAAATCCAGTGATGTTCATGTTGTGTCACACGGAGTGTCAATGTTGAATTCAAAGTGATGGTCATCTCTAGTGCCTGACACGACATAGCTGTGTGCTGTGAAAAATCATACACCTTTATGGGCGACTCCATTAATCAGAGCTGCTTGGTCGTCTTGTTCACCCTGTTACCTTCCTGAGAGAATGATTGTCACTTGGGTACTTAAGGATGGGTCCATTTTCCGTGGTCGTGTTAGGAGTACACTTCCCTCCACTTTTTCTTTCTGGAAAAAAACAGCTATTTGATAATGTCACCGCCAGAGAGAGTTTTACATTTTGGAGGGATCCAACAGAGATGAGGATTTTGGTGAAAAGGCATTACAAATCAAAGCTTTTCAAATAATAATACTCCCCTTTACCCCAGATACTAACACATTCCCTCCATCTAGATGTTCTAGTCTAATAATATTTAAAAATCGTGGTTTATTGTGGTTCAAGAGGCAGTTGTCACATCTCTCATTCATCTTCTTTCCTAGAATTGGTTTTGTGTTCATTGTTAATACAGATGATGAAGTTGATGGAAAAAATGATGCTGGAGTTGCTCTTTGGCGAGCTTTCAACTATATTGCAGAAGAGCATGATGTATCACAAGCATTTATTTCCATAGTACACGTGAGTTGATGTACTACATATAATTTCTTTAGGATGTATAGTGGTTTTTGCATTACTCTAATTATTACTATTTATTATTTTAACATTTCAAAGTTTATAAAAACTATCATGGGGATTAGTACACATGATGAATTTGATTCTTGCAGCTCCCAACAGAAGTACATAATATTGTCCCCATTTTATAAATGCGGCTCTGCCCAAATCTATGCACTTATTTAGGTTTTTACCCAACCAATAAAGGAACTTAAATTGTATGTATAAATTTAGAGGAAGCATATTAATAGAAAATAATTAGTAAGGGAAGAATCCTTGAGCTGGGTTTGGAATAAAATCATGAATAGAAAAGATTATTTCAAACTTAAATGTTCTAAATGACGAAGTATATAGAGACTTCCTAGAGAATTTCAGAGGAGGAAGAAAACTTCATAACAGCAAATTGGTGTCAAAATGGTAAGATTGATGCTGAGTCTGACAAAGAGACTATAAGAAATGTCAGAAATTGGTAAGAGCCTTATTTAGGAAAAACAAGAGGTAAGAAGATTATTTTATAATGGAGGGTTTGAAACTCTCTTATGGCTCATAATGGAAATATAAATGTATTAAAGAGCTATACTGTTGTTATCCAGAAAGTCAGGTTATAGCTTTAAACAACTATTCATTTTTATATTTATTATTCTTTGGCTTGTCAACCATTATTGTAACAGGGAATGGTTCTTCTTCAAACTGAAAATGAAATTACCGAAGCAGTGTAAATTTCCTGCCCTGTTTCTGGAGCTCCCACGAAAACCACTAAATACTTCACTGAGTCATTGTCCTGAGGTATAGAAGTTACCTACACTTCAGTGACTTGGGGATACACTGTATTCTGTAAAATAGTACCATGGAATAAGTGTCAATATTATATCTCAGTCTATTAGTTTTACTGATTGGTGTAAGAGTTTATAAGGGATTCAGTCAAATTGACTTAAATCTTTTATTAAAGTCCACCTACCTCACTGTGAAAGGATCAGTATGATATTCAACACTAAGAAACTTCAAGACCTTCCAAAATTATCTTTACCTTAATTATTTATAATTGAGACCTAAATTACCTTAATTATCTCTATTTAATCTCTCTTCTTTGAGCATTTTGTATTAGACATTAATTTGCACATGATGGCATATTTGTCAGTACCTTGCCTTTTGAATTATCTACTGTGATGTTCAGCACAGTACTGTAATCTCTTGGAAAACTGAACTGCACTCGAAACCATATGATTCCGTACAAAGCGGCATAAAAGTAAGTATTGAATATGTGCAATAGCCTATAAGTTGTGCTAAACAAAGGAAGAAGAAGAAGGAAAAATCAGTGAGGAAGAGAGATTCAGAGAAAGCAGTTAGAATCCTCTGGGGTCTGAAGGGTCAGATTGTTCATAGTTTTTCAAACTGTATATGCTGTGACCACCAAATTTCTATATCCCATAGAAAGGTAAAACGTTGAGTTAACATTCTGTTGGGAGAGTATTATGTCCATTAGATCACTTAGCTTCACTAATTTAGAATAATTTGAGCAAAATCTTGTCTTTTAGTAAAATACGTGAATTATAAATTCTCTTTAATACTGTTTCATTACTTTCAGTGAGCTAATTATTATATTTAAATTAATTTGAAAATACAGTATCAGGAGAGAGGAAGAATATAACAGAAGGCCAAAGTCATAATAACAGTGTATGAAAGTTATTGAAATATATTGGAGAATTATGGTAGAGTAAGTACATTATTTGTAGTAAAATGATCTTACTTTGTATCTCAGCTCTACTGCATAGTGACTATACAGACATACAAGTAGTTTAATTTTCTCTCCCTACCTTACAACATTCAGATTCAAAAGTATATGTTACATACTTAATGAATATTTGATGAATTCAGTTAGAGAATGTAAAAGCACTTTAAGACTTTAACTTTTGGCCACAATGGAGTAACAAACAATAGATTAGCCATCCTACAGTAAGCACTTATAAAAACTGAACAAAATGCATGATATAAGTCTGTTTTCAGATGTTCAACAAGAAGCAACAGGGACTATGATCCTTGGAAAAAGGTAAAATAATGATACTCACAGAAAAAGAATTTCTGGCCACCTAAAAAGAAACACTAAAAGGAAATGACAACAGATGGTAACTCACATCTACAGGAAGAAATGAAATGGTAACTGTAAATAAAATGTAAATATGTAGATAAATACAGAAGGCTGTATGAATATATTTTTCTCTTTAAATTATACAAGATTTAATGAAACATAAATTCTAACTTACTTAGAGGTAATACATGTGACAATAATTGTACAAAGTAGAATGAAATGGATCTATTTTAAATTCTATATTTTGTAATTAGGATTAATAGGAAGTAGATTGTGGTAAGTTCCAATGTATATTGTAATTACTGGAGTAACCACAAAGAAAATAAAAATCGTTTAAAAATCAAAAGAAGAATCGAAATGGCACTCTAAGAATTATCTCTTAAGCACAAAAGAAGACAGTAAAGGAAGAATCAATAAACAAAAGACACATATATAGAAAACAAATAGCAAAATGGCACAAGTTAATCCACCCATACCAATAATTATGTTAAGTATGAGTAAATTAAACGTAAGCATACTAGAAGAATGGATAAAGAAAGGTGGGAAATTATTCACAAGCCAAGTATTCAACAATCAAAAAGAAATGGATAAATTGCTAGAAATATACAACCTACCAAGACTGAATCATAAGGAAATAGAAAATCTGAACAGACCAATTCCTAGTAAGGAGATTGAATCAGGGATCAAAAACCTCCCAACAAAGAAAACCCAGGACCAGATGGCTTCACTGGCAAATTCTACAAAACATTTAAAGACAGGTTGATACCGATCCTTATCAAACTTTTCCAAAAAATAGAAGAGGAGGGAATACTTCCAAACTCATTTTACAATCCCAGCATTATCTTGATACCAAAGCCAGTTAAGGACACTACAAGAAAAGAAAATTACAGACCAGTATCCCTAATGAACATAGATGCAGAAATCCTCAGCAAAGTATTAAAGAAGTGAATTCAACAGTACCTTAAAAGGATCATATACCACAAGCAAGTGGGATTTATTTCTGGGATGCAAGGATGATTCAACATACACAAATCAATCAGTGTGATACACCATATTAACAAAAGGAAGGATAAAACTCATACGATCATCTCAATAGACGCAGAAGAAGCATTTGACAAAATTCACAGCCTTTTATGATTAAAAAAAAAACTCTCAACAAATTAGGTATAGAAGGAATGTACCTCAACATATAATGAAAGCTATATGTGACAAGCCCACAGCTAACATCATCCTCAACAGTGAAAAGATGAAAGCTTTTCCTCTAAGATCAGGAACAAGGTGAGGTGTCCACTCTCACCACTCTTAATCAGCATAGTATTTGAAATCCTAGCCAGAGAATTAGGCAAAAACAATAAATAAAAGGCATCCAAATTAGAAAGAAGCAAAATTATCTGTTTGCACATGACATGATCTTGTATGTAGAAAACCCTTAAAGACCCCACCAAAAATCTGTTAGAACTAATAAACAAATTCAGTAAAGTTGCAACAGAAAAAATCAGTTACATTTCTATACACTAACAAAGAACTCTTGGAAAGAGAAACTAAGTAAACAGTGCCATCTACCATAGCATCAAAAAAAGTAAAATGCTTAGGACCAAATTTAACCAAGGAGGTGAAAGATCTTTACACTGAAAATTATAAAACATGGATGAAAGAAATTGAAGAGGACATAGATAAATGGAAAGATATTCCATGTTCATGGATTAGAGAATTAATACCATTAAATATTCTGTACTACCCAAAGCAATCTACAGATTTAGCGCATTTAAAATTCCAGTAGCATTTTTCACAGAAATAGAAAAAAAATCATAAAATTCATATGGAACCATGAAAGACCCCTAATAGGCAAAGCAGTCTTGAGAAAGAATAAAGTCAGAGGCATCACACTTACTGATTTCAAATATATTACAAAATTATAATAATCAAAACAGTATTATACTGGTATAAAAAGAGATAAATAGGGCTTCCCTGGTGGCGCAGTGGTTGAGAGCCCGCCTGCCGATGCAGGGGACATGGGTTCGTGCCCCGGTCCGGGAAGATCCCTCATGCCACGGAGCGGCTAGGCCCGTGAGCCATGGCTGCTGAGCCTGCGTGTCCAGAGCCTGTGCTCCGCAACGGGAGAGGCCACAACAGTGAGAGGCCCGCGTACCGCAAAAAAACAAAACAAAACAAAAAAACAGATAAATAGAATTGAGAACCGAGAAATAAACCCATTGATATGTGATCAATTAATTTGCAACAAAGGAACCAAGAATGTACAATGGGAAAAAGATAGTTTCTTCAATAAATGGTATTGGGACAGCTGGATATCCACATGCAGAATGGTGAAACTGGACCCCTATCTTATTCCATACCCCAAAATCAAGTCATAAGGGATTAAAGAGTTGAACATAAGCTCTGATGCTGTAAAAGAAAAAAAAAGAAACATTTCATAGAAGAAAACATAGGAGTTAAGCTCCTTGACATTTATCTTGGCAATAATTTTTTGGATTTGACAAAATCAAAGGCAAAAAAAACCAGAATAAACTGGGAGTCTGTATCAAACTAAAATGCTTCTGCACAGCAAAGGAAACCATCAACAAAAGCAAATGGCAGCCTGTAGAATAGGAGAAAGTATTTACAAACCGCGTATCTGATAAGGGGTTACTACCGAAATATGTAAGAAATTCGGGGGCAGGGATCAAGACGGTGGAATAGAAGGACGTGGAGCTCACCTCCTCCCTCAAATACATTAAATACATCTATTTGTGGAACAATTCTCACAGAAAACCTACTGAACTCTGGAAGAAGACCTCATACAATCAAAACTGCAAGAAAGATCACCATGTAACCGGTAGGATGAAGAAAAAAAAAAAAAAAGAATTGGGATGGGACCTGCAACCCTGGGAGGGAGCTATGAAAGAGGAAATGCTCCCTTACCCTGGGAACCCTCTTCAGTGGCTGGGGGATCAGCCAGCTTCAGAGGGTCAGAGGAGAGTACAGAAGCTAGACTGCAACAGGAAAAACAGAGGAGACCGCCACAGATGGTTCTTGCCACCTCGCTGCATTCCCCAGCATGAGACTTCTGTCTGCTGGTGCATGCGGGGGTGGGGTGCTGAAACTCAGGCTTCAGCAGACAGACCCGGAGAGAGGACTGGGGTTGGCTGTGTGGAGACAGCCTGAAGGGGGGAGAATGCAGTACAGGCCAAAACTGGGAGTGTGTTTAAGGAGCCCAGGTCCACCATAAAAAGCCCCATTCATTGTTAATGTGCAAAGGGAGGGTGGGACCTCACCATAGCAGCAGCTTTTTTACCGTGAACAGAGCTGGCTCAGCTCTGCCTCAAGAGCTCTGGGAGCCTGCAAGTGCAGGGGGTTGCCCCCAAGTGGAGGTGGGCCTGAAATCTGAGCCCTGTCCTGGGCGGCTTTAGTGGATTTATGCCACAGGACCTTTGTAAGCTCAGAGCCTACAGGACATGTGAGCAGCTCCCTGCAGGAGCTGGGGTCTGGGCTGACTCCCTAGCTCCCACAGTGGGTCCTGGTTCCTGACTTCAGTGGAACTACACTGATGGCTTTGTGAGCACAGTACCTGAGAGACATCCAGGCTGATTGCCTGCATTCCCATGACTGAGGCAGGGTCAAGCGCAGCGCCAGCAACAGTTTACTTTGTGAGCCCGCACAACAGGTGACAGACACCACCACAGATTGCACTTCCCGGTGGGCAGCTCCTGCAGAGGCATACTCAACGTCTCCTCTACCAGTGGAAGCACTCCAGTCCCGCATACCTCACACCACAGCTTAGAAACGCATCTGAGGGCTTCTATTCCAACAGCTACGGAGCAGACCCAGCCCCCAACAGGGCTGTGACAACCACAGAGCAAAGAGGAGGCCCCACTCAACATCCAGTGCAGGCTCTGGTCACCACAACACCAGTCACACCCTCTATTAAGGAGATAACAGCCAGCACACATGGAGGAAAGACGTGGCAGACATCCATACTAAAAACAGCCCTCACACCAAAGATATTAGACTCATGCAGGATACACAGGGATGCTCCTGCATAAAAACAGCCCTTGGAGACCACAGTAGATAATTGTTACTCCCAAATTCATAGAGTCAGAGAAATATAAGTAAAGTGAAGAAGCAGAGGAACCACTCTCAACCAAAAGAACAAGAAAAGTCCTCTGAAAGAACAATGAAACAGATCTTTCCAATCTGCCAGGTCCCGAGTTCAAAAAGGGGGTAATAAAAATACTGAAGGAATTAAGAAAGACTATCGATAGAAGTGCAGATCACTGTAACAAGGAGCTAGAAACTATAAAGAGGAGCCAATTAAAATTAGAAAACTCAATTGCTGAGACGAAATCTCAGCTAAAGGCAGTAAATAGCAAACTAAATAATGCAGAAGAATGAATAAGTGATCTGGAAGATAAAATAATGGAATCACCCAATAAGAACCAGCAGACAGAAGGACAAATGAAAATAAAAGCAATATAAGAGACCTATGGAATAATATAAAGCATGCCAATCTATGCATAATAGGGATCCCAGAAGGAGAAGAAGAAAAATGGGATTGAAAATGTATTTGAAGAAACTGTTGCCGGAAACTTCCCAAACCTAAAGAAGGAAACAGATAAACAGGTAGAGGAAGCACAGAGGGTCCCAAACAAGAAAAACCAAATAAACCTACACCAAGACATGCTATAATTAAAATGTCAAAAGTTAAAGAGAGGATTGTAAAGGTAGCAAGAGAAAAAGAGGTAGAGCCTATGGGCATTCCTTTGTAGCTATCAGCCGATTTCTCTACAGAAGTGTTGGAGGCCAGAGGGGGTGGCAAGATATATTCAAAGTCCTAAAAAGGAAAGTCCTGCAACCTAGGATCCCCTCTACCCAGCAAGATGATTATTTAGAATGGAAGGTGAGATAAAGAATGTCTCAGACAAGCAAAAACTAAAAGAATACAGCAATGCTAAACCTTCTCTAAATAGAAAAGAAGGAAGAGTCTATAGAAAAGAGAAGATCACAATTGGAAATGCGATGATGACTACAATGAACAGCAAAAGAATAAACATGAAGATGTAAAAGAGGACCTCAAAATCATAAAATGTGGGGGAAGGGAATAAGAAAATTTAGATTTTTTTTTTTTTTTTTTAGAATTTATTTAAACCTGTATGACTACCAGTCTAAATCAAGTAGATATAGTAATGGGATAACATAATTGAAAAACAGAGAAACCACAAATCAAACACATAAAATAGATTCACAGAAACAAAAAAAGAGGAGAACTTAAGCATAGCACAAAAGAAAATCATCAAACTGCAAAAGGGAAAATAAAAAGAAAGGAACAAAGGGGAAATACAAAATCAAGGTTTAAAATCGCAATAAATACGTATCTATCAATAATTACCTTAAATGGAAATATTTAAGGGAAACAAGGTTTAAAATGGCAATAAATACATGTCTATCAATAATCACCTTAGAGCTTCCCTGGTGGCGCAGTGGTTGAGAGTCCGCCTGTTGATGCAGGGGACACGGGTTCGTGCCCCGGTCCGGGAAGATCCCTCGTGCCATGGAGCAGCTGGGCCCATGAGCCATGGCCGCTGAGCCTGCGCGTCCGGAGCCTGTGCTCCACAACGGGAGAGGCCACAACAGTGAGAGGCCTGCGTACCGCAAAAAAGAAAAAAATAATAATAATTACCTTAAATGTCAATGGACTAAATGCTTCACTCAAAAGACATAGAGTGGCAGATTGGATAATAAAACAAGAGCCTACAATATGCTGCCTATAAGAGACACACTTTAGGGCAAAAGACACACATAGATTGAAAGTGAGGGTATGGAAAAAGATATTTCATGGAAATGGAAATGACAAGAAATCAGGGATAGCAATACTCATATTAGATGAAATAGACTTTAAAACAAAGACCATAAAGGATAAAAAAAGAACACTGCCTAATGATAAGAGGATTAATATAAGAAGAGGATATTACATTTGTTAACATATATGCACCCAATAAAGGAGCACCTAAATACATAAAAGAAATACTAACAGACATAAAGAGAGGAATTGACAGGAACACGATAATAGTAGAAGACTATAACACCCCATTGATCAGTGGACAGATCTTCCAGACAGAAAATCAGTAAGGCAACAGAGATCCTAAATGACACAATAAAACAGTTAGATTTAATTGATATTTTCTGTACATTACACCCCAAAAAACTAGAATATACATTCTTTTCAAGTGCACATGGAACATTCTCTAGGATAGAGCACACACTAGGACACAAAACAGGTCTCAAAACATTTTAAGAGGATAGAAATTATTTCAAAGATCTTTTCTGACCACAACAGCATAAAACTAGAAATCACAGAAAGAGAAATGAGAAGAAAAGCTTGCATGGCAACTAAACAACATGCTACTAAAAAAACCAATGGGCTGAGTTGTCTCCGAGGCGCGGCAAGGAAAAAGGATTAGCCATGTCGTCTTTGATCAGAAAGGTGATCAGCACCGCGAAAGCCCCAGCGGCCATTGGTCCCTACAGTCAGGCTGTGTTAGTCGACAGGACCATTTACATTTCAGGACAGCTAGGCATGGATCCTGCAAGTGGACAGCTTGTGCCAGGAGGGGTGGCAGAAGAGGCTAAACAAGCTCTTACAAACATGGGTGAAATCCTGAAAGCAGCAGGCTGTGACTTCATGAATGTGGTAAGAACAGCTGTTTTGCTGGCTGACATAAACGACTTCAATACTGTCAATGACATCTACAAACAATATTTCCAGAGTAGTTTTCCTGCAAGAGCTGCTTACCAGGTTGCTGCTTTGCCCGAAGGAGGCCGTGTTGAGATTGAAGCAGTAGCTGTCCAAGGACCTCTCGTGACGGCATCGCTCTAAGTGGGCCCAGTGTTTAGTCTGGAATTTTAATAATGTTTTTAAATTAACATCTTAATTTTTACAGTATTTGTTGGAAAGTGTAAGGTTGACTGAAATATATGAAGTTATTATGGAAATACCATATAATAAGGGGATTGAACATGAGTTGAAGATTAATGATGAATCTAGTTACTGATGTTATAAATTACACTTCTATAACACTCATTACTGGATGTGGGAAAAGAGACACACATAGTTACTCAGAAAAATAAAAGTAAAGGGAAATAGCATGTAGGAAAGATGAGTTACTATTCCTGAGAAATAATAAAGAGCACACCTAATTCAATTAAACTCTGTTAATTTAATGGTATGAACTATTTCGTTCTCATGTCAGATACATGATTCTGCTTTTACTTGAGTAAAATTAAAGCATTTAAGTTTGAATGGTAGAGGTAAAGGAGAAGAAACTGGATCAAATTTTATATAGATAATATTTTTCTAATGGAAATAAAATAGCATGCAGGTTTTCAAAAAAAATAAAGTTAACCATTATTTTATTAAGAATCATAGCATCTGGTTTGATCAAAATAGAATATACAAATATGATATGGTATTTTGAAAGCCAAAGAATATTCACAAAACCATTTTTACTATAGGATAATAGATTGTATTCTTAAAATGGTTTATTTGTGTATGTGTGGGGATCATGTGTGTATATATATGTATGTATATAGTATGCTTAGAACTTACAAAATATAAAATATGTTCTTTATTTTATAAATATGCATGCTAAGGGAAAGAAATAAAACTAATTAAGGTGAAAATTAATTATAATATCTTTATTTTCACAGATGTACCAAAAAGTAGAGAATCACAATATACTCACTGTGGACAATGTGAAGGGTGTTCTCCAAAATGAATTTCCTCATGCTAATATTTGGGATATTTTAGGAATTTATTCTAAATATGATGGTGAAAGAAAGGTAAGCTGGAATGCAAATTTTTAAAAATGTGATCAAGAAACTTTTATTATAATCTCATGAATAAATGATCTCAGTATAATTAACTCATGATTTAGATTTTAGACCCTCAGAAAAAAGGGAAATTTATACCTTTGAATGACACAAGTTGTATACAGTATTTAAGTTGCCACTATTGGCTTTTTTTAAAGTACCAAAACAGATACTTCTCAGAATTTACAGTGCAGAAAATTACAAAAACAACCTTAAAACAATTAAAAAGTGGCGATAAGTACATACCTATCAATAATTAAATGTAAATGGACTAAGTGCTCCAATCAAAAGAGTGGCTGAATGGCTCTACAAACAAGACTCTAACTTTTATGTGGAAATAAATGAATTCATTTATTCATATGTATTCTAGGTAAAGGCAACAGCAACATATGATGTGATACAAATGAATTTTTAAGTTGAGATAATTTTATATAGCCAAAACATACTATTTATATCAGTTGCCATGAAAATATCTAACACCATGTTATCCTCAGATATTGGTGTTCACAACTCAATATTACTGTTTCCTATTAACTACCTTTTTATACATAATATATACCTTTTTATACATAATATATTTGGATGTAAATTTCATTTCCAACTGTATTATAAGTACTTTAAGGAAAGGAATCTTGTCTTCTTATTCTTTTGTATTCCTCAAGTTTGCACGTCTTAATTTTTAGATATTATTTGTTGAGTCTTACAGTAATTGAAGGTTGAGCTCTCTTCCACCTCCTGACCTTCCCTTGGTCTCCTCCAGTCCCAGTGGTAGTACTTAAAATATTTTAAACCTGTTGTGGCTTCAAGAGCAAACAATCAGATGAATCAATCAAAGCACATCCTCGAACTGGAATGGAGTCTTCGAAGCCTTCATTCTGAGGCTGATACTGACTTGCTTATAGCTGAATCATGTTGACATGGATGGTCTGGGAAAGCGGTCAAGGTAGTTCTCATGTGGGGAATCGCCATCCCAAGACAGCAGTTACTTACCAACTGGTGCAAAAGTATTTCAGTACAATAAGAATTGGAAAGTCCTGTGCAGTTGCAAACCAGCTGATTATCAGATCTGTTTTTAACACATTTTGGTTAAATGAATATTTAGTGTGAGTGTGACTTTTTAAGTGTTCCTTGTTAGTAAGTCAAGTACTATGGTTGTTTTTTAACAACTTTTTTTTTGTAGCTTTAAGGGTTACTCCATTTTTACTCATTCACGTAGTTTTCTACCTATTGCAAATATATCGAGATAGTCAAGAGATTGGTCAGATAACCTATCTAGAATTTTCCTTACACAAACAAAGCCATTAACAAACCAGCACTTTGCCCCCCACACACCAGCCCCAAGAATGCCCTTCTGCAGCCACTCTGCATTTTGTCTAAACTGAACTGCTGTCCTCTGTACCTGAAGCACAGCTGTCATTTCTGGATCTGCCTCTGCTGCTTTCCTTCATTGGATCTCTGCTTTTTCTCCAGCTTCATGAACACTGTGCGTTTCCTCTTTTTGATTTATTTTGCTTTTACTTCTTTCTCAAGCAAGTATGCATGAAAAAAATTCTTTTATCTCTTTTATATAAAAGTTTTTTATTTTATATTTGCATTTTATTGATTGTTGGACTGGGTAATCATTTTTCGTGTGGATTTTGAAGGCTTTCTTTTACTCTCTCCTAGCTCCTAATAAGCTACTGAAATGAATGATACCAATCTAATTTTGACTCCTTTGTCTTTCTTTGATCTATTTATTTATATTTCCTGTTGAAAGGTTTTTAGGATCTTTTTATCCCTGTTGCTTGGAAATTTCATGATATGTCTTTGTCTTCATCCTGTTTCATTTAACACATTGGGTGTTTGGTGGGTCCCTTCTAATGGAGATACGTGTCCATCAATTCTGGGAATTTCTTTGTGTTGTTTTTCAGTGCTTTCCTTTCCTGTATTTTCTCTGTTCTTTCTGAATCTTCTGGATTGAGCAATTATTTACTTTTTCTTCTTCTTTTATTCCTTTTTGTAGTGTCCAGTTTTTCTTTCATGAGCACAGTTTTTTAATCTAAGAATGTTAGCTTTTTGATGTGTTGTTCTCTGCCCTGCGCTATCTCTGCCTTCTATAGCTTCCCTTTTTCATCCAGTTTGATTTCCTCTTTTGTGTTGGAAGCATTTGTCAAATGTATTATGATGTCTGGTTGTCTTTGACATGTAAGTATGAAACCGTAAAAAGCTGCTTACAAATAAACGGGTCTTTTCGGTTGGTGGGCCTCACTTGGGGAGTGAGTCAGTTTTTTCAGTTAGATGACCAACAAATAAATGTCTTTTCGAATGCTGGCATTCTGTTTCAGCGTTTGATTTCTTCAAATGAGAATTCTTTATTTTCCTCTTAGAAGGAGTATATGTGGCAAATGAAAGGGTGCAGATGTGGGAAACGAGGCAATAGGATATGTCCAGAAATAGGATGTGGTAATAGGCTGGGTTGAAAGAATGTGAACTTTCCTTCAATCTTCTGTCTTGTTTCCATCCCCTTTCTCAGCCTTCCACTATACCTGGAATCCCCAAATCTAGAGCCTCTGTGATTCAATTTCAACAGAGAGTAAAGGGAAGCAGAATAGTTTAGCCTTTCAGGATTGAGAGAGGGGCCTTGGTATACAACTTCTCTGCATACAGACTCTCAACAAGTTTCCACATTTCGTGCTCTGCTCCTTATCTTCTCCTTCTAACATAGTCTAGGTTTTTAGCCCTCAGGGGTTCCGAAAATGTTGATGTTCCTTTCTGTCTGCAGGGGAGTGACTTCCCTTTCTACTTTGGTCATCTACTCTTTATCTTTTCTCCCGTTTTTCTTTGTGGGCTCATATCTTGTTATTGTTGTTATCATCCTCATTGTCATCATGATTTTTATTATTATACTCTCATTTTAGTTGCTGACTTAAAAAAATGCACATGAGAGTCACGAGTTAAGTTTTATTGGGGGCAAAATGAGGACTATAGCCCGGGAGACGGTATTTCAGACAGCTCTGAGAAACTGCTCCGAAGAGGTAGGGGGGAAGGTCAGTATACATATGATTTTGGTGACAGGGGAGTACATGCAATTAAGCACATTTTCTTTGCAGAAGGTTTCTGCTAGTCTAGTGAAGGTTACTGCGAGTCACGAGGAGCAGATGTCACCATGAAGGATTTTAGTGCTTTTCTAGATAAGAGGAGATGCAAGAATTGGGCTCATAAAATTGGCTCCTGAAAATATCTATCTGAAGACCTGTTCTGCCAGTGTTTCCCAGCGCATGGAGGGCCTCATTCCTGATCTCCACCTGAACTCCTCTCAGGGGTGTTGAAGGTCAGCGGCCACACCAGCTCATGATTTAATCCTTGTAGAGGTGGGTGGCAAGTGCCAATCTGTAGTTGGCGTAGTGAAACTTGCAGAATCGAGATGAGCACGTGTGATACATCTACCATATTTATCAGAAATCCACTTTTACTCTTTATCAAGTTAAGCTGCAAAATGAATATTTTTACGGTGTTGCCAGTTTTAAGATACCTGTAGTCATATTCTCCTGAAATTATGAAACACACTGAGGATTTTTGTGAAGATTACGGATTCAGTACACTCCTCAGAAACATTGAATCCCATCTTTTGTGTGTGAGTTCAGTCTTCTGTTTTCTCCTTTTTTACTCCTCTCTCCCTGTAAGACTATCTTGTAATGACGATATCTTCATTTCTTAATTTCTGCATTTTTCTCAAGTCGACTTAATCTCCAGTTTAAATTGGACTCTGTGTTACTTACAATCCTTTAGTTGTGCCTGGTTTTATTCCTTACCTGTTCCTCCCAAGAGTTATTCTAAACATTCATCAGTCCTATAAGCCCTTTTCACCTTTCTCTTCATGCCTCAGAAATCATTCTGATTACTACGTCACAAAGAAAATAAATGTTTTAGGCCTTTATTCCCTAAACTCATGTTCCTGTAGTTTTCTGTCTGTATCCAAACTTTATTTTTTCTTTTAACAAACATTTATTGAGTACTTACAATATTCTGTCCACAAGAGGTAAAAGAATAGAGTACAAGGAAGATCTTTTGAAAATTAAAAATAAAATCAAAATTTAATAGGACAGAGACAAAAAAAGACACATGAAATGTAAGAAGGTAAACAGTCGTCAATTCACAAGATTCAGAAAGAACAGAGAAAACAAAGGAAAGCATTAGAGAAATACCACAAAGAAATTCCCCAAATTGATGGACATGAGTCTTTATTAGAAGGGGCCCACCCAATATGCAATACGTAGACATTAAAGTGACATTAAATCCGCGTCCAGAAGTAGGAGGACAGTTGGACAAAAGAAGACAAAGAAGTGGTAGGTAGTCAGCATTCCAGAGAAAAATGTTAGGATGTCCTGAATGTGAAGGAACGAAAAGAGTTGGTGTTACTACTGAGTAGATGTAGCAAGTATGTGTTTGTGTTGTAGAGGGAAGTCCCTAAGATGAGGCTGGGGGTGTAATCGAGGGGCCTGATTACACAGAGTGTGGTGAGCCGTAGTTAATTAACAAGCTTGTGAACTCAAAACAGTAGAATACCTTTGCAACAGTGAAAAACCTGAGAAGATATTAAGCAAGTGAAGTGACAGTGACATGCATTTTCTCCAAAGAGCATTCTCCGTTGTTGAGAATAGATTGTCAGAGGGTAAAAGTGTACGTAGTAAGACGGATTAGGAAGCATTTAGGTGAGAGATGAGAGATGGGCTAGTAGGTTTTTGGAAGAGTAGAGGCAGAGAAAAATGGACACAATTGAGGTATTTGGGAAATACAATCCAGGACCTGCTGCTGGATTGGAAAGGGGAGAGAGGAGAAGAGAAATTGTCAAGGACGGCTCCCAGGCTTCAACTAACTCACTGGGATGGTGGTAATGCCATTGCCAAGATGGAAAGAGGTGGAAGAGAAACCAAGTGGGGAATAAGAACAGAAGTTCAGTTTTTCACATATTGAATTTGAGGTGCCTGTGAGAATTCCATAGGAGATGTGAAGTGTGTCTACAGCTCAGAATTGAGATGTAGGCTAAAAGTACAAAATTCAGTGTTATGGCTTATTTGTGGTAATTAAAGCTTTTGTAATAGACAGGTTGCCTAACTGAAAAATCACAGGGGAAAACAGAAGAAAGCCTGTATTTCTAGCAGCAATATCCTTCTTAAGGTCCAAAGCCATGTATTCAGCTGCCTGGGGGATTGCCCATAAGCGTCTTAAATGAATTTAAAACCATGCCCATCGTCTTTCTTGTTACCCCAAACCTTTTTCTCTTTTTTTGTGCCTTATCCTAGAGGGTAGCGCCATCATTCTCCCAGGGCACTCAGGCTACTAGAAGCCTGATAGTTGTCCAACTTCTTTTCCCTCACACCCTCCCGAACAGTAGATCATCAAGTTCTGTCAGTTTTGTCAACTAAATATTTCAGAAACTGCCTCATTCTCTCCTTGCTTCTCACCACTGATTTTTGTCTGGCTCTTGCTTTTCCTTTCCTGTATTTTTGCAGTAGCCCCTGACCCACCGCCCCCAGTGCATGCTCTCCCACCCTCTTCCTTCTCTTTGTCGCCACTATATTCTTTTTTTTAAAGAGCAAATCTGATCGTATTTCTTGTCATGAGCCCTCTTCCTAGGTAGAATTGACCATGCCCTCCCTAGTACCCCTGGATATCTATTCACACTTACTTTTAATGTATCCATCTCTCCCCCTGTTAAACTATGTCTTCTTAGGACAGAGTTTGCATATCATTCTTATGCATTCATTGCTTAATACACAGTAAATGTCCAATAAATGCAGAGATAATATAGTTCAGTGGTTAAGAGTTCAGACTCTTGGTCAAACAGATGTAAGTACAAAGCCTGTTTCCAAAGTGTAGTCATTATGTGGCATTGGGAGTGACTCTGTTTTATCATCTGTAAAGTGGATGTAATAGTAGTCCTCAGCTTCATAGGGTAATTGTGAATATGTTGGCTATAATGACAGTTTTAATGATTTGTAGTGTTGAGTAGCGAATGAATTAATTGTTTAGTGATGCTTTATCACTCACAAGATAAAATCCAGATGTTGAGGACCTTCATGACCTGTCCTCTCTCCCCATCCCCTCTGACTCCACATCTTCTCCCTATGTAACTCCTCCCACTGTAAACACAGAAAAGTACTTGCCATTACCTAAATATACCACATCTCTCTTCCCTTCTGTTCCTTGCAGTGCTGTCTCTTTTCACTGGGAATGTCTTTCTCCACTTTATCTCCCTAGCATATTTTTGCTCATCCTTTAAGACTTTTAGTGTCACTCCCTAACAGAGGCCTTCTGTGATCCCTCCCCTCCATGCTCAAGCTTAGTCATTCCTTTTCTGGGCTCCCATACAATCTGGTATATGCCTCAATTTTGCTTGTATATATGTGAGCCCCTTGAAGGCAGATTTTTCAGCTGTGTATTCACAAAGTCTAGCCAAATGCTTGAATTCAATAAATGTTAACTAAACAAGTGAATATAGCGAGAAATGAATCTCTTATGCAGGTAAATGCATTTTTTAAAGTAATGTCATACTCTCTATCAGGGGTCGGCAAACTACAGCCCATGAGCCAAATCCAGCCTTTCTACCACGTGTTTTTATAAATACAGGTTTTTGGAGACACAGCCACGTTCACTCATTCATGTGTTGTGTGCCACTGCTTTTGCACTATAACATCACGATTGAGTAGTTGTGTCAGAGACCAGATGGCTCACAAAGCCTAAAATATGTATCTGGCCCTTGTACAGAAAAAGTTTTCTGACTTGTTCTATGTAGGTAAATTACTTTCCTTTAAATAATGTTTGGAAAGGACAGATAAAATTAGCAAAATTAACATTTTTTCTATGGCATACAAAATGCGGCCCTGTCCCTTTCTTTCTTTATGTGTTTCTTTTTCAGACAAACATATTCTGTTTAACTCTCTGGTATTTTTTAATTGCATAGGCAGGAGCAAGCTATTACAGGATGACTGGCCTGGGTCCTTTGCCTCAAGCTCTTTATAATGGTGAATCCTTTCACCATGAAGAGCTGAATATTAGGGAACTAGAAACGGCTGTTCTTCACAGAATGATGGATGAAACTGCATATTTACAAAAGGAAGTTTTTATGGTAGGTAAGCATGTATGAGAAAATATCTGATGAATGATATTTATAGATGATTTTTATATTAAAATATCTTTTAATAGCAAAAGTTAATTGTGTAAAAGTTTCCATTCTGATCGTTTAGTAATGATTTTTAAAGTAGTAATTAAATTTATCTGTGCATAATTGCATCTAAAACATTGCTTAATTGGAAAGAAACTTCACAGTTTTATAGGAAAATTTATTATAAGAATTCTAAATTGCATATTACTTATTGACTTATTTTAGATTCAGTAGTCTTTAAATGTGTCCTCTGCATAATTCTAAAACATCTGCATATAAATCACATGTGTTACCTAATAATACTTTATTATTTTAGGGTACATTAAATGATCGAACAAATGCAATTGACTTCCTTATGGATAGAAATAATGTTGTGCCCCGTATAAATCCTTTGATTTTGTACAATAAATGGCAGTACCTTAATTTAATATCTACATCAGGTAATACAATCCTTCCGTATACTTTCCTATAAATGTTTATTGAGTTGTGACTGTTTTATTCATTATTTAACATTTAATATTAAAATTTTTAGTAACTGCTGATGTTGAAGATTCCTCTACTTTCTTCTTCTTGGATTCACAAGATAAGAGTGCTGTAATTGCAGAGAACATGTATTATGTAACCCAGGAAGGTAATAAGCATATTTTAGTTTCCTGAATTTATTCCTAAATAGGAAAAACTTGTAATTGTATTAAGTGCTTTGCATAATACGTTTCTAGATGTTGATATTTGACTGGCGACCTGGCTCTCAATTTGCGGATTTGAAAATTATTAGGATGTAATAAGGACTGTGATGAGAAAATGTGATGCCTCCTATCTTAGCTAACTGTATATGCAGAGGGGTTAATCTCGAGGGGTTTTTGCCTTTTTTTAAAAAAAAGCAAGCTATTCCATTTTTCTCCTTTTTAGGAAGGTAAGTAAAAACCCTTTCAAGATTAAATAAACTGATAATCTTATCAGGCATGAATAAAAGTGTAATCCCCAGATGAGAGGAGAATAGTTCTGTATTCTGATTAAACAACGTCTAAATGTTTTGCTTAAGTTAAGGGTCATAACCAAAGGAGAGGGAGCCAAGACAGGAACATGTTTGGAAATAAGGACTTAGCCTGGATAGGAAAGTCTTCAGTGTGACCACAGTTCTGTTAGAGACCATGAACTATTCAGATAGATGAAGATAATTGGAGTTTGGTTGGTTTTGGTTTCACTTTGTTTTGTTTGACCTGCTTTGCTCTAGAGAGAACAAAAAGAGCCAATGCATGAAACATAAAAGAAAGCTGATGGTTATTTCAGCATATAAAGCAGTAACTTTCTAACAATGAGTGATCTCACGATGGAATTACTGTGTAATAAGGGGTAAATTCTTATATATGAGAGATTTAAGCAGACAGCTAGTTTGTGAGAATGCTGTGGAGTGAATCCAAATTAGGACCATATGGCCCTTGAATTACTTTGGAACAGATCTATGATTTTATGTTCATAAAGTGGTCTGTCTACAAGAGAACCAACAAATAATAAAATATAATTCAGTTCCATATTATGGCAGGCTAAGGTCCTGAATGTGTCAAGTGAAGGGAAAAGGAGGCAGAGAAACAGGGAATAAAAAATAGGGGAAACATATTTATCGGGTTCTGGGTTATATTTCAAAAATTGCTTCTGGGCATCAGAATAAGTTAGGCCATAATTAATGCCCTTTGGTTAAATCTCTTGCAATCTAAAAGAAGACTTTATTAACTGAGAAACACCTGATTTCTTTATTTGCATTTATGTAAATATGTAAAGAAATAAAAGAGTTGGGAGAAATTTACTTAGCACTTTTGAAATAGTTCTGTTTACTAGCTGTAATGGTAAAAGTGATGACATTAAGAAGGCACAAGAATTCTTTCCCTTTCTTCTTTGAAAAGAATGTGCCACTGCCTTACTCTCAAATTGCTTCTGAAGGATTGCAAGTAGAATCGATGTTATCCTTCTTTTTGTTATATTTTTTTCATTAACCAAAGCCAGTTTTTGCATAGTTATATATTACTGGGTATGGTCATAACTGTAGCTTCACATCTATTCAGGTGTAGGTTTTTGGTGTAGCACACATTTTACAGTTGTTTTAAGTGGGTCATAAGATCTAAGGGACTGATTTTTCTATAGGTTTTAATGATGGCCAGACAAGTATTATTTCAGGTGTCATATGCTGAGGCTGGATGAAATTAAACCCATTTAACTGTGACTGCAGAGTTAAAAATTATTTCTTCTTGTGGCTTCCAAATTTTCAGATGTTTCTGAAACAAGAATTGCACTGATGTTGGCATAAGATGATGTGAATTAGGCCAAGTTAATAATAGCCAGAATTTTTGAAATACATGAATCATAAGCTAATAAATATTGCTGTTTTCAATATCTGCTAATAATTTATTGTATCCAGTTTTACATATATGTGAGGTACAAATACCATTATGTTTTACAAGTGAAGCTGGAAGGCAGTTTTGCTTGGCAACAGTAGAACTTCGATAAGCATGATACAGTTTCCCTACTGGCAAAAGTATCTCACAGATGTGTTTCTTGGGGACTATTCTTTCTTTTTGGTATCTGAGTTTATATAAAGGTTATTACTCTTTCAACATTTTTATGTGTATTTCACTCTGTGTGTATGTAATTTTTACCAGTATTTGCTTATTTTCAGAAAGATTCATTTTAAAAATTGTTACTGTTTTTATGTATTTTGTTAACTGGAAATGTCCCTGTCTTTAGTTTGATTTTAAGAAGGATTAGTTTGACTAAACTGTTTGAAACTTTCAGATGATGTAATTTCTTCGGTTACTTTCTGGATTATTGCTGATTTTGACAAACCATCTGGGAGAAAACTGCTTTTTAATGCATTAAATCACCTGGTGAGTATTTAGACACTCTTACTACAAAAATTCTAATTCGTTGTAATTTCGAGAAAGCAATATGAAGAACATGCATTAAATCGTTATTTCCCTTCGTGTTAACATTTTCAGTACCTTGACTTGGTTAGAACATGGTGCTAAGGAGATTAAGACAGGAATTCAAATTCTTTCTCCATGTAGAATGGGTAACCTCGCCCAGGAAAAGAAAAACCTACATGTCTTCTGTGATTCATGACCTATATATTCTTTGCTAGTCCTTGCTGTTGGACATACATTTACACGTCTAATAGTGTGTATGTACTGAATGTTTGTGTCCCCCCAAAATTTACGTGTTCAAATCTAATCCTCAATGTGATGATATTTGGAGGTGGGGCCTTTAGGAGGTAATTAGGTCAAAAGGGTGGAGTCCTCATAAATGGGATTATTGCTCTTACAAGAAGAGGTCAGAGAGGTAGCCCTCTCTCTTTCTGTCATGTGAGGATACAAGGAGAAATCGGCAGAATGTACTGCAGAAGAGGGTCCTCACCAGCACCTGACCATGCTGGCACACTGCTCTTGGACTACCAGCCCCCAGTTTGTACTATTTTTATTACATACCTCTCTCAATAACAAGTAAAGCACGTACACAGAAAATCAGTAGGGATGTATAGAATATTTGAATAATAAAGTAATCAAACCTGACCTAATGGATATTGATAGAAAAGTACACATAGTATATGTTCTTGCAAAGCACAAATGTAACGTTTAAAAAACGTTATTTGTAGATGCTAGGCTATAAAGCAAATCTCATGAAATTTTCTTTTGCTTTTTTGCATCAGTAGTAACTATTTTTTAAAAATTTTTTATTGGAGTATAGTTGCTTTACAATGTTGTGTGAGTTTCTACTGTACAGCAAAGTGAATCAGCTTTACGTGTACATATATCCCCTCTTTTATGGATTTCCTTCCCATTTAGCTCACCACAGAGCATTGAGTAGAGTCCCCCGTGCTATACAGTAGGTTCTCATTAGTTATCTATTTTATATATAGTATCAATAGTGTATATAGGTCAATCCCAATCTCCCAATTCATCCCACCTCCCCCTTCCCCCTTAATATCCATACATTTGTTCTCTGCGTCTGTCTCTATTTCTGCTTTGTAAATAAGATTGTCTATACCAATTCTTTCAGATTCCGCATATATGAGTTAACATACGATATTTGTTTTTCTCCTTCTGACTTACTTCACTCTGTATGACAGTCTCTAGATCCATCCACATCTCTACAAATGACCCAGTTTCATTCCTTTTTATGGCTGAGTAGTATTCCATTGTATGTATGTACCACATCTTCTTTATCCATTCTTCTGTCGATGGATGTTGCCATGTCTTGGCTATTGTAAACAGTGCTGCAGTGAACATTGGGGTGCATGTATCTTTTTGAATTATGGTTTTCTCAGGGTATATGCCCAGTAGTGGGATTGCTGGGTCATATGGTAGTTCTATTTTTAGCTTTTAGGGAGCCTCCATACTGTTCTTCACAGCGGCTGTATCAATTTACATTCCTACCAACAGTGCAGAGGGTTCCCTTTTCTCCACACCCTCTCCAGCATTTATTGTTTGTAGATTTTGTGATGATGGCCATTCTGACCTGTGTGAGGTGATAGTTCATTGTAGTTTTGATTTGCATTTGTCTAATTATTAGTGATGTTGAGCATCCTTTCACGTGTTTGTTGGCCATCTGTATGTCTTCTTTGGAGACATGTCTATTTAGGTCTTCCACCCATTTTTTGATTGGGTTGTTTGTGGGTTTTTTTGATATTGAGCTGCATGTGCTGCTGTTTGTATATTTTGGAGATTAATCCTTTCTCAGTTGCTTCATTTGAAAATATTTTATCCCATCTAAGCGTTGTCTTTTCATCTTGTTTATGGTTTCCTTTGCTGTGGCTTTAAGTTTCATTAGGTCCCATTTGTTTATTTTCCTTTTTATTCTCATTACTCTAGGAGGTGGGTCAAAAAAGATCTTTCTGTGATTTATGTCAAAGAGTGTTCTTCCTATGTTTTCCTCTAAGAGTTTTACAGCATCTGGCCTTACATTTAGGTCCTTAATCCATTTTGAGTTTATTTTTGCGTATGGTGTTAGGGAGTGTTCTGACTTCTTTCTTTTACGAGTAGCTGTCCAGTTTTTCCAGCACCACTTTTTGAAGAGGCTGTCTTTGCTCCATTGTATATCCTTGCCTCCTTTGTCATAGATTAGGTGACCATAGGTGTGTGGGTTTATCTCTGGGCTTTCTGGCCTATTCCATTGATTTATATTTCTGTTTTTGTGCCAGTACCATACTGTCTTGATGACTGTCACCCTGTAGTAAAGTCTGAAGTCAGGGAGCCTGATTCCTCCAGCTCTGTTTTTTTCCCTCAATATTGCTTTTGCTATTCGAGGTCTTTTGTGTTTCCATACAAATTGTAAAATTTTTTGTTCCATTTCTGTGAAAATTGCCACTGGTAATTTGTTAGGGATTGCACTGAATCTGTAGATTGCTTTGGTAGTATAGTCATTTTCACAGTATTGATTCTTCCAGTCCAAGAACATGGTATATCTCTCCATCTGTTTGTGTCATCTTTGATTTCTTTCGTCAGTATCTTACAGTTTTCTGCGTACAGGCCTTTTGGCTCCTTAGGTAGGATTATTCCTATCTATTTTATTCTTTTTCTTGCAATGGTAAATGGGATTGTTTCCTTAATTTCTCTTTCTGATCTTTCATTGTCAGTGTATAGGAATGCAAGAGATTCCTGTGTATTAATTTTGTATCCTGTGACTTTACTAAATTCATTTATTAGCTCTAGTAGTTTTCTAGTGTATCTTTAGGATTTTCTATGGATGGTATCATGTCATCTGCAAACAGTGACAGTTTTACTTCTTCTTTTCTGATTTGGATTCCTTTTATTTCTTTTCCTTCTCTGATTGCTGTGGCTAAAACTTCCTAAACTGTGCTGAATAGTGGTGAGAGTGGGCAACTTTGTCTGGTTCCTGATCTTAGTGGAAACGGTTTCAAGTTTTCACCATTGAGAACGATGTTGGCTGTGGGTTTGTCAAATGTGGCCTTTATTACGTTGAGGTAAGTTCCCTCTATGCCTACTTCCTGGAGGGTTTTTATCATAAATGGGTGTTGAATTTTGTCGAAAGCTTTTACTGCATCCATTGAGATGATCGTATGGTTTTTCTCCTTCAGTTTGTTAATATGGTGTATCACATTGATTGATTTGCGTATATTGAAGAATCCTTGCATTCCTGGGATAAACCCCACTTGATCATGGTGTATGACCCTTTTAATGTGCTATTGGATTCTGTTTGCTAGTATTTTGTTGAGGATTTTTGCACCTATGTTCATCAGTGATATTGGCCTGTAATTTTCCTTTTTTGGGATATCTTTGTCTGGTTTTGGTATCAGGTGGCTTTGTAGAATGAGTTTGGGAGTGTTCCTCCCTCTGCAGTTTTTTGGAAGAGTTTGAGGAGGATAGGTGTTAGCTCTTCTCTAAATGTTTGATAGAATTCACCTGTGAAGCCATCTGGTCCTGGACTTTGGTTTGTTCGAAGATTTTTAATCACAGTTTCAATTTCATTACTTGTGATTGGTCTGTTTATATTTTCTATTTCTTCCTGGTTCAGTCCTAGAAGGTTGTACCTTTCTAAGAATTTGTCCATTTCTTCCACATTGTCCATTTTATTGCCATATAGTTGCTTGTAGTAGTCTCATGATCCTTTGTATTTCTGCAGTGTCCGTTGTGACCTCTCCTTTTTCATTTCTAATTTTATTCATTTGAGTCCTCTCCCTTTTTTCCTTGATGAGTCTGGCTAAAGGTTTATCAGTTTTGTTTATCTTCTCAAAGAACCAGCTTTTAGTTTTATTGATCTTTGCTATTGTTTTCTTTGTTTCTATTTCATTTATTTCTACTCTGATCTTTATGATTTCTTTCCTTCTACTAACTTTGGGTTTTGTTTGTTCTTTCTAGTTGCTTTAGGTGTCAGTTTAGGTTGTTTGAGATTTTTCTTGTTCCTTGAGATAGGATTGTATTGCTATAAACTTCCCTCTTAGAACTTCTTTTGCTGCATCCCATAGGTTTTGGATCATCATGTTTTCTTGTCACTTGTTTCTAGGTATTTTTAAATTTCTCTTTGATTTCTTCAGTAATCTCTTGGTTATTTAGTAGCATATTGTTTAGCCTCCATGTGTTTGTGTTTTTCACAGTTTTTTTTTTTCTGTAATTGATTTCTAATCTCATAGCGTTGTGGTCCACAAAGATGCTTGATAAGATTTCAGTTTTCTTAAATTTACTGAGGACTGATTTGTGACCCAAAATATGATCTACCCTGGAGAATGTTCCCTGCGCACTTGAGAAGAACCTGTATTCTGCTGCTTCGTGTGGAATGTCCTATAAATATGAATTAAGTCTGTCTGGTCTAATGTGTCATTTAAGGCTTGTGTTTCCTTATTAATTTTCAGTCTGGATGATCTATCCATTGGTGTAAGTGTAGCGTTAAAATCCCCCACGATTATTGTGTTACTCTCAATGTCCCCTTTTATGGCTGTTAGCATTTGCTTTATGTATTGAGGTGCTCCTATGTTGGGTGCATAAATATTCACAATTGTTATATCTTCTTCAATTATGCAAAGTACAGTTGACCCTTGAACAATGCAGGGGTTAGGGCCACTGACCCTCTGAGCAGTCAGAAATCCACTTATAACTTATAGTCAGCCCTCCGTATTCAAGGTTCCACATCTGCAGATTCAACCAACCACAGATCATGTAATATTGTAGTATTTACTACTGAAAAAAAATTGTTTTTAAGTGGACCCATGCTGTTCAAACCTGTGTTGTTGAAAGATCAACTGTATATTCTTTGACCACAGTGTAATTAAGTTAGAAATCAATCACGAAAAGAAAACTAGAACATCTCTCTATATTTGGAAATTAAGAAATGCTTCTGTGTAACCTGTTGATACAAAAATGCACATTTGAAAATATTTTTTGAAAGAATTAAGATTTGAATGACATTAAAACTTGACAGATACAACTAAAACTATGTTATATCTGAAAAAAAGAAAAGTTGAAAAATCAGTCATCTAAGCACAAATCTTAAAATTTAAAAACAGCAACTTAAACTTCTATCGAAGAAAGTAAAGGAAAAGGAAGATAAAGATAAGAACAAAAAGTAATGAAATAGAAGACATACAGTACTTAAGGTCCACAAAGCCAAAATTTGGTTCTTTGAAAAGACTAATAGAATTGATAGAAACACATGGTAAAACTGGTCAAGAAATATGGAGAAGCAGACCCAATCTATCTGATAGAAAGAGGAGATGTTACTCAAGATTCTGTGGACATGACAGAGGTAGGAAGAAGGCATTTTTAGTTATCAAAGGAATTAAATCTGTAATTTAAGTTATTCAAAAGAGAAAACCCCGGACTTATATGACCATACTAGTAAACTGTACCAAGCATCAATCTAACACAATTTTTTTCCCAGAGAACAGAAAAATAAGCAATACATTTCAACTCATTGTACAGGGTCAGCATTACTTCAAAACCAAATGCATAAAAGGGCATTATATAAGAATGGAAAACTGTAGGCCACTCTTACTCATGGACATAGGTGCAAAAATCCTGAACAAGTGAATAAAGGAATAAACAGTATAAAAATCAAAAAGGAAAAATTAAAATTGTCATTTTTCCAAATTGTTTATACAGAAAATGCATATAAATCCACAAAAAATTATTAGAATTCATTTTTTAGTTTAACTAGGTTGCTGCCTAACAGGTCAGTATACCAGAATTAAGTCTAAGCATTGCAACAAATAAGAAATGCATTTTAAATAAAAATATCACTTATAATAGTATCAAAAATATCAAATGCTAGGAATAAATGTAACATAATATGTTTAAGACTTTTACACAATAAAATATTGAGAGAAAATTCAGAAGTCTTACATGAATGGAGAGATATACCATAATCATGAATTGAAAGAGTCAGTATTTTAAAGATGTTCTCCCCAAATTGATGTATCGGTTAGGTGCAATTCCAATATGAATCTGAGTGTGTTTTATGGAAATTGTCAAGCTGATTCTCAAATTTATGTAGAGATTCAAAGGACCAAGAATAACTAAGTTACTCTTCAAGAAGAGGAAGGTAGGATAATTGCTCCGCTGGGTATCAAGATCTTTCATAAAGCTATACAACTGAAAACAATTTGGATAGAAAAGTAGAGCAGTGAAAGAAGAATAGAGAATCCAGAAACAGACCCATGTATATACTACACGTGCTTTATGATAGAGTTGACCTTAAAGAGCAGTAAGGGTGGTCTCTTAAACTTTCTTCTTTTCACATCACACTCAGAAATCAATTCCAAATGGATAGAGATCTAAACATAGAAAGCAAAATAATAAAGGTTCTCAAAGGTAACAAAGGTTATCTTTAGGACTTGAGAGAAGAGAAAGATTTGTAAAACAGAACACAAAACCCAGTAGCAATGAAGAAGAATACCAGTAAATGCAACTACATTGAAATTAGGGACTGTTTTTTGTCAGAACACACCAGCAAGAGAATAAAAGGTCAAGCCACAGACTAGCGGAAGTTATCTGCATACGGGTAACCAAAAAAGCGCTCAAGTCTTAGAAATGAAACCCTTATAACTCAGTACATAAAAGGCAATTATCTCCAATGAAATACTGGCAAAAGATTCAACAGACAAATCAGAAAAGAGACCAATGAAAATGTTAAAGAACGTTTAATATCATTAGTGATGAGAAAAAGCAAATTAAGCCTAATGAGATATCTTTACACATCCAACAGAATGATTTAAATTTAAAAATCTGACAATACAAAATGTTTATGAGGCTCTGGGGTAGTGGGACTTTCATATGTTGCTGGTGGGAGTAAAAATTAGTCTAACTATCCTGAAAAACTCTTTAACATCTTCTAAAGTTGAAGATATGTATATTGTGTTTGTAGAGTGCCAAAGTGAAAAAAATTCAAAGGTCTAGCGTCAGTAGAATGGATAAAGGAGAGCATATTCATATGGAATTCTGTATGGTACCAAAAAAAAGTAACTATAGCTACTCCAAACAGTGTTGGTGAATCTCAGTATCATGTGGAATGGAAAAAGAGTACAAAAGAATATATAGTGTATGATTACATTCATATGACGTTCAAAGTAGATTAAATGTTTAACGATGAAAATATAGGTGGTAAAATATAAAGAAAAGCAAAAATGTTATTACTATGAATGACAAGATAGTGGTTGTCTTTAGGAAAGTGGGAAGGTGAAGTAATTGGCGGGGGATATGAAAGATGTCTGGGTTGCTGGCAGTGCTCTATTTCTTGACCTGGATGATATTTTGTGGGTTAAATCACTGAGCTCTACAGTTTTACTTTGTGCATTTTTATGTGTGTTAGTTTACACACACACACATCCAAAAAGAGGCCAAAAGAATCATGATGCAAAGAGGAGAGAATTAGTTAATAAAATGATTGTTTTTAGACTATTTCAGTGGTATACCGCATTCAATACATTCAACAGGAAGGCAGTGAAAGATGTTGTATGGTAAAGCGAGCAAACTTAATTGGAAAGAAGAAAGTTCAGTTGTAAAAGGATAGGTAAGATACTGATATTTTTCACCTATAAATGTGTTTTGCAGGAAATAAGTGTTCATGGTCGGTTGGGAGTTATTTATAATCCTACATCAAAAATAGATGAAGATAACACAGCTATTTCCAGAGGAATTCTGGCAGCTTTTCTTACACTGGAAAACAGCTTTTTGAGAAACTTTCTCAGGAAACTGGCAGAGGAAGAAACTGCTACAGCTATTTACTCTGGAGATAAAATTAAAAGATTCCTTACTGAGGTCAGTAGCTATTTGTTTGAAATAATAAATAAGTATCTTGCATATTTCAAAAGTATAAGTCAGTGTGCTTGGAGATATCATGTTAAAAAAATCATTAAGTATAATCAAACGGGGATAATAAACTTTCCTTTACAGTGGGAAAAGATGCATGTTACATGATACAGCTTTGCATAGAGGCACTTAACAAATCAAATTTCATATATTTCAGCTACTACTTCATGATCCTTAAAGTTAAAGGCATTCTAGTTAGGATACGTACTTATGTGAAGCATTAGGAGTTAAAGGATTATGTGAATAATCCTCAGTTATTTCACTCAAGGGGTCCAGTACAGGGAAAATTCTGGACAGAAGCTGATCCTCTGGAAGAAAGATTCATTAATCCATTCAAAAAATATTTATTGATTGTCTACCAGACAATGGAGATAATACTTATGAACAAGGCAGATAGAGTCCCAGTTCTTATGGAGCTTACATTGTAATGGGAAAGACCAGGTAAGTGGTATTGGAAAGATATAAAGAAATATAAGAAAGTAAACAGTTTGAGGGATGCTCTTTTAGCTGGAGTGGTCAAGGGAAGTCATCTCTAAAGAGCTGATGTCTGAGCAGAGCTCTGAATGAAATGAGAAGTCAAGCCATGGAAAGTCTACAGACTTTCTTACAGAGAAGCATATACCAGGTTCAGAACACAGCAGGTCTAAAGGCCTGACACAGAGACAGCCTTGCCAGGTTTGAGGTATAGGCAGAAGGTCATCATGACCAAAGTAGAGTGATGGGGAGACTAGTAGGAAATGAGTTCGCAAACATAATCCCAGATACTTCAAGCACTCATAGGCCATGGTAAGGAATTGAATTTTTTTCTGAGTATAATGGAAAGTCATTGAGGAATCTTGTGAGATAAATAATCTTGAAAAAGATGACTCTGGGTGCCATGTGAAGATTTGATAGTAGGTAAACAAGAGTGGAAATAGGATGAACAATTAGAATGCTATTGCAACAATCCAGGTAAGAAATAATGGTGTCTTGGAGTAGATATTGGTGGTGGACATGGTGAGATGGTATATACATAATATCTGTTAAAACTGTAGTCAGCTTGAAGAGCTGCCAATTGTATGTGACATGTGAAAGTAATACTCAAGGATTTTGTCTTGAACAGCTAGAATTGCGGTGTCTTTTTTTGGAGATGCGGAGGTCTTGATGAAGAGAAGATTGGGATACATAGGGGATCGAGAGTTAAGTTTTGTATGTGTTAAGTTGGAGATGCCTGTTGGACATTCAAGTGGAGATGTTGAGTTGACAATTTAGTAAATAAGTGTAGGAATCAATGGAGGGTATAATGTTTTGTTTTGAGAGTCATCAACATTATATATAATTTAAAGCTAAGAAACTGGATGAAATACCTTGGAAGTGAGTGGGGCAGGGGTTGGAGAACAGAGGGACTGAAAAAGAGCCCTGGAACATTCCAACATATAGAGGAACGCAAGAAAAGGATGATCCAGTAGAGGGGACAGATGGAACAGCCACTGAGTTAGGAAGATAACCAGGAGAGTGTGATATCCTAGAAGCCACCTGGAGCAAGTATTTCAAGGAGGACATGATAAACTATGCCATATTTCTTGAAATTAGGCTTCATAATGGACCATTTTATTTGTTAAGGTGGTCATTGGTGGCCTTGATAAGAACAGTTTCAGTGAAGTGATAGGTATAAATGTGAACTGGATTCAAGAGAGAATAGGAAATCAGGAGACAGAGACAGCAAGTATAGGTAGCTTTTTAAAGGAATCTTCCTATATGGGGAACAGAGAAATATCCTGTAGCTAGAATAGGGCTTGAGGTCGTGGACGGATTTCACTTATTTTTGGTATGCTGATGAAAACAGCCCATCCAGAAAATGAGAAAAGATGAAACGGAGCGGAGCAAAGTGGGAGGATAGCTCTTGCGTAGCTAAGAGGTGCTGGGACCCAGTGCACAAGCTGTAAGTATTGGCTGAAGAATGGGGTAGATTTTTTTTTGGTGGTAGCGAGATGAGTACTTTACTTCTGATTGATTTTGTTCTCAAGAGAAGGTCAAGTCATTAGCTAAGTATTAGAATAGGAGTAGGTGCTCTTAGAGGTTCGAGGGTAGAGGAGAAAATGTCAAATATTTTTCTAGTATTCTGCGAGTGAGAAAGTGAATTAAAAACATTATAGTAAGATTTCTGAGGGCCCACTTGAGGTTGATGACCATAAATTGAAAGTGAGATCAATGTTGGCTGCATGTTTTTCTCCAGCTGCCCTAAAGCTGTTTGGATCCAGTTGCAGAGTAAGCAGAGATGTGTTTAACCAGAGTTGAGGTTTTGCCAGGTGAATAACTGAGGGGAAGCATCCAGGGGAGGTGAGCATGGAATGTTTCTGTTATAGTAAAGGGATCTGGGGTATAACTTGGTTAGGAGGAAAATGATAATATGGAAAGTGTGATGGACAGCAAATAAGTGGTAGGGTCAGTGGACTAAAGGGTTGAGTAATCGTTGGTCTGGTGACACTGGGATGAATGAGCTAGAAGGTCAGCAGATTGTGGTCAGAGAGGGGTTGACTGAGACAGAGGTTTTGGAAGTAAAGATCTAGAGCTACACTGTCTGATACTGTAGCCACTAACTTCATGTGGCTATTTTAAACTTAAATTAAATTTAAATTCAGTTTCTCAGTCATACTAGCCACATTTCAAGCGCTCAGTACCCATCTGTGGCTGTGTGTTAGACAGCGCAGGGGAACATTTCTGACCTTGCAGGAGTACCAGGAACGTGATAGAAAGTCAGAATGTAAGGCCCTCCCTGGATCGACACCCAGGTGATTTGTATGCATATTAAAGTTTGATACACACTGAGATGGCAAAGATTACTTTTGTATTTCAGAGTTTAAATGCACTATTACTAAATTGGTTTCATGGGATTGGTATAATGGAATGAGCAGAGTATTTCTATTTTGAACAGTATTTTTTTTAATTGAACACACCAAAATGGAGGTACTGAATTCAGAATTTAATAAACATTGTATTTCATTGTTTAATGTTAAATTTTATTTAAATTGATGTTTCCTAGCATTTTACTTATCAGTAATCCACCCAAATTTCTCAAAGAATGAGTAGCAAACTGTATCTACTTGTAACAGGATTTACAGATATTGTAATTGCCTTGCCAAAGAAGGATTCTTTTTTTAAATGTGGTTTCAGAACAAAATAGTACTTTTTAAAATCACAAGTTAATATAATTTTAAATTTTATACTAATATATTAAAGTAGGCTATGTTTAAAAAATTATTTAATGTATTTACTGTTCTCTTGCTGGTTTTATCATTCTTAACTTATACCTTAGGGAATGAATAAAAATGCTTTTGAGAAAAAATATAATACCATTGGAGTGAATATTTTTCGAACTCACCAGTTGTTCTGTCAAGATGTACTTAAATTGCGTCCTGGAGAAATAGGTGTTGTCAGCAATGGGAAAGTAAGTAAAAAAAGCAATTGCTCACTTTTCTCAGGGACACTGTGATACGAGGGTGTCAAACGTTTTCTGTCACAACACACCTGATGCAACATACACAGAGGACAGTGCTCATGTGCTAGACACGCCAGACAGGTCTCAGCGTAAATAAAATGGCCACTGAGATGTCCAGTTCGTGGCACAGTACCTGTTTCTTCACTCCTCCCTCCCATTGGTGATAACATCGAATGCGGCTAAGGATGTTCTTTGGGGATAGCTTTTATAATATAAATATTAGAACAAACAATTTTGTATACATTACAACATTGAGATTGATCACTGTTGTAAGTAGGTGTAAAAAGTACATTCTGACATCTTTTTCTTCTTGTAGTTTTTTCTACAATTGATTATGTTAAATAACAATACTGCAAGTTTTGAACTATAAAGTCGTATTTATTAATATAATCTTTTAAAATCTATAGTAAAAATCACTCTTACTCCCACCATCCTAATAAAATTTATTATTAATAGTTTGTTTTACCATCTAACCTTTTTCTACTCTACATAGCCATGTCTGTCTTTTTAAATACATAATTGTAATGCTATTATATATATATAATTTTATATCATACTTTTTTCTCTTACTATATCATAAATGTGTTTCTGATTAATTAGGGAGTTTTAATAGATACATACAAAATTAGTGGATGATAGCTACTTATTAATATTTTTTACTATGATAGTCTGGTTTTCTCAGGAATGGTTTAAGTTTTTAAAAATTGAATCTGGTGCTTAGGTATATTTAGAAATCAACTAATGCAGTGTGTTTGACATTATCTCTGCTTGAAGCATCAAATTATGTATCCCTAAATCATCTTCAAAGCTGTAGTGTTTTCTCTGTTTTCTACATTTTTATGAGCTCTATTCACCTGCATGCTTCATTCCTGTATCATCATTCCCTTAAAGTTATGCTTATTTATTCCTTCTTATCTGAATCTATAAATAATAGAAATTGGAGAATAGTGAGGGACTCATATCCACAAGCATCCACAAGTCACATATTTCAGCTTCAGTGTAACAGTTCTTGAGCTAATTGTGTTAGCTCCTAAAAATAGACGCGGGTTCATCTGTGTACAGTGCTGTTTTACAATTGGTGACCACAGTTGCCACTTATTATTACAGTAATATAAAATATTAGTGAATTTTGATAATGAGCTATGTGAAAGCCCACAAATGGCATTGCTTTTTTTTTCAACAGTTGCTTTGGGAAGAAATCTAACTTTTTAGAACAGTTTTAAAGTATATGGCTACCTTCGGCTCTGTCAGGCATTTTAAGAGATAAAAAGAAAAAATTACAGCCTGCTGTATCTGTTACCTTGCCTTTTGGTTATGTTGATACATTACGGAAAAGCTACCCTATGTTTTCTTTTGTCATTGTTTAATATAATTCAGATATTGTTATCAATATTAGTGATAACAAATATAGTTATGTTCAACTTATTTCTCTTAGAACTGTTTTCTTCTCACTTTCCTTGAAATTGACAAAAGCATTTAGATGTAATTTTGCATCTGCCATGAACCAAGCATTCTTCTAGAATCTGAGAGTATAGTAGTGAACAAACATGTTTCTGTGGCGTTTACACTTTGGTGGGCAGGGACCGAAAAAAAATAGTGTCCTTACTGATAAAGTGTTATTTGGACAGAGAACCAAAGAAGGTGAGGGAGCGAGCCATGTTGCATATCTGGAAGGGTAACGTTCTAGGTAGAGGGAACAGTACAAAGGTCCTGAGATGAGCTCACATCTGTGTGTTCTAGGAACAGCAGATATGAAGAGAACAGGAGAGAGGTACCTGGAGGCCAGGTCAGGTAGGGCTTTACTCTGAATGAGTTGAGAAGCCAATGGTTCTGGGCGGGGGATTGACATGAACTGACGTTTCATTTGGATCACTAGTGGCTGTTACATCAAGGATAGACTGTAGGTGTTAGGAAACCAGTTAGGAGCTATTACAGTAGTCCAAGTGAGATGTGATGGTGGCCTGGACCAGAATGGCTCTAGTGGAAGTAGGGAGAAGTAGACGTGAGATGTATTTTGGAGGATGACCAGGAATTGCTGACAGACTTACAGTGGGATGTAAGAGAACTACGTGACAGGCAGAATTGAGCTGCCGCTGTTTTAAGGAAAGGAAGACTGCAGGAGGAGTGGGCTTGTTCAGAAGGAGTAGAAAGGGCAGATAGAGGATTCAGTTCTGGACGTATTAAGAGTTCAGTGTTCAGTTCTGGACCTCTGAGTAGACTGGTTGAGTTGACAGCTGAACGTATGAGTTAAATTCGGGGAGAGGTTGGGGCTAGAGAGAGATAGTAAGTCAGATGACATTGACTTTTTGTGTCGACTAATGGAAAATTGTAATTTTGATTATCCTTTTATTTGTAGGACTGTGGTTTGAATACAAAAGTATGATATATTTGAAAATAAGCACTATGGTTTATGAACTATAATGTAATGCTATAGCATTGCTATGAAACACAATAATCATAACAATTGTAACATAGTTATAATTCTGAACCAGATAGTTAATGATTAAAATAATTCTGACATTTTAGAATCAATCTTCATTTTGAACCTGTCCAAATATTTACATTAGAATTGAAACATATTCAAAGTTAAAATTGTTTATAAATGATCAAAACTAGGGTGTAATGATGATCTCATACTTTCTTACTGCCATGCTAAAGCATTAAAAATCTATATATTTTAAGATTAAACAAAACCCTAAATAATGCTATTGCTATAATTATATTTATTTTTGTCATGTTACATATTTACAAATTGATGAAAGACGTGGTGTGGCAGAGAGAAGGGAAACAAACAAGGCCTTTTTGTTTTAGCTAGGCGAATCTGGATTCAAATTCTGGTTGCACCATTAATTGTATAACCTTTGCAAGACTTGGTTTCCTCATTTGCACAATGGAAAAGGTAATAGTCTGTTTTAAAGTTGCCAGAGAGATTAAGTATACTTTTACACATAAAACACATAGAACAGACACAGAGTAAATTTTCAGTAAATATTAACTTCTGTTTTCTCTTTAAATATTTGAAGGCTATCATGGGAAATATGGGTACATTTATAGATTTGATTTGCGTTGTATTCATTGAGAGTCAGTATAGAATCAAGCCCAGTTGATCCAACTTCCACGAGTGGGGAGAGATTTTTAGCTCAGTATGTGGAAGAACATTCTAACAGAGTTTTCTAAAATTGTAATGATCTGTCAAATGAGGTAATGTGTTTCTGTTATAGCAGTTATTCTGTATAACTGAAAAATCACATTTCCAAAACGTTGTAAAGATTTAAACTCCAGATAGGTTTTATCGTACTATTACGTGATTTTCAAATTTAATGTTCCATTTCCCAATTTGGTCATTATGTGATTTTATACTATTTAAGTTGCTTTATTCCACAAACATCATATTCATCTTTAAGTAGAAGAACTAAGACACAGAAGAACCAAGTTTCTGCTAGCTGTTTGACACTGAACTTACATAGGTGCAATAGAGCTGGTTCTCTGGTGAATTTAATCAGTAAAGATACCCAATCTTGTTCATCCCTTAGGAAAATAATTTGAGATTTTCGTTCCTTATTCTAAGTTATTAACAAAACTACTCAAGTCACTAGAAGTGGTATAGATAAAATTCAGCTCTTTTCCAGGCCTCTCCTATCCACAGTCAAAAAAATACAGCATTAAAAGTGCTTTGAAAGTTACCTTAAAAATGATAGCAAATCTTAAGGAAATGAAATGTTTATATGTGTACTTTTAGTATTACAGTGCCCATTTTTTGTACTTTTAAGAGCCCAGGTTTTATGTTTAAAGTGAACATGGTATTTATTTAGCTGGATGCCAACATTCCAACTAATACCACCTTTGATGTGAGCAAATGAGAAAAGATTCAAGAACTATACTTCATTAATTTTTAGAAAATATTAATTGCAGAAGCATATGAAGGGGAAGTAAGAAAATGCACTGCAGGGCTTCCCTGGTGGCCCAGTGGTTAAGAATCCGCCTGCCAATGCAGGGACACAGGTTCGAGCCCTGGTCCGGGAAGATCCCACATGCTGCAGAGCAACTAAGCCCGTGCGCCACAACTACTGAGCCTGTGCTCTAGAGCCTGCAAGCCACAACTACTGAGCCTGCGTGCTACAGCTACTGAGGCCCGCGCGCCTAGACACCGCAAAGAAGAATAGCCAGCCCCCTCTCGCTGCAGCTAGAGAAAGCCCCCGTGCAGCTACGAAGACCCAACACAGCCAAAAATAAATAAATTAAATTAATTAATTAATTAAAAAAAATCCACTGCAACCATTTCATTCTGGTTGACATGTTTTCTAGTTGTTTGTCATTAAGTCTAATTGTTTAGTGCATAAGACTATGTCAGGGCTCACCTTCTACGTCAGGCTTATGTTAATAATATTATGATGGTGCACATATTAGCTTTTCCAGAAAATGATAACGGCAGTAGAGTTGGAGTGGTTGTGGTGGGATAGCCATCCTGAGAAATTCAGGTATCTGGGAATTTTACAGCTTCCCCGCTCTGTAGTTATTGATTTAAAGCTAACCTACAAGACCTTGCTGTGCTCCAAACAGTTTATACAGCATCAGTTAGATGAAGATTGGTTGGTGTTATTAAGTAATTATGGGATTTGTTTCTTGGTTTTTGCTCTTTTATGCCTTGTTTATATATTAATTCATATCTACATAGTGTAGACTACAATTTACAGATTAAATAGGAAAATACTGAAATTAAAAGACTTATGGAATATAGACATTTGCTTTGATAGCTTACTTTAGAATGAAAAGCTTTAGGTTTTTGGAAGCATTATGTCTCAAAGTAAAACTTTCAAATGGAAATAATTTGCTGGTTTTTTTGCCACATTGATTTTGGTATTGATGCAAATGTTATTTATAATATCAAAGTGAGGAAATAGTTTTCTCTTGTTTCCCAGGGGACTTAGTAAATGGTGGGATTAATAGCCACCATCTGTTTAATCTCTAATCAATATTTGCTTCAAGAAATATCTATTTGATAAGAAAATACTTGTCCCAAATTGGTATCTTATAGAAGATATACAATAATATAACTGCTTTTAAGTTCTTAGGACCTTTAGATGAAGATTTCTGTGCAGAAGATTTTTACTTGTTGGAAAAGATAACATTGACTCATTTAGTAGAGAAAATTGAAGACATTGTTGAAAATACAGAAGTCAACTCAAAGAAGTAAGTATTTAAAATTGTAAGAGCAATTCATTTTAGAGTTTGGTATTTTGTATCCGATTTTTTCTTTTTAAGATTAGAAAATGTTTCAAATACACACAGAAGATACAATAAAAGACATGTAGAGAATATAAAAAAACAGCAGACTGTAGATGTTAATATTTCATTTTATTTGTCTTGATTGTCCCATTCTCCTCCCTCCCTAAGAGGTAACCATTTTCTCAAATGTTGTGTGCATGATTCCCATATATGTGCTTATACTTTTGCTTCATATGTAAGTATCTATTATTAGTGTTTGTGTTAAAGTCTTGACTTTTTTAGAGATATGCTATTATACATAGGCTCCTTTTGCAGTCTGCCTCCATAAGAGCTTTATCCATGTTCATGTATATAGAGCGAGCTTATTCATTTCAGTTTCTTTTTAGTATTTCATTTTGTGAATATACTGCAGTTCATTTATATACTCCATTACTGAAGTACAGTTAACTTGGCTTTAGTTTTTTACTATTATGTAAATGCTATCATGAACCTGGTTTACATGTGTCTTTGTATAATGTGTGAGTTTCTCTAGAGTAGAGGAGTGTTGTTATTGGGCTGTAGGACAGATGTACCTTCGGCTTTACCAGATGTTGCTAAATTCTGTCCTTCAAAGGAGTTGCAACAATTAACACTGCCACCAGAAATGTATAAGAGTTCATTTCCCCAGGTCGTCACCAATACTTGGTGTTACGCAGCCTGTTAATTTTTCCTATCTGATGGATGTGAAATTGCATCTTATTTTAATTTGCACTTCCTTGACTTCTAGTAAAGTTGAGTATCTTTTCATATGATTGTTTTAATTTATGTTTGCTCTTCCTCCAACGTGCCTACAATTTTACGTATTAGAGAGTGTGTGGCCTATAAATAAATACCTTAAGAAAGTTTACGAGTAGATTATGGTTTGGATTAACCCATTTATTTTATGTTTATTAAGTGGCCATTAAATGTAATGCTCTGTGAAAGATATGGTAGGTATTACAAATAAAAATAATATACAGTATACAGGACCTATAGTACAGCAAAACATGTTATAGTTTGCTGACAGTACTGACAAGGTTCTCAACCACCCTGACTCTAAATTTCTTTGTTTATAAAATGGAGATGCCTATCTTTTCTCTCTTTCTTTCTTTTTTTTTTTTTTTTTTTTGGTGGAGGGGGACATTTCTTAAAGTTCAGCTAACATTTTCTGTTCCAGCATATCATTGAACATATACCTTTTCTCCATTATGGATTTTTTAATTTGGTTATATTTAATCCAGGTATTTATTTTGTACAATTTTAGTTTTCAAATGAATTTGAAACCAAAGAAATCTGGGCTTCTTAACTATATTAAAAGTTCTTTGAAAGTAGTTATTCTATCATTTAATTTTTGTTCTTCCTGCTCTTCTTTCTTTCCTACATGGGTCCCAGTGCTTGGATATATAACCAGCACTCAGCAAATATTGACTTGAATTGAATGATTCTCCATATTCTTATAGATACTATTAGGAACACTTATGTGTTTAAATATCATATCAATGATAAGAAAAAATAGGATGACCTTAAAAGCAGCAGTCATTTTACTTTGACAAATTATACAAGTTTGGAAGAAAGGTCATTTATATACAGTTGGCCTATTGGAGATATTTTACATTAAATTCCCCTTTCTTGAGACATTAATTGTGACATAAAATATGGACCTTTCTTTCCTCCCCAAAACTCATTTATCTTGTTTCTCCAGCCTGAGTGACCTTGTTATGAAAATTGATGCCCTTCTTTCCTCTTTACCTAAACATGCATCTCGGTATGATGTCACATTTCTTGAGGAGAATCACAGGTAAGATGTATTAGTGCTGTTTTTTTTCTGTTACTGCATCCTATACTGAATTATGGTTACCATATGTATTCACAATATAGCAAAAGTTAAAGTAGAATTAAAAGTTGTTAGAGAATAAATGTATTTGACAAGATAGGGAAAAGAAATTTGAGTTAATTATATTCTAGTAAATAAATGACATATATATATACACACACAGATACATATATAGGATATGAAGTTTCAAGTAAGTTAAATCTAGTATGATTTGTCTTATTCTCATCTTTCTTCCACATTCAAGATCATTTGGAATTTTTGCAGTATAATCTTTATAAATAATAATATCTTTATATTCTCAATGTATAAAAGGCTCAGTTACTGAAGAATTCTTAATAAAGTGTAGACATGTACAACAGAATGTCCCAAACTGTGTTTTATGGAACATTACTCTGAAGTGTTGACAGATATTTTCTGAGGGAAAAACTGTAGTCAAGTAAATTTAGAGAATACTGAATCTTTTGGGGTGGAGGAGTGAGATTTTCAGTGCGCATCAACATATTGACGATTATGAGATGTGGTGTGGCTAAAAGAAAACAAAAGAAAAGTTCATTTTTGGTAAACTCAACAGTTGGGTAACTTATTCATGGAACACTTTTTTTGTTAAAAATTTATTATTTCATAAAAATTAGGTTTCCAAAAAGAGCCATCAGAGAAATACTGTTTTAGAATAATAAACTAGTTTATACTTTTACTGTATTATACTTCCCCTCTAAGATATTTGAAATAAAATTCATCAAGTTCTATCTACGTACATAAAATAATCTGAGTCCCCAGCAGGAACTTTTTTTTTTTAATTTAAAAATTAAGGACCACTTAGAATGGGAAAAAAATAATCAGTTAGACATTATGTAACTAAACTATAGACATGTTTTATTTTCTTTTTCTAATCACTGCTCTTATAAAGCTAAAATGAGACAAATTACTTTATCGTAAACTTAAAGTGGCTGGCACTTCCTTCTAAGTTTTCTGATTTTATGGTAGATGCGATCTTATATTGCTTCTGTTTACTCTGTTACAAGGTAACACGTTCTTTGGCTGTAGAAGGTCTGTCTTTTGAGGTGTCTTCACACATGTATAGTAGTATCATTCTTAGGAAAAATTACTTTCTAAAGAGAAATTATCTAGCACTATTGGGAATGAAGTTTTTATTTTTTTTTTCAGATAACTGAACTGAGATTCAATACTTTTAATTTTAAGTATTTTAAACACTTTTAGCAGAATTCTTTTTGCAAACGTCTTTGATTTCCTAAATACCATATGCTGAAATAATTTAACACAAATTATTGACAACTGTCATTGCAAACATTAATCACTATACTGTTACATGGTTATGTTATATTTAGGAATTTTGATATGTTTGGAACTGTTTACTCCCACATTAAATGTCTGAACCATTTGGTCTTTCATAGGTTATTGTTGTTGTAGTCTCTGCTTTCTTTCTTTAGCTCTCACATCAATCAACGTGTCCTGCTGCTTTTAAGCCTTCTTTTATATAGAAGGATACGATGTGACTTTGTGACAGTGGTTTACAATTCTCCAGTTCTTTTCTATTTATTTCTGGGGCATTGTTACAAATATTTATAAATGGATATGTAGTATATGTGTATTGGTATGCATCTATGTTTATACAATAATACATACTCATCTAATGCCTGCCTTTTTTTAAATGCAAAGTCAGTAATCTTCCATTTTTCTGAGTTCATGTGTATAATTTAGGTATTTAACTTTTCCTTCTGTGTGTTTACACATGTTGGTATGATCTATTTATCCACATCAACTTTGGTTGTATGGCATAGCATGAGCTTTCTTGTCAAAAAAAAAAAAAAAAAAAAAAGAACAGCTTTTTGATCCCAGTCTACCACTTACCTAGCTATGTGACCTCTCTTAGCCTCAGTTTCTTAGTCTATAAAATATAGATGATGATCCCTACCCTTCAGGGGTTTTATGAGATTCAGGCCTACTGTCTTAAGTATAGTAGATATTTATTTAATGCATTGTAGCTATGTGTATTTGTTACACAAATAACAAGGCGCTTCTCACAACTTGGAAATAAGAGAACTAAGATTGAACCTGAAAGTTAAGCCATAAAATCAACTCGTATTAATCAGGGGAGAAATGTGAATACTTACCTTAAATGTAGGATCCATGTCAGCAAGACTTAATGATAATCTGATTGAAGGTCTTAATTTATTGAAGAAACAATGACTTTGTTGGATTTCATTTGTGTTGGAAGCCTAGAAAAAGAGAGTAGCACATTAGCAATGCTGGGCTGTGTAGTCTGGGTCAATCAGAGCAGTAGAATCACTGTTGCACACACACGTGCATGTGTGGTATATATGTATGCATATGTATATTGGGAAGTGTATAGATAAGAATTTATGTATGTACGTATGCGTGAATGAATGAATTGTTATAGGATTTGACGTTACACAATTGTGGGAGCTGGTTAAGTAGTCTCTGTAAGGCTGTTGGCTTCTGATACTGGAACTTTAAGTTCACAGGGCAGGCCATTAGGAAGAGAGGTAGCTGTCAAGAGGGGAGAGAGCAAGAGAGAGTTGTCAAGAGCAAGCTGGAATCCCACAAGTAAGGACTGAAACCTGTGTCAGTTCTTGTTGCCTCTGACCTTCGTGCATAGCAGGTGTCCTGCAGAAGATGGGAGCCCTATCACAATGCCAAACACACATACGTGACCTAGGAGTCAGAGAGTAGGAGGAGGATCTTGGGGAAGGTAGAACCAGTGGGGGCCTCATGCCAACGACGTTGAGTCAGCAGATCAGTAACAAAGTGTGTGAGCTAGAGAATGGCTGCCGCCCCCTCCTGCCCTCCAGATATCCTGAGAATCTCTCTTCTGGCCCACCCACCAGAATCGTGAAGGAAAGGGAATTCTGGAAAATGTCGCTCAGCCTAACCAACACACATACTACACAGATGATGGGAACTGTGGGCTTCTGATTCACAGAACCTCACAGAATTGGCAGTAGTCTGGGGGAAAAAACTTAAAGTAGCTGTCAACAGATGCCTACTTTAGCCATAGTAATGTCTCATGAAGCATATAGAAAACAACCAGTTTTGACTAGTGCTCCAAGTATGACAGTAATTTGTAAAATTTTCACCAAGAAAACTAAAGGAATTAACCATTGTGGATAGTCTCTTTAATTTAAAACATCTGATCTGTAGCCCTGGTTTCTAGCAGCAATTATCTACCAGGATTTGTTGTCTGATTCTGACGCTCCTGTTTAAACATTATTAACTCTTATCAACTGCATATAAAATAAAATGTCTTTCATCTCTCTAGGTCAGAAGACCCATATTTGAAGTGAATTTTACATTAGCTTTTATTTGATTGCTGAGAAATTATTTCACTGCTGAAGTCTAGATATTTATAGTCTTCTTGTACCAAAGAAGACTAAGATCCCTGTAGTCTTAGAGGGGTACAGTTTGATTTGGTAGAATCTTTTTACCTTTGTAATATGTAAGATATTTAATTTATACATCTCCAAAAAAACTGATTTCCTATGTTATTGTAGTGTTAAAACAGTAATCAATTGGACTGTTCTGTACTTTTCATTAAATATATCCTTTAAACTTTTCATTAAATTAAATATAGAATGGATTATCTCCTACTGGCCTTTTCTGTGCTTTTAATGATTTTCCCAACGTTTTCCTTTAAAGATTAGCCCGTCTTCTAACTTAGATCAGTGAAAGACAAAAACGGAAAGGTCAGAGGGGAGGAGGTGTGGAGAGGATGACTTAGGTCAAAATAACATGAAAAATTTGGGTGTTTTTCCCCTGAGCTTTCCTGTTATAATATGTTGGGCTTTTAAAACTAGTAAGTTTAATAGAAGTACTGAATAGTTAATTCTGTCATTCTCAAATCTGAGAAAATATATTTAACACAGAAGCATCTTTGTTTTATTTATTTATTTACTTTATTTATTTATTTTTGGCTGTGTTGGGTCTTCGTTTCTGTGCTAGGGCTTTCTCTAATTGCAGTGAGAGGGGGCCAGTCTTCATCGCGGTGCACGGGCCTCTCACTATCGCGGCCTCTCTTGTTGCGGAGCACAGGCTCCAGATGCGCAGGCTCAGTAGTTGTGGCTCACGGGCCCAGTTGCTGCGCGGCATGTGGGATCTTCCCAGACCAGGACTCAAAGCCGTGTCCCCTGCATTGGCAGGCAGATTCTCAACCGCTGTGCCACCAGGGAAGCCCCTGTCTTATTTTTTTACGTTGTATGATCCATGAGAATTTGGGGGGCTTAAAATTATAAAGTTTTTTCACTATAATAGTATTGTTCTTTGAAGAGTTTTTAAAAAATCATTCGTCCATAATTTCTTACTTTCATTTTCTCTAATTCTTTGCAGTTTTCTAATTTAGTGAATGCAAACATTAAACTTTTAAATTTGCATTTTCTTCTGTGAAATAACCAGGATTTTTTAATCCAGTGAAAAAGAAAGAAATTTATAAGAATGTACGTAGCTAAGATTAATTAGGCAATTGAATAAACTTAACTGATCAGTGTTCATCTTATTTTTTATTTTTCTAGCATTATAAAGATAAATTCTCAGGAGAATGATATGTCCTTTGATGTCATTGCTATTGTTGATCCATTGACAAGAGAAGCACAGAAGATGGCACAGTTATTGATTGTAAGATATCATATTTTATTAAATATTATATATATTTATTATATGATATATACTTTTATTTTGAAATTTATAATCTTTTCAGGTATGTTTTCAAGTATAATCAAATGTTTGCTCTTTATTCTTTCATACAACATTCTAAATAGATTGTCATATTTCAGTGTAGAAAATGAAATGATACAAGTATGCCTATGGTGTTATGGCAGTACCAGGTTAGGTGTTAATGTGGACGTAATTTCTGTCCCCATCGCCCCCAAAATTCATATGTTAAAGCCCTATCCCCAGTGTGACTGTATTTGGAAATAGGGCCTTGGGGAAGTAGTTAAGGTTAAATGAAACCCTGTGGGTTGGGCTGTAATGCAGTAGGATCGATAGCCTTATAGGAAGAGGAGAAGAGAGATCTTTCTCTCCTCACAAACATGCCTCATTCTTTCTTTCTGCATTTGTATACCTTCAAACTTTAACTTCTTTAGACACACTATTCATATTATTCTCTAGAAAACAGAGATCAGTAATCATACCTATGAGGAATGGAGGTAGTATGATTCATTCCCTTATGAATCCTATGGGGATTCATTATCCAAAAAAAAATTGCTTACCTCTGAAGCTTTTACGTAAACATAGAATTTAGGAATAAGAAGTATGGGTTATACAGAAATATAAAATATGGAATTGCATTCCAGTTTACATCATTGGTAATAGTAGCATACTTTGTTTCTGAGCAACTCAGAACCTCACATAGCATATTATTTCTTACTATAGAGAAAATGTATGCTGTAAATTTGTGCTATAAAGCACAAATTAATTTACTGGAAAAAATGGTCAGTGTCTCATTTAACACTTGGAAGAAACAGTGGCTCAGCAGCCTCCATTGTAGCTAATAGGAGTGGTAGAATGGGAATTAAAACTCAAAGCTCTTAAATCTTTGGTCTGTACATTCTAATTTCTCCTCAAACCTGTATCCTTTCCCTTCCATATATCTGTTTTATTCTTCTCCTTTTACCTATGTCCTTTGTTGTCTAATATCTTTCAAATCTTCACTGACTTGTTGCCTGTATGGAGGTGGGGACTATCAAAATTAATAATTCTCCTACTTCAGTGCTCTCGGGCAGGGGTCCCCAACCCCGGGCCACGGACCAGTAGCGGTCCGTGGCCTGTTAGGAACCAGGCCGCACAGCAGGGGGTGAGCGGCGGGTGAGCAAGAAAAGCTTCCTCTGTATTTACAGCCGCTCCCCATCGCTCACAGTACCACCTGAGCTCCACCTCCTGTCAGGTCAGCAGTGGTATTAGATTCTCAGGAGCGCGAACCCTACTGTGAACTGCGCATGAGAGGGGTCTAGGTTGCGCACGCCTTATGAGAATCTAATGCCTGATGATCTGAGGTGGAGCTGAAGAGGTGATGCTAGTGCTGGAGAGTGGCTGCAAATACAGGTTATCACTAGCAGAGAGGTTTGACTGCACAGAGACCATAATAAATCAGTTGCTTGCAGACTCATATCAGAGCCCTACCAGTGAGTGGCAAGTGACAACAAGCTCAGGGCTCCCACTGATTCTGCATTATGGTGAGTTGTATAATTATTTCACTATATATTACAATGTAGTAATAATAGAAATAAAGTGACAGTGAATGCAATGCACTTGGATCATTCCAAAACTACCCCCCACCCCGGTCTGTGGAAAAATTGTCTTCCACAAAACCAGTCCCTGTTGCCAAAAAGGTTGGCGACCGCTGCTCTAGGGAAATAAAAAGAAAAGAGAGTATTTTATCTGTATGTAGCCAAGACCTTCCTACATCTTTTACAATGTAGATGAAATTCCAAAAGGATCAGGGCACCCTTGCCATCGTTGTTGTGAGGTCACACTTTGTCTTTCAAGTCAAGGTTCTAATAATTATTTTACTTGTTCTTCAGTAGTAAGGAAATTTGGATACCAATAAAGAAAGTCACACTAGGCAAAAGGTAGGCAGCATAACCTTTGGGCAGTGAAATCAACTGTGTGGATTCAAATCTTACTTCTGCCATGACTTACTGTGTGATCTTGGGCAAATTACTATATCTGTCTGTGCCTCAGCTGTGTAAAAGTAGCTGCCTCAAAAGGATGTTGTGTGAATCAGATGAGATAACGGATGTCAAGTATTAATGTAGTAGCTGGTAGATAGTAAATGCTCAGTAAGTGTTAGCTATTAATTTCAAATATGGAAATTTTTTCTAATAGGTACTTGGCAAGATTATCAACATGAAGATAAAATTGTTCATGAACTGTAGGGGTAAGCTTTCAGAAGCCCCTTTAAAGAGGTGGGTCTATGTGAACTTAATTTCATTTTGAAAAATTTGCAAATGCTAAAAGGAAAAAAAACATAATTACTGCATCTGTTGTTTTTTTCTTCACAAAATGTTTAACTGAAATAGATCAGAAGATCAGAGATAACTTATTAACCTTAATTGATATAAAACTAAAGTAACCTAACCAGTAAAATTGACCCAATCTAATTACAGAATTTACATGGTTTTGTGTTCATCCGTGGGTGTTTTTAAAAATGTGATCTAGGAATACCTATTTAGAAGTATACAGTGTGGGGCTTCCCTGGTGGCGCAGTGGTTGAGAATCCGCCTGCCGATGCAGGGGACACGGGGGTTCGTGCCCCGCTCCGGGAGGATCCCACATGCCGCAGAGCGGCTGGGCTCGTGAGCCATGGCCGCTGAGCCTGCGCGTCCGGAGCCTGTGCTCCGCAACGGGAGAGGCCACAGCAGTGAGAGGCCTGCGTACCGCAAAAACAAACAAACAAACAAACAAAAGAAATATACAGTGGCTCAGCAACATGGATGGACTTAGAGATTATCATACTAAGTGAAGTAAGTCAGAAAGAGAAAGACAAGTACCATATGATATCATAATATGTGGAATCTAACATATGATACAAATGAACCTATCTACAAAACATAGACAGACTCACAGATACAGAGAACAGACTTGTGGTTTTCAAGGAGGAGGAGTTGGGGGAGGGATGGATTGGGAGTTCAGGGTTAGCAGATACAAATTATTATATATGGAATGGATAAACAACAAGGTCCTACTGTGTAGCACAGGGAGCTATATTTAATATCCTGTGATAAACCAGAATGGAAAAGAATATATATACAGTATATGCATAACTGAATCACTTTGCTTTCCCGTTTGTTCTGGATCCTTGCTTTATCACATAGTCCCTGGTTCTGTATCTCTAACCTCTCTACTAGCCCTCTTCTTTCAGTCTTAAGAGTTATTCAATTTTTAAAAAGAAATAAACTTAACTTCCTCTCCTCTGGAGCCCTGGCTTTTCCTCCTCTTCTCCAGTCTTTGTCATCTCAGCTTTGCACAAGTGTGGCCAAGCCCCCTCTTCATCTCTCACTCACCGGTACCTCCACTGAAGTTGGGCTTTAACTGAATCACAAAGAAATTGCTGTTTGCAACATCCATGGGATACTTCTTACTTAATGATGTTTCTGCTGCATTTGACAGTACCAGCTACTTGGTTTGGACTGTGTTCTCTCCAGGGTCTCCTCTTACCCACTCTTCTTTTTTGACTCTGCCGGCCTGCCTGCCATAGGCAGCTTCACGGCCGCCAGTGATGAGCGCCCCTGGGGTCACACTCAGCGTAGGTTCTCCTTGAGTGCGGGCTGCACCTGGTGATATGCTTTCAGTGAACAGAATATGGCAAAAGTGATGGAATGTCTCCTCTGCAATTAGGTTGTGAGAGGCTGTGACTTTTGTCTTGCTGGCATTCTCTCTCTCTTGCTCTTGTGTGCTTCTCTGCGCTTGCTGGAGATGCCCTTGTGGCAAGGACTGAAGGAGGTCTCCAGCCAACCACTAGTGAGGAGCTACTGCCCTCGTGCCGGTGGACCTTGAGGAACTGCAGGAGCCTAGGAGTGGATCCTTCCCCCATGGAGCCTTGAGATAACCACAGCACAGCGGACACCTTGATTGTAGTCCCAGAATAGTGACAGTCAATGTTCTTAGTATTATAACTGTTTCTTATTGTGTAAGATACTAGGGGGTGAGGCTAAATACGTTAAGATTGCTGGCACTTCTAAAAGCTCTAGTAATAAGCAGTTGCTTAATTAACTCACTCCTGTTTGTTTTTAATTTTGCACTTTTTGAATTAGTACCAGAATCTTAGCTTAAATTTTACTTGCTTTCTGGTTATCATTTCTCTTCATGTTCTTAATGGTGCTAAGAGCTAATAAAAATCACTAAAAATAGACCATGCTCAAACTTTGAAGAAGGAACAATGAGTGAATACAGATCATAAACTGCTGGAACCTGCATAAGTCAGTATATCTTAAAGGGATTCTAATTGTGTTCATTAAGAAATAATTAACAAGGGTATATAATATACACAGTCTTATAATAGATAACAGTGTAAGCAGAATAATGATTGCCTACCATTTACATAAGCATTAACCTCAGTATAGCGTGTTTTTAGCCTTTAAGACTTTAGTGTGTTTTAAGTCGTTAGCGTGTTTTTAACTTAAGACTTTCTGGTCATGTTTTTAAGCCATTTTCAGTTTTAAAATATTTTAGAAGAAATCTCAGTTTTGGTCACACTATGAATTTTATTTATGTTCTACCAACAGCTTCTACCGTTTTGTTCTGGAACCGGAACTGACGTTACCACCTAATGATGTTACTGGACCAGTGGCAAAATTCTTGGATATCCCTGAATCACCCCTTCTGACCCTCAACATGATTACTCCTGAAAGCTGGTTGGTTGAAACAGTACACAGCAACTGTGACCTTGATAATATTCATTTAAAGGATGTAAGTTACAAAGAAAGAGGAATAGGATAAATTCTTATGAGCTGTTATTCCTGTACCAAGTGCATACTCACTGCTCACCAGAATTTTCTCCTTTATGATTCTAGGTCCTGATCCAGTCTTTCCTTTGATTTTCGAGTTTCCCTAACTTCCAAATTCAGCTTCTCTGGTTTTATGGGTTCTTAAATGCCCTCACTGTTTTTGTTGCTCCAGAAGTGCTACCCTAAGATGAACAATGTAGAAACTATGGAGACAGATGAATGGCAGTTTAGGACAAAACCATTAAGTACCTTTGCCCTTCAGGTTTTGTTTTTAACTCAGAGAGGAACAGTTTCATCTGAAATTCTTTTTTGCCCCACAGCTCATAGCCAGAGAAAGCAGTTCTAATGAGATTAGGGTAGAAAGCAGGAAAAAGTTTGCTTATATACTTCGGGCTGAGTGCATTCTTTCCCACCACCTCCAGTGTGACCCTTGTCCAGTAAATGACCGGACTTCTCTTTCCCACCTGTAGTCATTCAATCCACAGCACACACACAGACAAAAAACAAAACCACCGACAGGAGACTATTTTATAATATTCGGAGTCTTTCCAAACATTCTATTCAAAATTGGAAAGGCATTCAGAAAGCACAAAAAAAAACCAGAAGCATTTTAGGAGAGTTTACCTAGAAGACATGTATCTAGAAACTGGGGTGGCTGGGGGCAGTACTTCCTTCTCACTGTCCTCCCCGTTGCCCGGTCCTGCACAGCCTCTGACCTATTTCCAGTTCTGCATTTGACAGCTCCTTCAGAAGGTAGCCATTACCTTGACCCAGGCATAAACATTTTACCTCTAATAATCTGGTTAAGGTTATTCATTATTTGTTTCTCATGCTTTTCATGTGTCACCTTTTGTCTAAAGATTTTCCTTCTAGCCAGCTTTCTTCTGATTCACTCATGTGTAGATTCTGTGGGATCCTGAGTCACTTCCCTGGAACATACTCACCTATACCACCAACTTTACCCACCCGGAGAAGAACCTAAAACTCAGTCATAGCAATCATCTGAAATCGGTCCTTCAAATTGAGGGAAAAAATAGAAAGAGAGCAAAACAATGAAATCCATGAGAGAAAGTTCAGAAGTGAATTTGGCATGAAGTAAAAAAAATCCTGTTTCCTCCATGATGAGTTGGATCTCTTTTGGCCTATTGGTTCTTCATTAAGAGAGTTCAGCAATATATATCAGTAAATAACTTGAAAGATTCTAACCAAAAGGGTAAAAAGTTTGCGGTGGGAGAATTAATGCAGCTTAAAGATTTTAAATTGAGTCTGCTGGTAAAAAAATTTTAGTTTCTACTGTACAGTTAATAGAGGTTAAACATTTTGTTGTGAGTGGCAAATATAGCAATGCCTTTTTAGAACCTATTTAAATGAACAGTATTTTAGAAGACTAAAATAAACAGAAATAATTTCCCCTATCGTCGTAGATTATATGAGTAAACAAAAGGAAATTACAAATTCTAGCAGCTGTAAAAGTTAACTACCTCTAAGGCTCTTCTCTTCCACTCTGTACTGTACATACTTACGGTATTACCTGCAACTATCCTAGAAAAGTATGAAATAACGAAGACATGTGCTCAAGTAGAAAGAAGGAGTTGTAGGTAAAGGAAAAAAGTGAGACTAGTAATGAGAGATGTGTCACTACACACTAGCTTGTATAATCAGTACTCCTTGCTACATCTAATTCCCGAACATTATATAACCACCTGAAAAAAGCTTGATCTAGAAAGATTCTTCCTTCCCAGGTCTTTGTTCACATGGTTTATTGCACAGCCGGCATTAATGCCATTATTAAAGGTGACAAAAGTGGTTCTAGGAAAACTTAAAGTGTGACAGTTACTTTTACCTGGAGTTCAGAGGTGGTTCTCAGAGCTTGTAACTAGAACTGCGTCCAAAGGCTCTCTGGTTATATTTCATCATAGCCTTTATCTGACAGATGTCAAAATACCTGAAACAATAGTGATTGTTTACCCAGTAAAGAGGAAGTGAGTAAATAAAAGATTGCTGAAGGAAAATGGTATGTGGCTATGTTAAAAGGAATTCACAGAAAAATGCATTAGCCCCTTTTGAAATATAAATAATTTAGACATCAGTTTTATTGACAAGGCATTCATTACCAATGTAAATGTCAAAGAATTCCTATTTGAATGCCATAGATAATATTAATAAACCCAAATGTTAATCTTTATAATCAAACTTATACTTTTATTAAAGGAGGAAGCTAAATTCTTAACTATTCAGTCACAGAACAATACAATAAACACTTCTATTTAGAAATACTAATATGCACCAAAGTTATATTGGAAAGATATTAAATTCATGTCTCATGTCAATAGTTAATATTTAGAACAGATAAATAAAAATATAAAGGAAATGTAAACATCAAAAAAGATCACTAGCCTTCCTATTCTTGCTAAAAATAAACCTTGATAATAGGAACTAATTTAACTCAAATCACCTTTATGAAATTATTATAAAACTCTAAATATTCACAAAATTTTAAATACTCACTAGAAAGTACTCTTTGAAAAATGAATTTGCTATTTTTAGTGTTGTGGTTTGAATAAGTCAACACAATTGATGTCTGTTATACAAATATATAAGGAAGAGAAATTTTCACATTAATGTATTATAAATGAAGATATTATTTAGTCACAAACTGATTGAATGTATTTGAACTCTGCCCTGATATCTAATTCATAATTTAAAATAGTTAAGCTTTACTTCATAACCCCTCTGGGGTAGTTTCCTTGTCTGTAAAGTGAAGGAGTTAAGCTAGATGATCTCTAGGATTTCTCATATTCTGAGACTATCCCATAGAAATCTTTCTATCCAAAATGCTGTAAGGATTGTGGATACAGGTTAATGAAGTATATGAAGTTCATCACTAGAGTAGTAATAACTCAGCAACTAATTCAGAGCTCAACTAAAGTCATTGAAACAAATGCTATTTTCAAACAAGTTACTTATTTCATGTTCTTAAAAACAGTAAAATTATAAGAACAGGGCTCAAGAAAGAAATACTGTACACAAGTGCTATAATTATTTCTGTAGTAATTATAGTCAAAGAAAAACAACTATACAGTACAGAATATTTTCAAATACTCTGTATGCTAAACACCATTAAAAGTAGTATCAAAAACCTCGTAGTGTGAAATAAAATTAGAGATAGATAGCATCATTGTCTTATCTGCTCAACAAAATTTGCCAGACTATATAAAAATCACTTACCATTTGATTTATTTTTATGTTTGGTTATGATTTTCATGTGATGTAGAGAAAATACTTTCTCCCTAAAATATTTATTATAACATTTGCAATAGAGTAAAATCTGGAAACATTTGGAATGTCCAGACATTTAAAAGGATGATTTAAAAAGAGGACATGGGGCTTCCCTGGTGGCGCAGTGGTTGAGAGTCTGCCTGCCGATGCAGGGGACGCGGGTTCGTGCCCCAGTCCGGGAAGATCCCACATGCCGCGGAGCGGCTAGGCCCGTGAGCCATGGCCGCTGAGCCTGCGCGTCCGGAGCCTGTGCACCGCAACGGGAGAGGCAACAGCAGTGAGAGGCCCGTGTACCGCAAAAATAAAAAAAAATAAATAAATAAAGGACTTGTTCTTAGAAAACTATATTTAATGAAAAAGGTTATACTTTCTTAGAAAAAAATTATGGAGCAAAAGTAGAAATCAGTGCATTGATGTGTATATGAATGTTTGGTCTGTAGGTAGTTTCTATTTTTTCCCTTTCACACTTTCTTATATTTGCTAAATTTTCTTTAATGAGCATATGTTTTTTTGAGTGCAAAACAATTCACCGTTAATTGTTTTTAATTGCAAGAAAGGTGATAATGATGACAAGTTGGCCTTCTTGCCAGGTCTGAAGCAGGAGATCTAGGGCACAGCCAACGAAGCAGATTCTTTGAGTGCTACAACTTACCGAGCCACCCATCCATTCTCACATCTCTCCTGCTTGTGATTTTGGTGCATGTATCATGATGTTGGAGTAGAGCTGATGTCATGGGAAAGGAAGAAAATTCATCTTGAGCTTTAGTGTTCAAGAAATTGATTCAGCTATTAGGTTCACTTGTCTAAAAGAAAGACTTGAGGTTGCCCCCCAAAATATATTGGCTAATATTAAAATAATCACATATATTTATTACAAAATTTACATTATGAGAATTACTAACACCAAAAACAATGACATATTTCCTCCGTAGATTGAGAAAACTGTCACAGCAGAATATGAACTAGAATATCTACTGCTCGAAGGACATTGCTTTGATATAATCACAGAAGAGCCTCCTTGGGGTCTGCAGTTTACACTGGGCACAAAAAATAAACCTGTTGTGGTTGATACAATAGTGATGGCCAATCTTGTAAGTATTATACATACTCAATGGATGATACTTAATTAGATGTTTTGGTGAAATCCTCCGAGTTTTCCTAATAATATGAAATAATTTGTATCCTACTGTTACTGAACAGCTCCCAGAAAAAAATCCTTGAATAAGGTAATTAAATAAAGCGAACATGAAGGGAGTCATACTTTCAGAATGTGCTTTTAAGGTTATTGCAAAGTCTTCTTCCTTGGAATTCATTTGTAGAAATCATTCGTTCCACAGTTAGTAAACACTTATCTTGGAGTATTCATGAATAATCTTTCTTGAACAATTGGACCTCATTTTCATTCATATAACCATGATCATGTTTTTCTCATCTTAAAAGGGATATTTTCAATTAAAAGCAAACCCAGGTGCTTGGATACTGAAATTACGCCAAGGAAAATCTGAAGACATCTATCAAATAGTTGGGTGAGTTATATAAACCACTTTCAAATTTTTATATATAAATAAGTTTTTAGTGTGATATGACCAAGATCATCAAAACAACTAAAATACTCACAAATACCATTAGTATAAAACAAAAACTTCTTATAAAACTGTGACATTTGTTCCTATCATTGTTTTATTTCAAAATATAAAAGGTATGACTAAAGTACACATCTTGTTCTTTACTCCATCTCCTAATTTTCTATAGACTTTTCCATGTGTTAACATAATGAACATCTTTATCGTTTAATGACTGTATAGTATGTATAGCATCTTATATAGCAAAGCCGTTATCTGTGAGTTATGTTCAGTTTTTCATTTTTATAAATAAGAATTGGTTTCTTTCATAGTAAATTTCCTACTCATTAATGAGACTAGTATAAAGCAGGGATCATCAAACTTTTTCTATTATAGGAGCCAATAGTAAATGTTTAATGTTTGAGGGCACATATGATTTTTGTCAATATTTTCTTTTTCAACAACCATGTTAGAATGTAAAAATCATTTTTAGCACAGGGGCCATACAAAAATAAGCCACCAACTTGATATTGCTCACCAGCCATCGTTTGTCAGCACCTGGTAAACTCTTTTTTGTACCCCTTGATATCTGTAGTGTTCATTTATTTCAATAAGCATTTATTGGGCACCTATGATTATAACAAGCAGTGTGCTTAACAAAGGTAATATATGGGCAGAGGTTATTGTACCTTTTTTCAATGCTTTTTTCCCCTTTTCCTTATAGTGCCTAGAACATAGTGTCATTCAACAAACATGCTTAATAATTTAAGCATACAAAGCTGGGAATGCTGAATTCTTCCTTTTAAATCTTTTTTTTATTATTATTGAATGAAAGATTCTTTAAATTCTATAGTGCTTTACAATTTTCAGAAGTTTCACACACACTATTTCATGTAATCCCATAATAACCCTTTTCTTCCCTATCCCTATAGTGCCCCCCTTTCCCTCTCCCCACTGGTAACCACTAGTTTGTTCTCTCTCTATATTTGTCAGTTTGCTTTTTTTAAATATTATTCACTAGTTTATTGTATTTTTTAGATGCCACATATAAGTGATATCATACAATATTTGTCTTTCTCTGGCTACTTCACTTAGCATAATGCTCTCCAGGTCCGTCCATGTGCCTGCAAATGGCGAAATTTTATTTGTTTTTAAAGGCTGAATAGTATATGTGTGTGTGTGTGTATACACACACACACAGAGAACACAGCTTCTTTATCCGTTCGTCTGTCGATGGACGCTCAGGTTGCTTCCATGTCTTGGCAATTATAAATAATGCTGCTGTGAACACTGGGGTGCCAGGACTGGAATTGCTGGATCATATGGTAGTTCTATTTTTAGTTTTCTGAGAAACCTCCATACTGTTTTCCACAGTTGGCTGCACCAATTTACTTTCCCCCCAACAGTGTAGGAGGGTTCCTTTTTCTCCACATCCTTGCCAACATTTGTTATTTGTGTTCTTTTTGATGGTGGCCATTCTGACAGGTGTGAGGTGATATCTTGTTGTGGTTTTGATTTGCATTTCCCTGGTGACAAGCGACGTTGAGCATCTTTTCATGTGCCTGTTGGCCATCTGCATTTCCTCTTTAGGAAATGTCTATTTAGTTCCTCTGCCCATTTTTTAATCGGGTTGTTTGTTTATTTGATGCTGAGTTGTATGAGCTGTTTATATATGTAGATTATTAACCCCTTATTGGTCATATCATTTGCAAGTGTTTTCTCCCATTCAGTAGGTTGTCTTGGTTTTGTTGATGGTTTCCTTTGCTGTTCAAAAGCTTTTAAGTATAATTAGGTCCCATTTGTTTATTTTTGCATTTGTTTCCTTTGCTTTAGCAGACAGATCCAAAAATTACTGCTGCAATTTATGTCAAAGAATGTTCTGCCTGTTTTCTTCTAGGAGATTTATAACATCTGGCCTTACATTTAGGTCTTTAATCCATTTTGAGGTTATTTTTATATATGGTATTAGAGAATGTTCTAACTTCATTCCTTTACAAGTAGCTGTGCAGTTTTCCCAGCACCACTTATTGAAGAGACTGTCTTTTCTTCATTGTATACTTTTGCCACCCTTGTTATAGATTAAGTGACCATAAGTGTGTGGGTTTATTTCTGGAGTCTCTGTTCTGTTCTGTTGATCTGTGTGTCTGTTTTTGTGCTAGTACCATACTCTTTTGATTACTGTAACTTTGTAGTATAGTCTGAAGTCAGGGAGCATGGGGAATGCTTAATTCTGTGATAGGGTGAAGGGTAGGGGGAAGTCAGTATTGACATTAGAAATGAGATAATACCTCAAGAGAGTTTTGAAGAATTATAGGAACTTACTGCTAGTCATACGACAGCCAGAACATTCCAGGAAGAGGATGGAGGTACAGATCTCTCATCTAAAACTCTTAGGGCCATATGTGTTTTAGAATATAGCATTTTCCAAATTTTAGAAAGTTAGTATAGTACACATATCATATATTATGATGTATTGAGCAGGACCTAAGAAAGCACTTCATTAAATATCATTTCTGTCACAAACGTGTGAAATTCACACTAAAGGAATATATAATGACTGTAAAAGAAAACAAAAAGACAAGACACAGGTGGAGAAAATATTTGCAAAGTATTATTCAACAAAGAATTATATAAAGAACTATCAAAATTCAACAATAAGAAAACTTGATAAAAAATGTGCAAAAAGCTTGAGCGGACTCTTCACCAAAGAAGATGCACGTTAAAACCAAAGTGAGATGCTGCCACACATCTATTAGAATGTGTAACATTAAAAAGACTGACACTAACAAGTGCTTATGAAAATATGGAGCAACAGGAACTGTCATACACTATCATTAGGAATGTAGAATAGCACAGCCACTTTGGTACAGTTTAGCAGGTCCATAAAAATTTAAATACACACTTACCATATGATCCAGGCATTTCACTCATAGGTATTTACCCAACATAAAAGGACATATATGTTCATACAAAGACTTGTACATTAATGTTTATAGCAGCTTTATAAGTTGTAAAACGGTAGGTAATTAAGACAAATTATGGTGACGGAAGTCAGATCACTTGTTGCTTGGAGATGGAGGGCAGCTGGGGTGGGGAAGGGGCAGGTAAGCAGGCAAAGTGTTGGAGATAAACAGGTGAATAAAACACAGTTCCTACCCTTCCACAATTCATCCCAGTAGGAAAGATAGTTAAGGAAATGAATGACAGTAAAACGTTTTAAGTGCTACAAAAGAGTGCTGTGGTGGTACAGAAAATAAGCAAAATACACTGTGACTTTATATTGACTCTTCTTATAAAAATCATGGTTTCAAAGGATAAATTTGCTTCATCTTCTTTGGTCTTTGCAAACTATACTGCCAAGGACTCTGTGTTTCTAAATCTGCCACTATTGTTTCACTGTTGTTTTTTGCAAACAATTAGGTAAGCTGTGATTCAAATTCCTTCTCTGCCACCAACTCTGTATGAGTTTGCAAAAGTTTCTGAAGTCTTTATTTCCAGATAACAAGAGGGGATAATCCTACCTGTCTTGTGGGGTCTTGATAAGGACTACATGAGATTAGTGTCTCACGTCCTGAGTAAATGTCCATTTCCTCCTCACTTACTCTTTCTTTCTTCTTTACAATTACATATATTATTGTATATCGTATATGTATGTTGTATAATATATATGCAATATGTATTATAATATGCATAGTATATATTATGTAAAACAGTTACTATATTAGGTTCTATTTTATCTTCTTTACCATTATTTGTTATTATACACAGCCTATAAATGGATGGTTTAGGGAGAAAATAGCCCCTGATTTAATATTAAGTACCACTAACAAATTAGTGCAAAACTGATTTTTCTCATTCACAGTTAGCCAACTCTTGGTGATGGAAGGAATTTCAAATTTGTTTATGTTCCTTATAAACGATAATATCATACATTTCTCTCAGTCATAATTTACTTAACTCCAAATATGATTAATATGTCACTAGATAGCCAGAGTGGAAAAAACGTAAATGATGCTACTCTTTGATTTTTTTGAAATTAAAGTTTCAGTAATGAAAAACAGGTCAATATGAAATATGACAAAAATGGAAATTCTATTTATCCAATTTATGATGTAGTTCTAATTGATATTACATTTATATTTAAGCAAAGTATTCTTGAAATATGCTGAAAAGCTAAGCTAAAGTAACATTGACATGAGTTTCTAAGTTCAGATTTTAAAACCATGACTATATAATTTGATATTTTTAAATTTGCCTTTTTGTTTATTAGGCATAATCCTCACATATGTACTTTTTATGCCTATCCATGTTTTTATAATCTTTAACTGCAAATCATCTACCCATACTCTGTGTTGACTATTATTTACCTTGAATTCAAAAATACTCAATAAAATTATTCTCCCCTAGAAAATTTTTGTAGCTCTGCTAAAATCAGACAAATGCTTCTCAGATTTTCCTAATTACAGAGAATAGCAGATACTTTACATATACATATATATTTTTATATGTGCCTTCAACATGCTAAATTATTTTGCTAGTCTTTTTCACTTGAAATCTTCAGGAAAACAGATTACCTAATTCGTAGTTATTTTACACCTTTGAAACTGATCTGCTTCTCCTGTGCTTTATATAGAAGGCAAGAGAGGTTTCAGAGCTCTGCCCACTGGCCCTGGCGGTGGTTATAGCTCACTCTTTGTGAAGCCCTTCTGTGAGCTCTTAGAAGGTCTCTAATTGCTGCACCTCACTCTCGTTTGATTCCCTGGTCCCAGTTGGTGCATCTCTATTCCAGGTGGCTTCTCTAGCATCTTCCTCGGTCTCTGGGCATCCTGGGCTATACCAACAGCGTATTTCTGCTGAGGTCTCCTCATATCTCCAGGTTGCTGTTTTGGCAGGATGCATGACTACCCCATGATAACAAAACCAAATCTCTCCTACTTGGCTACTTCTGATCCATGAGAAGTACTTACACATCACTTGCCTAGCAAACTCTAGGAGTGCAGGCCGGTCTCAAAGGCAGTAAGAGTGGTAATAAGTCAGTCCTCAAATATCAGTCCATGGTCCATTTTAACTTTCCCAGACAAGAGCCAAATGCAGTCCTCTGTGTCTCACAACTTCAGGAAAGTACATTGCAAAGTGCTTTCCCCTTAAAGCATCTGCCTTACTGAGTTTAGGATTAGAAGATAATGCTCCCCACACTTCCCCAGGGGGTGTGTAGAGGTGCACACTCACAGCCTGGCAACAGCTTTCTCCAGAGACGCTCTTCAGCCTTCATCTCACTCCTTTCCTCCTTTCAAGTGCCTCAGTTGAAGCGTTTTAGTATCTTTTTAGTACCCCACCCCCCAAACGTTTAGTTCTTTACCATCACATTGCCGTTAGTTAAATATAAGCTTGACCAAGTTCACTAGTGATCATAGGTTTTATATGTTTCTTTCATCTTTCACATTCATTTTTGGTTTGGGTGGCTGACTTTCCATATCAGAGACGGAGTTAACACAGGGAAATGGATTCTTGATTGGACTAGGAAGGATTGGAGGAGCTAGCTCTCCAGGAGAGCTGGCTCCCAGGACCAGCCCAGGAACTCACCAGCCAGAAAGAACTGCTACCTCTCCCATGATCAGAAGAGTGAGAAAGCATGAAGCTGCTCCACTAACACGTCAACTCCCTGTCAGTCCCCAGAGAGCTGAGTTTGCACACTGGAACCCTGGCATAGACAACCTCTAGGTCTCCATGACGTCGCTTGCCCAAAGAAAACAGGCATCACTGCATTGACCCTCCCTCACTTGTAAATTCCAAATCACATGCACATGTATCTGTTTAGTAGAATCTAATTATTAACCAGAACCATAGCTGTAAAAGAATCTACAAACAAAAAAGAGTTTTTAGCTTTCTAAGCTCTGCAGTATATGCTAAAAGGTGGAATGGGTATTGCCTGCCATATCACGATATGCACCAGATTTCTACAGATATTTTCTGTAGAAACTTTAGGGGTATACTCTTGATTTTAAAGGCCTGAAAATGTTTTTGCCTTTCTTTGGCTTATCTTCTAAGTCCTGATAATAGTACTGATTATAATTCTCCTCAGAATGCTTGAAACAAGACTTCATCATCATATTCTACCGTCCAGTGTTTTGGATTCGAAATGAGAGGCCGTGTGATTAACTTTTCCTTTACAAAAAATTAAATGATATTTATAGTTAGAATTCCAGGACAAATATGTATGCGTCCTTTTTTGTAAAGTAATACTTCCTGATGTGTAATGAATCCTTTCATTTTGAAGTAAATGGCTTTTACTGAGAAATATTCTCTCACGTCTCTTATTGAGAATATAAATGACTTGAGTGCTCCTTTTTTTTTCCCTGTATTAACTCCTTGTCAATGAAGCCCTTGTCCTCTGACTTCTTGGCTTGTTCCCTTCATTTCAGCGGCTGACTGTCTTCATGTATCCAGTGGGTTTTAGTTGCTTAGTGTTACTTACACAGGTGTAACAGTGCAGTCGTGAAGAGCCAGACTACTAGGGCTTAGTCTGGATCTAGGATAATTATTGTACCTTCCTCAGAGGATGGGTGTGTGGATTACATGAGTTAATATCTATAAAGTGCTTAAAATAGTGACCGAAGTAGAACAAGAATCGTCATCACTACCCCCTCTACCATGTGGGATGGAGGAAGTTGCTTTAGATCTTGTACGGGCCTAACTGCAGTGTTGGGCTGCCTCTGTTCTGGTCTCAGTGGATGGTGGATCCGACGGCTGAAGTTGCCGATGTCCTTGAGCAACATTTGGGACTGGAAGCTCTTGCAAGTTTTTAAGAGATTTGACGTTTCTACTACATAAGTTGGAATACTTTCTTTTTTCTAGTGGTAAATGTTGGCAGGGGCTGTGCCTCGTGCTGCGGGTCAGGCACCTCATCCGAGGCACTGCGAGTGAGAGTCAGAGACGTGTTAGTCGGCATAGCCCTAGAATCCCCAGGTTTTTATTTTAGAAAAATTTTCAAGCATATGTTATGTCTGACTGAATGCAAAGTATCTACTAATTTGACATCTGATTGCTTTCCCTCTTTGAAAAAATTCAGTTTTATGGTAAATGCTTTTTACAGTAGCATTTTTCAGTTCATAGTGAAAATAGTATCAAAAAATTTTTGAGCAAAGCTGTCATGTTTGATTTATTTATGCAGTGTTGAAAATTAGTCATATAAAATAGATCCAAGTGGTGCAGATGGACATGACAGACACATTTTCAGTCTTATAAGTTTAATGATATACTTCAAATTTTGGCATTTGAAAATGGCTAGTAAATAATGAAAAGTAGTTGTATGGTGTAGATTTCCTTTGATTATGCTATATAAACAACTTATTTTAAAGTCTAGAAAATGTTTCATATTTTAATTATCATTACAATATATGAAAGATCTGACTTTTGTGATAATTTTAGTATACAGTAATAAAGATAAGCTATAATCTGCGCTTTCTGAGTGACTAGGTGATATCAAATTTAGTGAGTTATTTTTGTACGATCTTAATTTGTATTAAGTTAAAATTGGATAATTTTGAAAATTGTAGTGTATTGCAGCGTATCTTTTTTTTTTGCGGTACGCGGGCCTCTCACTGTTGTGGCCTCTCCCGCTGCGGAGCACAGGCTCCGGACGCGCAGGCTTAGCGGCCACGGCTCACGGGCCCAGCCGCTCCGCAGCATGTGGGATCCTCCCAGACCGGGGCACGAACCCGTGTCCCCTGCATCGGCAGACGGACTCTCAACCACTGCGCCACCAGGGAAGCCCTGCAGCATATTTTAATTGACTACAGAAACAGCAGATATGACATATACACAAATGATATTATACTTATGTCTATTGCAAAATGAATTTTTTCTGTTATTTGTACCATCATAATTGTATGTCTTTTCTTAAATTGATTATATTTACATGTTTTTTCTGCTTCTAGGCATGAAGAAACTGACTCTCAACCAGACCTAGGAGAAGTCGTTGTTGTGCTAAACAGCTTCAAAAGCAAAATACTGGAAGTACAAGTGTGTGAGGCCAAAGCTCTTTACAGGCTTTGTTCTTAGTATTAAGAATTCTTTTTGTGTCCTTAGTTAATTAATTTTTATTTTACTACTGATTTCGCAGTTTTAGTACCTAAAATCTCATATTGGAACTCTGGCAGTGAAAGGAAGAAGAGGATTAAATCATGAAGGGAAAGCAGAGAGCTTGAAGATAGAAGAGAAGAAACGATTTTTTTTTTAAGTTATGATGTGTCTACTGTATCTACTATATTTGTAACCAAATTATGTTATAAATTAGGCTTCAGAGATGAGATCAGGAATGCAGGTTGAAAAGTTACCCCTTTCAACAGGAAAAAAAAAAAAAAGTGACATTTCAAAAACCAGAAAAGTTTTTAATGATGGCAGGTTTAGTTCTTTTGGACAAACTCACCTACTTAAAATCAGTAAAAATGCTGGGCGAAATGTTTTTAAAAAATTTTAAAAGCACTGAGGAGCTGACAATAATGATAATAAGGAAATACAAAACCAAAATTAAAGGGAAAATGAGAGCCTAGTGAAGTAAGCAAGCACCGAAGCTTCTCTTATCCCAGGAAAGCTGTTGTTGCCCTGAAACATTTGTTCATCCTGGTACACTTGAACTATCATTTTGATTTAATTTGCAAGGTGATGGGGACAGAAATTAAAACCCTAGACCCACATAAAGTGGGTAATCTATTAGAAGACCCTCTCTGCAATAAGCTGGCTATAGCTTCAGGGTAAGGATGAACCATAGTAAAGTATACCACGCAGTCTTTTAGCTCAAATTGGTATCACCTAAGAAATCAAAGGAACCCTGAGCCTTGAATTTGCACTAAAATGGCTCCAGATTAATAAGGTTTTACAGGCATCTGACAGAAACATCCAGATATCTCTGGAATAAGACTACTATATCCAAATAAACAAAGAAAACCAACAGAAACGGCAAATAACAGAGAGCAGATGCACAAACACTCCATATGTTAGAATTATTGACACAGACACTGAAACAACTATGCCTAAAGTGTTTAAAGAAATAAAAGATTGGCTTGAAAACAATTGCAGGGAATAAAAAACTATAAAAAGTGCATATCTGATATTTTTTTTAAAGTAAAACTTCTAAAACTGAACAATACAATGACCAAAGAATTCAGTGGGTGGCTTTAACAAGGCCTCAGGAGAGAACTAGTGAGTTGGAAGATAGACCAAAAGACGTATCCCAAACGCAACTGACCTTATAAAAGAGGAAACTACAGCAGAGAGTATATAAAAGGCATAGAGAATAGAGTGAGAAATCTAAGATACCAGGATTGCATTTAAACATGGCTCTGCCACTCATTAGCTGTGTGACCTTGGACAGATTACTTAACCTCTTTCTATCTCATTTTCCTTATCCATAATAGGAGTTAATGATGAAACCCTCCTTATAGGTCTACTATAAGGATAAGATAATTTAGCTTTATGAAGTACTTTATGAGTGTTTAAAAATAAAATCCATTTAAATGGAGTTCCAGAAGGTGACGAAAGACAGAATGAGGTACAGGTATTATTTGAAGCAATAATAGCTGAGAATTTTCATGAGTGATGAAAGGTACTAATTTGCATATTCAGGAAGTCGAGTGATTCCCAAGCAAGATAATGAAAAGGAAATCTACACCTAGACTCTTGTTAATAAAACTGCAGAAAACAAAAGACAAAGAGAAATCTTGAGAGTAACCAGAAGAAAAAAGAAAAATTACCTTCAAAGAACTATAGTTAGCCTGACAGTTGGTTTCTCAGCAGTAATAATGGAAGCCAGAAGATAATGAATGATATCTAAAAGCACTGACAGAAAAAAGGAATGTCAACCTCGTATAATTCACCCTGAAAAGTATTTTTCAAGAAAAAACATAAGGTATTTTCAGACAAATAAAAAAGTGGATTTGCCACCAGCATGCTCACACTAAAGGAAATTCTAAATGGTATACTTCAGGCAGAAAAAGAATTATCTCAGATGGCAGATCTGAGTTTGAAAAAAGAATGAAGAGAAAAGAAAATGGCAACTCTGCGGATGAATCTGTGAACAGTGAATATATAAAACAACAGTTATGTGTTAGGATCTTAAAAATCAATTAAAAAATAACAATAGCATTTAAGGCATTATATAAATAAGGGTGTGTATAATAACATATAAGGTTCTTATATTGACCAGGACAAGGATTATGATTACTTTTAGACTTAAGGGCAAATCTGAATGCTTTACATGTCTAAGATAACCACTAAAAGAATAGAAACAAGGCATAATGTCATAGTGAAGAGGAAAGTGGAATGAAGCAAATTAATATAAATGGACTAAGAAACAAGAAATAAAGCAGAATACATGCGCCATTGAAGAAGCACAAAATAGTAAGTTAGAATTTAACCCAATTACATTAAATGTAAATGGACTACATGTTCCAGTCCAAAGACTAAGATTGTCAGGATGTTTTTTTAAATCCCACTCTATGTTTGCAAGAAGGAACACCTAATATATAACAATACAGTTTCAGGGTAAAGATTAAAATAAAAGTGTGGCAAAAGTATACTAGGCCAATACTAACCTAAACAAAGCTTGTATGGCTATACTAATATCAGAGATATTAAGACAACATTATTAAAGGTGATATGTGTATATAAGGCAGAAATAGAATTACCAAGAGAAACTGGCAATTCTCTATAATACTGGGATATTTTTAACATACGTCTCTCAGTACTTGATATAACAGGCAGACCAAAAACTCATTAGAGATGGAGATTTGAGCAGTGTGATTATAAATCTTGACCTAACAGATGTATATAGAACACAATAGCCAATAACACCAAATGAACAATCTTTCAGACACAGACATTAATAAAAATTAGCTTTACGTTCAGTTGAAAAGCAAGTTTCAACAGATTTCAGAAGAATGAACTCATACAGAGTATGTTCTCCATCTACAATGCAGTAGAAATTAATATGCAAAGATAACTAGAAAACACCCATTTTGCCAGAATCTCTGTGATCTAATAATGGTAGGCTACCAGAACTCAAGCCTTACATACTGCAGAGATTCTAAACCAGCAAATCATCAAAATTGACCTTGCATCCCACATCATAACCTGTTTATTATCACCTCTGCTCTTTTTCCTGTGATCAGTTATACATGTTTATACTCATCTTTGATACTGTTTTTCCTCTACTGGCTTTGGCTTCCTTTCTCAGGAAGAGAAACTTATACTGTGTCCTTCCAGATGAAAAACCCCTCAACCTCAGACCAGGTGCTTAAGTTACTAACTCATCCCAAGCCTTTTAGGACCAGCGTTCCAGCTAGTTTTATCCTAGCCCTACAAACAGGAGAGAAAAATATTATTTCTGCTGGGAGACTGGGGATGTCTTATCTTTGAGGAATTTTGATCATTGAAAAATTATTTTCTTTTTCTTGAGCTGGTTTTTTTTTCACTCTCTGTATTGGCTCTAATTTTACCTGTTGGTCTCTGGTATAGAGGAGGTCTGATTCTTTCACCAAAACCACCAAATCTTTGAGGGTGATAATCATGCCTTACCTGAAGCAAACGTTCTACAGCCTAACCTCACCTAGGTGCTTCGGTTGTTTTTTAGTAACAGTTTTGTCTGCTCACCTTCCATCTCTCAAAATTACACAAAAGGACAGGAAAAAGGGAGGAGAAAAGATAAGCAAGATAAAGGTTCAGCCCATGAACTCCATAGCCCACTAATAGGAATTCCAGGAAGGAAGAACAGAAAATGGAGGAAGGAAAGTATCCCACAGATAGAGAAATATAAACGCATCCATGTCAAGGGGTCCACAAATGAGTGAAAAATGGCCCACACGAGATCCTAAAAACTACCAAGGAGAAGAGGCAGGTCACTGCAATAGAACGACACACTAGCATCAGATGTTTCATTTTCAAGACAACAAAACAAAGATTTCAGTGTTTTGAGGAAAATTACTATGAATCTAGGATTCTTCAGGCAAATATTCTCTGAAGGGTGAAGATTTAGAAAAATTATCTTTCACACCCCTTCTTGAAGGTGTTTGCCAGCACGATGAAGATGAAGCAGAAGAAAGAGGAAAATAGGTATTGTAAGAAATGGTGAAATCAATGTGAAAACCAATGCAAAGAAAGCTCAAAAGACGCAGTTAATTGTTAAGCCCCAAGAAAAATGTCTTCAAGAAGACAGGAATTCCAGACAGTTAAGTAACAAGAATAATAAACTGGAAAATATTAGGTATATGGTAAAGAAGAAGTATATCTCACCACAAGAAAAAATAAATACAATAAAATTCCAAGAAAAATACACTTCTGTATTGGTGAAATGTGAGAAAACAGAATCCATGGGAAGCAGCAGGAGTGTCCTAGGAGGGCATGGTGGTCACATCGTCATAACTGTGTGGAGGAAATGTAACTGTAGTAGCCTTTCAGCTCTTCAGTGCGTTGCATTTACAGTGTCACAATAAGCACTTTTTACTGATTTTCAAGTTGTAGAATAAACATGGCATAGTGCAAAAGACACAGTTACGTTTACCAAGCTAAATGTAAATGTTATCCATACTTACAATGCTAAAGTAAAGTTTTAGCTAATGTAAGTTGGGAGGCAGAGGGAAAAGGTAGAGATATTAGTGTCCTTATAACAGGCCATGCAAGAGAAACTTGAATTTGTTGGAATAAAAAATACAGATTTAAGCATTATTTAAAGTTACAAAAGTACTCAGTAGAAGAACTAATGACATAGTATTATCAAAACCTCCAGACAGAGGGGAAGGGAAGGGTGATATAAGGAAGCTGTTCATCTTTTGTTACAAAGAATGAATAATGCCTAAACTCTATGAATCAGATATACAGTAGATAACATCCACGGTTGACAATTCAGTAAATACAAGTATAAGCTTTTATACTTATAAATACATGGTATTTATATATATATACTTGTATAAGTATATATATATATATATATATACTTGTATAAGTAAATACAAGTATTTAGCTGTATGGAGGCAGCCACTAAAAACGAGAGGCTGAACTGATAGTTGAAATCAGATTGTGTCTATAATATACTAAGATCTTTCTTGGCTTCATTTACTACAACTATCTTAGATTTACAAGGGTCACCTTGTCTATATATTTCTAACCATGCAGCATAATATTTAAATCTACAAAATTCTAAAGTTTTTCTTTACCATGCTATCTAGGTACAAAAAAAGCCAGACAAAATTCAGGAAGATATCCTTTCTGATAAAGATGAAAAAAAAGGAGTGTGGGATTCCATTAAAAGGTGATTACTAATGAATATTTTAACTATAGACCCATCAGGAGTCTAGTTTGTGGAAGCCCTGCAGATGGTAAATATTTAAGTCAAGCACAGGTCTTCTCTAGAAAGGATAAGACAAATACATAAATGTTACTGACGTAAGACAGGAAACTGGAGCTATAAGACAACTGAACATAAAGGGCTGTTCAAACCAGGGAAGGGAAAGTCTATATCCAGTTAGGAGGAACCTCAGAAAAGACTCTGGAGGAGTGTGTGGCTAAGATATGTTCTAAAGGATGGACAGGAGACAGAGTGAAGGAACCTGGTTACGTGAAGTCAAAAAGATTGGGTGTGTTTCTCAAGGAACAGGAAGTAGCCCAGGTTAGCTGGGATGTTGAATATAAGGGGGAATCTTTAAGTTAGGTTGGGACCTATATTAGTTAATCAAAAAAGGAATATTTTGGCTCACATATCTAAAGAGTCCAGGAGTAGAACTGACTTTGGGCATTCAGGTGATGTAGTCCAGAAACTCTTTCTCCAACACCTAGTTCTATTATCTGTGCTTCCTTCATTTTCAGACAAACTTTTACAAGAAAGAGCTTGCCATCTATCTCCCGTGGGAAGAAATTGCCTCTTTCCAGATAGTTACCAGCACAAGTTCCAAGCCTGACTCATTGGCCCAGCTGTTGCCTTGTATACCAGACTGAACTGATCCCTGTGACTTATTGACTAAGCTTGGGTCGTGTGGCTACCTCTAGAGCCAGCAAGAAGGCCCATCCTGCCTAAACCTCGTAGAATGAAATTAGAGGAGGAATAGCTACTCACCCACCCACCTGCCCACAGTACCAAGTTACTGTGGCTAGAAATGTAAAGGGCGTTAGGTGGGCAAACACAGAAGTGGGCTGCTGCAGATCCACATTGTAGACAACTCTGAAAGTCCATTTTAGAGATTTGAATTTAATTTGAATTATGTTAGAGAACTACTGATCATTTTTATCAAAGATAAGAAATAGAAGCTTCAGGCCAAATAGCTTCGGCAACCTATGCAGACGCACTCCCGTCATTTTGGATTTTGCCCAGTTTAGGCCTCTTTTTCTATAGCTGACTCCTTGTTTGATAGGAAGAATCGTGTTACTGTCCCAGTATGTGCATTGAACTGGTTACTGACCAAGAAAGGCTCGAACTCACTACTTTGAGAGGACTTCAGAGCAGGTTCGTTTGACAGGGGATAATGTAACAGGATCTGGGCATTTTAAAGAGTATCTGTTCATGAGCTTCCATTAAAACCAAAGGTAGAGACAAGAAGGAGTAAAGATAACTGTTAGACTATGGCTTAGCCACTTATTACACAGCGAGGATACCAAAACAAAATGCTGCTTTGTTAGAAAGAGAGAAGGTAAGTTTGGGGGATGGTAACTCCTCCAGATGCATAAGCGTATGTTACAGTGTTTTCACTTTTTTATCTTAGTTTTAATCCTAACTTCAAGTGATTTTTTTTTTTTTCCTCCCTGAATCAACTGTGTATTTTTCTTATTTGGGGGATTACAATGAGAAAACATTGCAAGAATACATCTGCCATAACAATTCTTATTTGGCAAAATATATTCCATGTCAATTGTGAATTGTTTAGTTTTCTAAAATCAGTCATTTTAAATATCTGTGCGTATAAAAATGAGATTTCTAATTAAATAAAAATTGTCAATAGGAAAAAGAAGAAACGATACACTATGAATACCCCAAATAACATTCAGTCACTTTTATATATGAGGTGGGGCATATCAAAGGCTGGTCTGGGTCCAGAAAGGGGTGACAGTGACAGCTGCGCCCAGATGAAGCTGTGGCGATGTAAACCACATCGTGAACGGACGTGGCTCCCCAGTGCTGTCTTACCCCTCCTGGAGACACGCCCAAGGCACAGAGGTCCCCGCAGCCTGTGGGGAGGCTGTCCCTGGCCAGAGGAGCTCTAAGCCGCGGGCGCCTCTTATAGCATCTTGTCCTGGGAAGGCACAGCCACAGCACTCAGGGGCCTCCCCTGTTAGCACAGACGGAAGCTCTGGTGTGCCACTGTTAACACTTGCACATTCTGTTTCTTCGCTCACGATTGGCCTTCCTAAAGCCTCAGTATGTTGCATATAGCCGTAGAATGCCACAGTTCATCCTCTGCTCTTAAAACAACTTTTGTAACTCACAAAGATTCAAAGGAATTATCTCATTAACCTAGAGAAAATAGAATTGCATTCTATGTTGTCCAATTTTAAAAAATCATAAAACTTCAGGTTACACTGTCACATGTTTAAATAATTCATAATTTTTAGGATAAGTACTTGTTTACAGTGTAATAACCATTCAGTTTGAAAAGGCTTCCTATTTTTATTATCAAATTTAATATTTTATTTAGGTATGTAAAGTTTGCAGATGTGTATTAAGAAAATGACAGTCACTTCTTTTTCATTCGAAGTTTCACAAGGAGCCTGCATAAAAAAGAAGACAATAAGGAAACAGACGTTCTAAACATTTTTTCAGTTGCTTCTGGCCATTTATATGAACGCTTTTTAAGGTAGGTATATTTTTTTATTTAATGTTTTGAAAAGTAATACATTTACATGGTCCAAAAAGAATTTTTAAAGTTTAAAAAAATAAATTACAGTGGAAAAAGAAAAGTCTCCCACCTCTGTTTCCTTGATACCCAGTTCCCTTTCCCACAGGAAACCAATGTTATTATTTTCATAGCCTGCCAAATATATGTATAGACAAGCCCAAATATGTATTTTTGCTTTTTGTAACTCCCTTTTCCCAAATAGTAACAAAGTACATAGTGCTTTTGCACCTTGCCTTTTTTATTTTATTTTTTACCTAAAATTATGAGGGAAGTATATTTTCTAAATACAGTGAAATTCCATGTGTTTGATTTGAAATATTGTTATTCTTTAAGGTTAGAAAATGGACATATTTTGTAGTAAGATGTGTGAGGAAAAAAAAGAATATATAGTAAATTTTCCTTTCCTGGTGAAGAAATACCATGTTTTATAAAAAGGGGGAGGAGTCTGAGAGAAGGAAAGCAATATTTATAAACTACAAAGGGCTATTTTTTAACTGCTTCTATAGAAGGATCACAGAGAACGCCTCAAAAATGTTTGAATATGTGTTGATATTTTAAGATGTACTTTAGATACATCTGTATCTTCTCCAACCAGAGGTCTAGGATAGCAAAACAAGTGGCCTGTCCAGTGACTTTATCAAAATACGACATGTTGTTCAGCCCTTCAAGGTTTACACACCTGCTATTAGTGACACAGTAACAGAGCCAAGATTAGACGCTAGTTTAACTAAACAAGACTGTTTCAGACTAGCTTCTTTCTCTTGTCAGCTGGACCAAACAAAAAGCAATCAATTTAGTCTATACCAGGTGTATATATATATATATATATATATATACACACACACACACATACTTACATATATACAATATATGTGTATATATACATATATTCTTATACGTTACATACTTGCTGAGCAGCCATAATATTTGAAGATACGTCACTATTTCTCCATAATTCATAGTGAAAACTACCAACTAATATCTTTAAATATTTAAAAGCCTTAAGAGAGGTAGGATGAACCCCTATTAATGTTAATTTATGGAGTTTATTGTTGTTTTATGCAGAATTATGATGCTTTCTGTTTTACGGAACACCAAAACGCCAGTGAAGTTCTGGTTTCTTAAAAATTATCTCTCACCAACATTTAAAGTAAGTACGTTAACTTTTTAATAGAGTAGTTAATATTTCAGAAGTAAATTCTTTATATCATTGTAAGTTCACATAACATTTCTCTTTTCAGAATGAGTCTTTTGAAATGTATATTTACTCAAATTACTATATGTAATCAATTTAAAACCTTGGTAATCAGTATTTTTTAATCTAGTTTAAGAAAAATTCTATGCAGCTTTTATTTAAAGAAGTGATTAAAAACACAGCAGGAGATGGTTTATGTTTAAGTAAACTCAAAATCAGGATTAGTGGGTTTTCATAACAATAAGTAAAGAAAAGTTGGCAATGAAAACTATGTACAGATTGTTAATTAAAAGAATTAGATTCTGTCATATTTTGACAAAGAAAGGCAGGAACAGTAGAAAATATGAAAACTGCACCACAGAGAATAGTTTGATAGGACCAAGAAGAGTGGGGCTCTGGTATCACATGCGGTGCCATCGGTTGGTGTGGTAATGTGGGCACTCTAGGTAGTGTCTCCAGCAATTTGTATTTAGAAGTTTTTCGACGGCCAACATCTGTTACCCTTTACTCAGCCCTACACTCTTGCCACAGAGTGTACCCCGTTTCTTCCTGTTAATCAGGTTCCAGGCAAGTTAGGGTCTCATTCAACAGCAGTTCAGAGGAATTTTCTTTCTAGACCAAAACCAGCTGTGAAAGCAGAAATAAAAACAGGCAACCATGCTTTTATTCCTTGGTGTTGCCAGGCACATTGCTAAGTACTTTACCTACATTATTCAGTTGCTCTTCATAAAGTCCTATTCCCAGAAAACCACGACTCAGAAGTTACATATCTGGCCTGCACAGTTGGGAAGTATCCAGGACCACTCTTAAGTTTAGAAACCCACTAGAAGGACACACAGAACTCAGAAAAGCAATTATACTCACAATTACAGTTGATTACAGCAAAAGGATACAGATTAAAATCAGCAAAGCAAAGAGATGCATAGGGTAGAATCCAGGGGACACCACACCGAGCTTCCAGTTGTCCTTTCCCCGTGGAGTCATGTGGACAGAGCTTATGCCTCCCAGCAAAACTGTGACGGTACACATGGAGTGTTGCCAATTAGGGAAGCCCACTCAGACCTGCCGTCCAGAGTTTTTATTGGGAGTTGGGTACATAGACCCACCTGACGGCCACCATGACTGACCTTAGCATCTAGCCCCTCCAGAGCTTGAGCTGATATCTTGTGGCCCAAGGTCTCCATCATAAATCACATTGTTAGCACAGACTATCTGGTGTGGCCCTAGGTCCCCAGGTAAATACAGACATTCTCATCAGGCAGGATATTCCAAGGTTAGCATTTACTTCCCAGGAGCGAAGGGCAAAGGTCCCAACCATTCTTTGAGCAGGATTTGTCCTTTATGGCACAGGCCTTAGATCAAATAGCTAATTAGTAGCTGAGATTTGAGCCCAAGTGTTCCGACCTCAAAGCCCAGGTGCTTAACACTTATGAAACAGCTCCTCTACCCTCCCCACCACCACCAAGAGTGCCGCCTCCTGTACTTACTTGTAAACTGAAAAAGAACCCATAAATATAGACAAGAAGTCTTACTAGTTTGTTACTAAACTTTTAACATGTGATGCAACACTGCATCGGGGGATTTAACTCTGCATATACTGAGATGATACAATGTGAAGATTCTCTTAACAGGAAATTATATCATTCACTAGAAACACAATGCTATGTGTGGAAAAAAGCCTTGTTCTGCTGCATGGCCAAAGGTGATACCATATCTGAAATAACATTTTCCTTCTTTTTGTAATTTGTTCTTTTTGCTCGAAATTTTTACCTTTTATATTTTTTTCAGGGAAATATAACGTGTACAAACGGTAAATGTGCAACTTTGATGAAGTTTTACAAATTTAAAACACCTGTGTAACCAGCAGCCAGATACGGAAACAGAAATTGCTAGTACCCTAGATCTTTTCCCTTCAATTTTAAAAGCATACCTTCTTTCTTCCTTCAGATCTTCGCTGAATTATACCTACTTTGGGAATAACCCTTTCCTGACTACACTGTGTAAAATGACAGTCCCTTCTGATCTTTCATTGTATTTCCCTTCCCCTTTTATTTTTCTCCATAGCACTATCTTCTATAGATACCTTACTAATTTCACTTATTTTATCTAAAATGTAAGCCTCACGAGAGCCATGACTTGTGTCTGTTTTGTTTCATTACTGGATCCCTAGGGCCTAGCATAGTGCCTGGCACATAGTGCATTTCTCAGTGAACATATTTTAATACATATTCGTTGAATTAAAAAAAAGTTTTTCTAATTTATCCTAGTTTTTTTTTTTTTTTAAGTTTGAAATGAGAGCAGTGACTCCCGGTAACTGTTCTAGCCATAAATTCAACATTTTGCAACTCACAGATAAAACCAATGCTTACAGCAAGGAACATACTTTAAATCTACATCGTTCTTACAAGAGCAGGCAGAAAATTAAACTAAGCATATAACCAGCAACTAGCTACAAGTGAGAACTGAGGAGATGAATGCAAATTCTACATTTGCTGACCCGTCTTTACCCACTCCTTTACCGTCATCCCTCTCAATATTTGGGCTCTTGAGCCAAACTTAGCTAACAGTGTACATATTTAATTAACTGCCCTGTTTTAAACAGAATAAGATACTCTAAGCCTATAAGACACTGAATCAAATATCAAATATTCATGCCACAATAACTACCTTGTATTTTTTTTTTACCTTGTATTTTTAATCCTTGAATTAAATAGTCATAAATCTCAAACATGAAACTCATATGGAGAATATAATTTATCAATTTACTACTAATTTTGTGGGTTTTGTACACCCTTTTCATCTTCCTATCTCTCTGACCAACCAGCATGGTGACATGTGCATAAAGTGTTTGATGAACAGGTGTTCCACGATCCAGAGGCTTTCCTTTCTATCATCAAGTTTTCTCAGGTCAAACATTAGTAGCAAAAGTAGAGGAACAATTATCTTATTTAATAAGCCTGCTAGTGTACCTATTTTTAACGCCTTTAAACTACAAAGTTTTTTTTCTACTTACATCTTTATGTTTGTCAGCATTGTCATATTTCTGATTAATAGGTGTAAGTTGTAGAAGTACTGTTCAGACATTTTACCGATTCATTTGTAACAACTTGTACACTCTAACCTTTAAAATGTTAATTTTTTCTCCAAAACAAAAACTGCTTTCTGTTCCTTGAACATAGTCTTTGATTTGTGTGTGTGTTTTAGGAGGTGATCCCTCACATGGCTGAGGAGTATGGATTCCAATATGAACTAGTCCAGTACAGGTGGCCCCGGTGGCTTCATCAACAGACGGAAAAACAAAGGATTATTTGGGGTTATAAGATTCTTTTCCTTGATGTCCTTTTTCCTCTTGCGGTGGACAAAATCATTTTTGTTGATGCTGACCAGGTAATAAGATTAACTATTGTTTTTTTACACTTCTGAGTATAGGGATGCAATTTATGTTGCCGCTTCTTATTACTGTCTTTGTTGCCACGCTATGTAAACATAAGACATAATTTTGACATATAAGCAAAGTATCTTTTTTTTAAAAAAAAGTCAGCATTCCAGGGGAAAATCAAAGGTGTTGCCAGAAGTACCATTTATTCCTTAGGACGAGGCAGTTTTTTCCTCTGAAGTAGTAGTTTTTTGTTTTGAGGGGGTTTTTTGGTAATTAAAAATAAAAGAAATACTTATATTAGTCATAATAAAAGTAGCTATGTGAGTTCCTATGGATATGAGCTGAAATTTGTTTAAAGTGAACTATTTCTTCTTGCTGGAAAAGTTAGCAATTACACATACTCTCCTCTCATTTTTCCACCTTCGGCCACATTCTTTGGCAATTAGCCAATAACCAAATCCCATCATTCTCCCACTTAAAGAAAAGAGTCCTAAATTTGGCCAGAAAAAATTATGGTCCTCAGCTTTCAAAATTTATATATCCAGAAGGTTTTATGACTTCTCCCCTTTTCTCCTTGCATGCCTGTGTAATCACTAATGGTAAAAAATATTTTTAAAATACACAGAATTTCTCTTAAAAATTTAAAAAAATACACAGAATTTCTAAGAACAATAATATGTAAATATAAATATTACATAAATCAAATGCACAAGTTAGTATTTTTATTTAGGACCAAAAGTATATTTTCAAATCCTACTTTATAATTTACTTGTATTCTAAATTCTATTACTTTTGTATTATTTTTCAAATTGATAAATATGAATCATTATAATTAAAAACTAAGAAAATAGGCAAAAGCGTAATGAAGTAAGCATTTCCAAACATACTGTCTAACATAAAATTTATTTTTCCTATTCTCCCCCAATATATACAATAATATTTTTCCAGCAGGCTAGAGTCTATTAAAAAATGAAACATACTAACATTATGACATTGAAGCCACTGAGAATAATTAAGAGATTTTTCTTTATGATTCAAACTAATATTTGCCAATACATAATAATGGAGATACATCATAGAAATCATTTTGAAGTATTAATCTATACCTTGAGAAATTAAGAGCTATGTACTTGTATATTTAATTCCTTACCAAAATATATTTTGTTCAAAATACCTTGATTACAAATCAAAACCACAGTGAGATATCACCTCACACCTGTCAGAATGGCCATCATCAAAAAGAACACAAATAACAAACGTTGCCAGGGATGTGGAGGAAGGGGAGCCCTCCAGCACTGTTGGTGGGAGCGTCAACTGGTGCAGCCGCTGTGGGAAACAGTAGGGAGGCTCCTCAAAAAACTAAAAATAGAACTAGCATGTGACCCAGCAATTCCAGTCCTGGGTATATATCCGAAAGAAACAAAAACACTAATTCAAAAACATACACGCACCCCAGTGTTCATAGCAGCATTATTTACAGTTACCAAGATATGGAAGCAGCCCAAGTGTCCATCCGCAGATGAATGGATAAAGAAGACGTGAGGTGTATGTGTATGTATATAATGGAATACTACTCAGCCTAAAAAATAAAAGAAGAAAAAGAAAAAGAATAAAATGTTGCCATTTGGAGCAACATGGATGGACTTGGAGGGCATTATGCTAAGTGAAACAAGTCAGACAGAGAAAGACAAATACTGTATGATATCACTTATATGTGGCATCTAAAAAAACAAACTAGTGAATAAAACAAAAAAGAGGCAGACTCGTAGACAACAAACTAGTGGTTACCACTGGGAAGAGGGAAGGAGGGAGGGGCAATATAAGGGTAGGAGATTAAGAGATACAAACTATGAGGAATAAAATAAGCTACAAGGATATACTGCACAACACGAGGAATATAGCCAATATTTTATAATAGCTATAAATGGAATATAACCTTTAAAATTGTGAGTCACTATATTGTACACCTGTAATATATACTACAGGTGTATATCAACTGTACTTTAATTTAAAAAAGAATATTAAAAAATACCTTGATTAAAAATGATGTAACAAGCTATTCTTATTAATGAGTAAGACCACTGTCATACAGACTAGGTATGTAAATTTTAGGCTTCTTTTAATCTGTAAGGGCAAAAGGAAAAAATAGAAATTTGGTAAACTGGTGCTACATGACAGAACTGTGGGGAAAACTCAGTTCTCTGTCTTTCTACAACAAGGTGATGATGATTTGAGATTCATATTACAGGGGCTTCTATTATTTTATAGTCTTCATCAGAGAAAGTATTCTAATTATTTAGGTTGTGAGACATGACCTAAAAGAACTGCGAGATTTTGATCTGGATGGAGCTCCTTATGGGTATACTCCCTTCTGTGATAGCCGCACGGAAATGGATGGATATCGTTTCTGGAAGACGGGATACTGGGCATCACATCTTTTAAGAAGGAAATACCATATCAGGTAAGAAAAGTCATACTCTTACCTTTGAGTGAATAAATAACTTGTTGAATTACAATACTCAGTTTTCTTGGAAAATATACAATAATGGCAGCCCATTATCTAGTGCTTATTACATGCCAGTCACTCTTACAAGACTTTACATATATTAACTCATAAAATCTCTATGACAACCTTTTGAGATATTGCTATCATCTCTATTTTATAGATGTGGAAACCGAGGCATACAGCATTTGTGTACCTTGCCCAGGCTTATGCTGCTAGTACATAGCTGAGGCCGGAGTTAAACCCAAGTAATATGGCTCAGCTGTTTGTTCCTAACTACTATAGAAGATTTCAACTTGGTTTGTCGCATAACAAAATGAAGATTGTCTTCAAAGCTGTTACTGTTTTGTAGGCCCATGAGTTTCAGGAGATCTTGGAAAAACTTAAGGTGACCTTAAGAGGATGTGGATCCTAACAGCGTCATATCAAACTTCAAACTCCTTGGAAACAGTGTTAGACATCAGGAGCAAATTATGAAAGGATTCATTATTATTAGACCCAGGGATATCTAAAGTTAATACCAACACTGTAGACAATCACAACGTAGGCTCTCAAGGAGTCTTCATTTCTTGCAGTGCCTTATACGTGGTGGATCTCAAGAAGTTCAGGAGAATCGCAGCAGGTGACAGGCTCCGGGGCCAGTACCAAACGCTCAGTCAAGATCCAAACAGTCTTTCAAACCTAGATCAGGTAAGTAAAATATTCATGGAATAATTTTCAATACATAGACATAGACTGTTCTATCTCCCTGTTTATAGATGTCAAAATCTTGTATTTTTAGCCTCTTTCTTCCCTTTATGCAATTTTGTATTAGCTATCTTGACTTACATATTTTTTCACTTCAAGCCTAACATTTTCAGAATAGCGTTTGATCTTCACCTTTCCATGCTTAAACCTCTTCTTTCCACTATGTGCCCTATCTCACTTTGTTACCCTAAATTTTTCTTACTTGTTTCCATCATCATTTAAACATGGGTCTCCCTCCCTCCCTCCCTTTCTCCCATTTCTCTTTCTCTGTGATTTTTAAGATAAACTCCCTTCATCCTGTGCCCTCCCTGACTACTGCCTTACATTTTGCTTTTCTTCACAAATGCTTTTTTTCTCAAATCCCATTATTTCCTCATTATTGTATCCTGCTCATTTCCTCATTTTAGCAATTTAAACAGAAGAAAAAGACCCTGTAGCCTCTTTATTATTATTCCTCTTTCCAGTGACTAAAGAATATAGGTTCTGGATTTCCCTGGTGGCACAGTGGTTAAGAATCCGCCTGCCAATGCAGGAGACACAGGTTCGGATCCCTGGTCCAGGAAGATCCCACATGCCACGGAGCAACTAAGCCCGTGCACCACAACTACTGAGCCTGCGCTCTAGAGCCCGCGAGCCACAACTAGTGAAGCCTGCGTGCATAGAGCCCGTGCTCCGCAACAAGAGAAGCCACCGCAATGAGAAGCCCGTGTACCACAACGAAGAGTAGCCCCCGCTCTCTGCAACTAGAGAAAGCCCGCATGCAGCAACGAAGACCCAACGCAGCCAAAAATAAATAAGTAAATTAAGAATGTAGGCTCTTACTAGAACCTTACATGTTTGTTAATTCAGGAAGTATCTGTTGAATACTTACTATGTGTCAGATACTCTCCTAAGCCCTGGGACATCAGAAAACAAAACAGAGATCCTTAGCTCATGGTGCTTTCATTCTAGTGGGAAAATAACTAAATAAATTAATGAACAATATTTAAAGGTAATAAGTGCTTTAGAGAAAAAATAAAACACGAAAACATGATAGAGTTCAGAATGGTGAATAGGGGTTAGAGTTTGTTGTTGTAAGCTGAGCGGCCATATGTCTATACGCAGGTGACGTGCAGATGGAGGCTTAAGAGCTGAGCACGCAGGTATCTGTGAGAATCCCAAGCAGAGAGGATATCGAATGCAAAGGTCCCAAGGTGGGAGTGGGCCTTACATGTTTGAGGAATAGTACAGAGGGGAAAAATAGTCTGGCATAGGGAAGAGAGGTGATGGAGGGTCTAGATAATATAGAAATTTGAGGCTGTTTGTTTAAAAATTGAGCAAATGGAATATTATAGGTCAAAATACTAATGATTGATTCAGGAGCACACTGATGAAGGACTGATTTAAAAAAATCATTCTTGAAAGTTGAGAGGACTCCAAATATGTATGTGTGCAAATGCAAGGTAGCGTCTTTGCAATATTGCCAATTAGTAAAAAACAGACGTAGAGTCCTCAGTAGACCCCAATAACATTCCAGATTTAAATTATGAATATCACATTTTTATAATTCTTAGTCATTTCCCCAATGGATTATTCATAAGGAACCCTACTGGTTATCTGCATGTGGGTAACTAAGGGAAGGACCCATTTTTCAAGCAGACCAGCAAACATCTGAGGGACTCTCCCAGCGCTACATCACCACATTTGGGGGATGGTTGTCCTTCGGACGCATCTGGCTACCATTCCCGCCAGTCCACTAAACAGTTCTCACTAAAGCCAAAGTGATATCTTCTTATCCAGTGAACACTTCTTGTTTCTTCTTATTTGCCTTTCTCGTGATGTGGGCGTTTTTGACCTCTCCTTTCTTGAAACTCCCTTGGCTTTCATAATATCCAATCTTCCTGGTTCTTCTCTGATGTCCGTGACTTTCCCAGCACAGTTTATTTGAGAACTACTCTTTTTCTACCTCTTATTTAAATGTTGCTATCCTCTAAGTTTCTGCCCGTGGCCCACTTCTCATTCTGTACCCGCTCTATTGGCTTCTTACATACACTGGCTTTAATTTCCAGCTTTTCTACCAAGAATTCCCAAACCTTTATCTCGCTCTTCTCTCTCCTCTGAATGCCTAACTCATATGTTAAATCTACTGAAATAGACCCAGTAATGCCCAGAACTTTTCTCAAAGACAAAAACCCGAGCTATATTCCTCCTCCACTGTTCTTTCCATCAGCACCTACTGCTCAGCTGCCTATTACAGGTTGGGTTATCCAGGAAACAAACTGACTCTAAAGTGGAAATTAGCCTGCAGGAAGTTTATTAGGAAGTGCTCTCAGGACTAACAGCTGTTGGAGAAGAAAAGGAAGCAGAATTAGGCGAATTCTACAAATTCAGCCAAGGCCTCAGACAACCCCCACAGGGAGTTCTGAAGCTGAGATGACCTTTCCTGGTTGTCACAGTTTGTCGAGGGGCCCAGGTCTTTATTCCTTCACCTAGATTCCCCTAACCTAGTGATACAACCCAGAACCTCCCAGTGTTATGGGGATAATAAGCACAAGTTCCCCAGGAAGGTCACTGGGAGGGATAGGCAGGGTCACTTCTACTTTGCCCCTTGGACCCATGCCCTTGTCCTTAATCTTCTTTCTGGGCCCCTGACCAATCAACCAAGCCATTCACCATTTCATATGAATTTATATATATTTTAGCCTTAGGCTGCTTCTCTTCTGTATACAAAGTGAATGATAAGGTACAGCAGTTAAAACAGTTCTTAGAAAATTCATAGCACTAAGTACATATTAGAAAAGAAAAAGGCTCTCAACCTCAGCTTCTACCTAGAAACTAGAAAAAAAGAGCAAATTTGAAACCAAAGTATGTAGAAAAGAGAATAATTAAGAATAGAGTGGAAATCAATGAAATGAAAAAAACGGAAAAATGGTATGTTTCCATAGATTTTCTTATGAACCAAAGCTGGTTCTTTGATAAAATTAAGAAAACATAAACCTCTAGCCAGACTGATCAGAAAAAAGATAAAAGACATAAATTACTAATATAGAAATGAGAGACATGACAGCACAGTATCTACAGATATTGAAAGAATAATGAGAAACTATTACAGACAACTTTATGGTAATAAATTCAACAACTTCGATGAAATGGACAAACTACTTAAAAGACACAAACTACCAAAATGCACTCAGAATGAAATAGATAACCTGAATAGCCCTATAACAATTGAAGAAATTAGTTTAAATCTCCAGGCCCAGATAGCTTCTAAATTCTACCAAACTTATGTGAATTCTACTCAACATTAAAGAAAGAAATAGTATCAATTCTACACAAGCTCTTCCAGAAAACTGACATCACATTACTTTTGCCATATTCTGTTGTTAGAAGGAAGTCACTAGGTCCAGCCACACTCCAGGAGGAATAATTGCACAAAAGAATGAATACTGGGAGGCACGGATCACCGGGAGCCGTATCAGAAACTGCCTACCACAAACCCAGATGTCTATCAAAACGAGATTGGACAGAAAGAGTGTGGTATATTTACTCAACAGTAAAAAGGAATGAGTTATTCATACATATAACAACATCGATGAATCTAAAAACCATTACGCTGATCTAAAGAAGCCAAGCCAAAAATATACATATCGTATGATTCTATTTATACAGAATTCTAGAAAATGCAAAACAGTCTACATGGACAAAAAGCAGTTCGTGTTTGCCCAGGGACTAACTGGCTTAGGTGAATGTAGAAAGGACAGGCAGGAAGGACTGCAAAAAGGCACAAGAAAACTTGAGAGTGATGGATATACTCAATGAGCTTGATTGTGATCGTTGTGTCGCAGGAATATTTGTATGTAAAACTTATCAGACTGTACCCTTTAAATAGGAACAGTGAATGGACTGGCATAAGGTTAGACATATATAGATCAACGGTCTAGAACTGAGAGTCCAGAAATAAACCCATGCATCTATGGTCACTGGCTTTTTGACAAGCATGCCAGGATAATTTAATGGAGAAAGAATAGCTTTTTCAGCAAAGGTGCCGGAACAACAGCATATCCACGTGTAAAGAATGGATTGGACCCCTTCCTAACACCATATATAAAAACTAACTCAAAATGGATCAAAGGCCTGAATGTAAGAGGGTCAAGTATAAAACTCCTAGAAAATATTGGTGTACATCTTTGTAACTTTGGATTAGGCAATGGTTTCTTAGATATGAAACAAAAAGTACCAGCAACTAAAGAAAAAATAGGACTGCATCAAAATTAAATACTTTGTGCATTAAAGGACACAAGAAAGTGAAAAGACAACCCACAGAATGGGAGAAAATATTTGCAAATCATATATCTGATAAGAGACTAGTATCCAGAACATATAAAGAACTCTTATAATTTAAAAACAAAAAGAGAACCAATTTTTTTTTTTTTTTTTTTGGGGTACGGGGGCCTTCCACTTTTGTGGCCTCCCCCCTCCCAGAGCACAGGCTCCGGACGTGCAGCCTCAGCGGCCATGGCTCACGGGCCCAGCCGCTCCACGGCATGTGGGATCCTCCCGGACTGGGGCACGAACCCATGTCCCCTGCATCGGCAGGCAGACTCTCAACCACTGCGCCACCAGGGAAGCCCAAGAGAACCAATTTTTAAATGCTCAAAGGATTTTATTTTTGTTTTTGGGTGTGCTGGGTCTTCGTTGCTGCGTGCAGGCTTTCTCTAGTTGCGGCGAGCGATGGCTTCTCTCGTTGCAGAGCACGGGCTCTAGGTGTGCAGTCTTCAGTAGTTGCAGCATGTGGGCTCAGTAGTTGTGGTACACGGGCTTAGTTGCTCTGCAGCATGTGGGATCTTCCTGGAGCAGGGGTCAAACCCATGTCCCCTGCATTGGCAGGCGGATTCTTATCCACTGCACCACCAAGGAAGTCCTGCTCAAAGGATTTAAATAGATATTTTTCCAAAGAAGATGTGCAAATGGCCAATAAATACGTGAAAAGATGCTCAGCATCACTGGTCATTAGGAACTTCAAGTCAAAACTACAATGAGATACCACATCATACTCACTGGGATGGCTATAATAAAAAAGACAGTAAAAGCTTTGGCAAGGATATGGAGAATTTGGAACCATCATACACTGCTGATGGGAACATAAAATAGTATAGTGTAGTGTATGTGTCTGTGTGTTTCGCCAGCCATGTTTAGTTGCATGGAGGCAGGTGCAGACTTTGGATTTAACCAGGACTATAATTTTGCCAAGCGAGTACAGCTAAATGTGAGAATGGTAAGACAACTGAGAATATATTCAAGGGATTAAATATAATGATTAACCATGGAAATTAAGGAAGGGGGGGAGTGAAGACATCAGGGGGTAAAGGACAGTGAAATAGTGGTAGGATCAGTTGATTGGAGGTCCCAGTGGGGGTCAAAAGGTATTGATATCTGAGTACTTGATGGAGTAAGCTGAAAATCAAGAGGTTGTCAGAGAGTGGGAGCATGAAATTGAAATTGTAGAGGACTTGGCTAGGACATGACCATGTGAGAAAGTGGCTGAGATAAGATGGCAGACCAGGTTGTTTGAGGATTTAAAGAATGGATTCCCAGGAAAAGGGTGTTGGAAGAGGGAACAGTTAACTAGCTTTTATTTTTTTTAATTAATAGACTTTTTTTTTTAGAGCAGTGTTACATTTACAGGAAAAAATTGAGCAGAAAATAGAAAGAAGTCTCATATTTCTGGGCTCTCTATTCTGTTCCATTGCTGTATTTGTCTGTTCTTTTGCCATTACCAATCTCTTAATTACTATAGAATTTATATGAAGACTTCAAATTCAGTAGTATTGGCCCTCTGACTTTGTTATTCTTCTTCAACACTGTGTTGGCTATTCTGGGTCTTCTGCCTTTCATACAAACTTGAGAATGAGTTGGTTGATACCCACAAAATAATTTTCTGGGACTTTTATTGGGATTGCGTTGAATCTATAAATTGAGTTGGGAAGAACTGACATCTTAACACTATCAAGTCTGTCTGTGAACATGAAATATCTCTCCATTTATATAGATGTTCCTAGATTTCTTTCATCAGACTTTTATAGTTTTCCTCATGTAGAGGAACATATTTTGTTAGATTTTTTACCTAGGTTTATTTGGGGTTTTTTGTTTTTTTTGTTTTGGGGGGTGGTGTTTGGTGCTAATGTAAATGATGGTGTGCTTTTAATTTCAAATTCCAATTGTTCGTTGCTGGTATATAGCAATTGACCTTTGTATGTTAACCTTGTATCCTGAAACCTTTCTATCATTGCTTATTAGTTCCAGGAGTTTTTTTTTTTTTAACTGATTCTTAGGATTTTCTGCATAAACAATCCTGTCATCCTCAAAGAAAGACAGTTTTATTGCTTCCTTTCCAATCTTTATACCATTTATTTCTTTTTCCTGTCTTGCTGCATTGGCTAGAACTTCCAGTATGATGATTAATAGGAGTGTTGAGAGAAGAACCCTAAAATTATGAATCTTGGAACTTAGATGGGACAGCTAACACAAGTACTGCTGGGGCCCTCCGGGAGAGAGAGGAAACATGCCCTTTGCTCTGGAATGTAAACAAATATTCTCTGGGAAGGGCTCTGCAATCCCTGGCATATATAAGCAGGTATCTCTGGGAAAGTTGTCTTTAAATCTCTGCAGAGGTCTCTGTCTTTAACATACTAGGCTCATTTGCCATTTACACATCCTTATACCCAGGTGCCAGCGATCTTTGCTTAGAAAGCTCTGAGTATGCAGAAATGTGAAAATATTTGTGGAGCATAGTTTGCTGATAGGGAAATGAAAAGTCACCTCAGAATCTGGAGAGTGCGGTGTTGACTACATAAACAGTAATAGCAGACACGGTATAAGTGATTAATCCTGGTGTTTCGAGGCAGATAAGAGGTAGAGAGGGCATGTGGAATGGTGGGTTTCTGGGCCTCTCTCTCCACCTCGGATGCTGGGGGTGAAGCCCAGGGCAGGTGCGGTCTTTGTTCCAGTGCACAGGGTCATTCACGACACAAGACTGTTGGGTCAAATTAAGTATTTAAAGCTTCAAAATACAGACACACCTGAGATTTGCATGTTTTTGTAGGATCTGTTTATAATCTAAATGACATCTTCAACTTCTTTCACTCTGACCCTAATTTCTCTACCTCTATGTTTAAATCATTCTTTTTTTCTGTAGGATCTTCCCAACAATATGATTTACCAAGTTGCCATTAAGTCTCTTCCCCAAGACTGGTTGTGGTGTGAAACCTGGTGTGATGATGAATCCAAACAGAGAGCCAAAACAATCGACCTGGTGAGTGTTTGCATCTTCCTCTGTATGAGCAGATGCGGAAGTGTTCCAGTAGAAATATTTTCTGTATTACAAACGGAATGGCACACGTAGGGCACCCTGCTGCTCAGTCTGTTATTGACTGTTACATTTACCTAGGTTGGCAAGTAGAGGGCTGTGCTGGGGGCCCCCAAGACCACCCCCAGGTTTGATGATTCAATAAGAGGACTCACAGGACTCAGAATCATGGCTGTGAAGATATTACAGTGAGAGAACGCAAAGCAAAATCAGGAAAAGGCGCATGGGGTGAAGTCCAGGGCAAACCAGGTTCAAGCTTCCCAGAGTCCTCTCCCTGTGAAGTGACCCAGGACAACCCTAATTCCTTACGCTACAAGAAGTACAACAACCCGTGTGAACGGTGGTCTATCAGGGCCGCTTACCAGAAACCCAATGCCCAGGATTCTTATTGGGGGCCTGGCCACGGCCCCCTCTGCCTGGCACGTGCCAAGATTCCCAGCGTCCAGAAGGAAGGCCGGTGGTCACCGTAAACCACAGGTTTGCACAGTTTAGGCACAGTGAGCCATTCTTAGACGGGAACGGTGGGAACACTCCTGAAACCCAAGTTCTCAGGTGCCAGCCAAGGGCCAGCCTTGCAAACACGGGCCTAAGAGTAGTGGTCCCAGGCCTGCTGTGCTCATTCTTTTCTGCACAAGGCCTTTCGAAAGAAGGGCCATGAGCTGGCTGAAATGTTTATGGATTAGCTGCCATCTTAACATGCCATCAGTTTAGTTGCCTTGCCAATAATTTTCCCAAATAAAGACAACCAAAATAACTGTGTCTACTGAAATTATCCTATACATGTCTATTTTTCTTCATTATTTTTGAGAAGTTTTTTTCTTAGATTTTCATTTTAAGCAGTTTTTGCTACACAGTTTAAATCTAGACATGAAATATTTTAAACTAACTTAATTATCCAGCTGTCTAGACATTATATTCCAATACTATATATTATCTTTAATAGTATAAGATATTATTCTTTTTCTGACCATATTGTTTTTATGTGCTAAAAGTATAGAATAATTGTTTACAAGATTTTCACTGAAGAACAGACTGTCAAAATGTTAGAACTCATTGTTTTGAACAAAATAAGACAGGGCAATAAAATATAGGGATGTTTCTCCAGATATGTATAGAAAGGTATAGAAAGAAAGTAGCATGCCAAAATGTTAGATTGCAATCATAGGGGATAGAATGTAGCAGAAACAAGATGGCACTGGTAAGAAGAAAGCGACGGAAATTTCTAAAGAGAGGTCAAGAACATTACTGAACATAACATAAAATGTTAAGGTTATGTTGTATAAGGTGGTGACTCATATGTTAGTGACATAAGGTCTCCTTGGGTTCTTTAGTACTTAGATTAACGTGAGCTGCTCTGACAAATGCCCATGTTTCCATGGTTTCACATACACCCAGGTTCAGACCTAAGTGGGTGTCCGATCAGTGAGCAGCTTCCCTGTACGTCATGACTCAGGGACCAGTCTCCATCCATCGTGTGGCCTCTTCATCCTCTAGGGTCCGGTCATCGTCTGTGTCCATCTGGAGCTGATCCATCCAGTATAGCAGCCACATGCAGCCATAGAGCACTTAAAATGTTGCCAGTGTAAATTGAGACGTGCCGTAAGGTGTAAAACACATCAGATTTTGAAGACTCAGTACAATAAAAAGAATGTAAAAATATCTCATTACTAATTTTTATATTGATTACATTTTGACTGATAACATTTTGGAAATATTGGGTTAAACAAAATATAGTATTAAAACTTATTTCACCCGTTCCTTTTACATTTTTATATGTGGCTGCTAGAAAATGTAGAGCTGCGTGTGTGGCTTCCATCATATTTCTATTGGATAGTGTTGATCTGGAGGGAAAGGAGAAAGGAGTGTGGAGAATACATCCTGATACTGAAGGCCTTGGCCCCGTGGTAGGAATAGGTCGTGTGGCCACATCCAGTTGTAACAGGAGCTAAGGATCGTCATTCCTCGATGGGCAGCCACTTCCTAGCAATAGGTCTACATAGAAGAAGAAGGATCGGTGACATAAATTTTGGTGGACAACATCATCTCTCCCACAGAAACATTTAAAATAAAAATGGAAGAACATGCTATTTTTGGTCATCTTCTTGGGGAAAAAGTTAACAAGAAAAATCCCAAGGAAATGGCCTAATGGAGAGGAAAAAGCATGATTCCTGGTATTGAACGTGAGGATGAGAGTCTTTGTGAAGGTCATGATACTGTCTCAATTCCCTTTCAATCAAGGTTTCTCCACTGGGGCATTATTTACATCTGGGACCAAGTAATTCCCTGTTGTGGAGGCGGACCTGTGTGCTGTACAGGAGGGTGTTTAGCAGCATCCCTGGCCTCTACCCACTAGGTGGCCATAGCCGGCCCGCCGCCCCCCCCCCCCCCGCCATTACAACAATCAGAAATACCTCCAGGCCTGGCCACAGTTCCCCTGTGGGGCGTGGTCACCCCACTTAAGCACCGCTGATAGAGATTGTAGCGGGGTGGGGGGGGGAATTGTAGAATACACTAAGGACAAACATAGTATTTTTGTTTTAATAGTTTCTGACATAGTTAGAAAATAGTTCCATTGTCTTCTTTATAGAACACATTGCCTGTGAAATTAATTTCTACAAAGAAAATACTGTTTTCAAGTTACTTCAGAAATATATTACTTTAGAAAATATTCCACAATGCAATGAACTGAAAATGTTGGATGAGGAAGGGATTAAGACAGCAGGCCCGGGCTTCCCTGGTGGCGCAGTGGTTAAGAATCTGCCTGCCAATGCAGGGGACACGGGTTCGAGCCCTGGTCCGGGAAGATCCCACATTGCCGCAGAGCAACTAAGCCTGTGTGCCACAACTACTGAGCCCGCAAGCCACAACTACTGAGCCTGCACTCTAGAGCCCACGAGCCACAACTACTGAGCCCGCAAGCCACAACTACTAAAGCCCACATGCCTAGAGCCCGTGCTCTGCAACAAGAGAAACCACCATAATGAGAAGCCGACGCACTGCAACAAAAACCCAACGCAGCCATAAATAAATAAGACAACAGGCTCACGGTTCATAACTTAGCTCTCCCATAAGGCACGAAGGATGAAGGGGAAAGCAAGTTGGGGCAACTATAAGAAAACGCCACGTGGAAGTGAGCTTCAGGACACATTCTTTGTTAATGCTTCATGAAGAGCAGACAGGATGCTTGTGTAACTCTGTGAAGTTTATGCTCCTCCCGTAGTCTTTCCTGCCTCAGTCAGTGGCATCTCCATTCTTTACGTTGCTCAAGCCAAAGACACTAGGGTCATATTTGATGCCTCTCTTTTCTCACAATTCACATCCAGCCCATGAGCAAGTCTTGTCAGCAGTACCTTCAAATACATCCAGAGTCAGAACCTTCTTAAACTCCTCCTCTACTTTTTGCCTTTTAACCTTGATTTAATTTCCCAAGAAACTCTATAATAGGACCAACTGCTAATTAAAATTGATCAAATATTAGAGGAACTTTGTAGATGATCTTGTTTTAATTTCGTCCTTTGCAGATGAAAAAAACTAAGATTCTGCCACTGCCCACACCCCACCGCCACACACCCCCACCGCCACACACACACACACACACACACACACACACACACACACACTTTAGTGACTAGGTCTTACTACCAGTAAGTGTGGACCGTCCAAGTCTTACTACTAGTAAAAACTGGAACCATGAGGACTGAGGATCCAAGTCCATTGCTTTTCCACTGTGCCTATTAAGCAGGCTAGTTAAATATTTTTAAGGCGTGGAGATTTATGAGCTACTCTGAATTTCACAACTGTCAGTGTTTTGACAAATGATTTCCAGTTAACTGATTTTTAATATCATAACTGCTAATGAGAACAAAGGCATGTGAAAGAGGATGAATGCTTTTGCCAAAGAAACTCAAGACGTTTCTGAAGGCTGATAAATAGTCTTGTGTATGGAAAACATAAAGTATATAAACCCAGGTTTTAGTCTGAAGAAAAGGCAATCAAACATTTATTAATATAGTCTTCTGTGTTCTTTTACAGGATGGTCATATAATTGGGTGTTTTGTGCAAACATTTTACAGAATTGTTTGACAGACTTGTTATGAGCCATCAAAAAGTCTTTAAACAATTTTTGTTTAAAGTTCTGATTGAGGTGTTTGCATTAAATACTTACTGCTTACATAAACTATGATTTGTCATTTCACTTGATCCTTTCTCTATTAAACGAATTCCGGTATTTCAAGTACTTAGTACCTAGGGCCCTGCTTTTTATAAAATGCATTTTGTTTGCTCTAGTGACATAGCAGTGTCCTCAAGTATTTCCTTTATGTTTCCTCGAACATGGTTTTTTTTATTAACAAAGCTTTATTTAAACTTTCAGTGCAATAACCCCAAAACAAAAGAACCTAAACTAAAAGCTGCTGCCAGGATTGTCCCAGAATGGGTGGAGTATGATACTGAGATACGACAACTATTAGATCACCTTGAAAACAAGAAGAAAAATGCAAGTAAGTTATTCTGCAGCGGTGTATGAACGATATGTTGCATTAAGTGAAATTAGAATAGATTACAGACTCAGTTCTTGGTGAAGTTATCAAATGATTAGGTCAGAATTTCTTTACCGAAGTCCGTGACTTGATTACAAATTTCATTTTTATGTGGAATTAAGCTCGCAAATTTAAAACATGGATAGAGAATCTATTCCCCCATGGATACAGCTTCAGATCATCACATAGTCAGTATAGTATTAACCTCCTGACATAATGTAGAGGTGAAAAAAGTAAAAGAAACACTTGTCTTTAAGACACACTGAATTTCCTAAATATGAAAATCCAAGCCCTGAAGTTTAATAAAAGCCTTACATAGCTAACTACAGTATTACCTCCTGTCTCCTAAATTAATCTGGTACATGGTATACGTTTCCCCATGAAAAGTTGGTTCCTGGATCTAGTAGCCTTGGTCATGACTAGAGGGTGATTTGGATTAATTTGTTTCCATTTCTTAGACTTAAAAAACTGGAAAAAAAAAAAAAAAGTAAAACAAAAAACTGAGGTTACCTTAGCATTTCATCATCACCCTACATAAATCCTCAACACCAATAAATGTGTGTGGGATATTCTTTTAAAGCTGATATTAACTTCTTGATTGCTTCATAAGCACCTTTCCTGGTCAGTGCCTGTCTCTGTTGTCCTTTGCTCTTTTTTAAAAGTAGTACTGAGCTTCTATTGTGTTCCAGTCAGTAGGTTAGAGACTTTCACAGGTTAGACTAGTTAATCCTCACAGTAATTCTTTCTAGTAGTTCAGAATATAATTCTTATTTTCCTCAGCTTTACTTTTTAGGGAGGCTGAAATGATTATATATAAAATTTCTCATATAAGCATGAAATTCTGTTTCATCTTGACTCTGTTTTCCTGCACAAAATCAGTGTGTGTTGTCTGAGAAGTTCAGTATTTAAAACACACCCAAGCATTTTTAACACTGTAGTATAAAGATGCCATTTCAATTCAGAAGAAGAAAGATTATTCTCTAAGTGGTGTAACTGTTTTCAAAGGGAGAGAAGGAAAGAAGGCAAAAAAGAAAGGAGGAAAGGAAAATTCACATAATTACCTCACAAGCAATTTTAAAGGTATAAAACACTGAGACGAAATGTTTCTCTTCTCAAACTGGAAAGAGTTAAAGGATTAATAATACCCAGCATTAGCAAGGGTATTGACAAGTAAGCACTCTCGTACCTACAGTAGCTGTATAAATTAAGGACATTTTATAATATGCATAAATAATTAAAATATATGCCCTTTGACCCAGCAATTCACAAGAAACTTACATTTAAACGAGAAAAATTATGCATATATATACATATGTTTGTTACAGCATTGTTTTTAATAATGAAATAGAATCTGTCCATCAATAGAGGATCGATTGCATAAACACTGATACATACAATGAAATATAATGTAGCCTTTCAAGAGAATTGAGACAGATTTGTGCTGACAGCAAATTTTTAAGTTAAAAAATAGGTTATAGAATATTTATGTTATTGACCCACATCTTAATTAAAAAAAAATTGCATGTCTGTGTATATATGTTTTTGTATGGTTATATATATAAATAAGAGAGGTTTTACAAAAGAGATTTTTGGGTTTATTGCTTTTTTTTTTTTTTTTTTTTTTTTCCGGTACGCGGGCCTCTCACTGTTGTGGCCTCTCCCGTTGCGGAGCACAGGCTCCGGACGCGCAGGCTCAGTGGCCATGGCTCACAGGCCCAGCCGCACCGCGGCATGTGGGATCTTCCCGGACCGGGGCGCGAACCCGTGTCCCCTGCATCGCCAGGCGGACTCTCAACCACTGCACCACCAGGGAAGCCCAAACTGTTCAATTTTTAGCCTTCCACTTTTTATCTTGGAATAAACACCAGGCTGTTTCTTTCTGCAATGCAGAAGAAGGAATGAGAGTGGAGAGCTGACGTGCACAGATTTTCCATACAGTCCTTCAGTTAATTGCTTCACTGGGTGATGTACTCCCCACCAGTGTTTTCTGTTAGGAGGCTTTCCCAGGCTTCTCTGATCTGTTGTCTCTGATCAACTCATCATCTCAGCTGTGTATTCTGTTTTCCGCGTTTAGAAATTCGTTGATAACTCTGCTCCAGTGTTGTCTCATAACCACTTCTCCCATTGTCTTTATTGCTATTCCCTTTTATATTTCTTATCTTTCCAGTGGAGTTTAGTGGAGAGATATAGTCTGCCATCTTGAATTATGGAACAGGATCCATTTTAAATGTATATTAATTAATTTCTGCCTGAAAATATCATTTTGAATTTTCAGTGTTCTTAAATCAGTATGTGACAGCTCAGTGATGTGGAAGGTGAGGAAACCATTTTGATCTCTAAGGGTCTTCGCTAGTACTGATTCTCACATTTGTACAGTATTTGTGTCTGTTTGAATGCTCTGTCCTCCCATCTTAGATGAGGACCATATATGTCTTCTGCTTTTTGTTGTTCCGTTACATTAATAACAGGATACTTTGTACGTGGTGAGTCATCTGTCAGTACTGTTCAAGGCCTCTATTGCCAGGCAGGGTGCTATGTCCCGAAGATAACAAAGATAAATGTGTGGTCCTTGTTCTCATAGAGTCATGGGACCTGGCTTCTAGGTGGGTAAAGAGGCAAGGAGTTACGATACAATGTAACAGATACCATAACATAGAAAGAGCTATTCTTATGGCACATAATGAAGCAAGTAGGTACTAAACTAACAAACAAGAGGATCCTCAGGGAGCACCTATGCTTTTTATTATATTAATTCATACCGCAGTCAGGTTTAAGCTAATGTGATGTTTGAGATTTCAGGAGCTAAATAAACTTTCCTCCCCTACAGTTTTGACACATGATGAACTCTAGCACGGGCCTGTGTAAGAAGATGAGAAAGTATGACGAGAAATCTGCCACCTGCTGGGGAAATGTGGAACTACTGCTAAGACTTCTGAAAGTTTCATTAAGGATCAGTGACATATTCTTCAATTTAAATTAATTATTTAAAAATACATGTATTTAATGTATTGAATAAGTTTAAGTTATATAAGCAATGGCCATTGAGTATTTAAAACTAGATTGTTCCTCTTTCCTGATTGCTTAAAACAGTGTTTTCACCAGTTAAAGTGATAATTTTGCCAGATAACCACGTAGAAGAACGTATCTGACTAGCTGGTCCTCATGGGGAATTAGCAAACCATCTACATGTTTGGATATTCCAGCTTTATGTGCATCCATATTTCTTCATTCAAAAGAGGCTTTTAAATTAGAGAAATCTATTTTGTGTTTTTTCTTCTGAGAAAGGAGGACTCATGGTTATCTCCGAATAATTTTTTTTTAAAGTAAGCGCATTTACACCTTAACTGTTGTTTTAAAATGGAAGTAGTGTCACACTGTAATTATTTTGTTTATCCTAAACTATATGATGTTTTAATCCTATGCAGTATTTGTATTTTTTTAATGTTTCTAATTTTTATTTTATAAAACGATATTCATGGGCTTATGGGGTATATATGTATTCTTTTTAAAAAAGAACTGGCTAGTTTTATAGAAACTTAGTTAAGAGTGTAAACAGTTTGTTTTCCTGTTTTATATTAATAATAGATGAATAGGAATAGTAAATGTTCAAAAACTATCCAACTATTCTAGAATCATAGGATCTTGGGACTGGAGAAGACCTCAATGTCATTTGGACCCTGTCCCCTGAAGAAGCTGATTGAATAGGGCTGAGGTGAGCGTGGGAAATCATGATTGTCTAAGAAGCTCTCCAGATGACTCCGGTGATAAGTGAGGTTTGAGGAACAGCCCCCCTTACAAGGCCCTGCCAGGTGGACCCTCAAGCCATCTTGGAACCTTCCAGGGCCACATGGAACTGTCTGCCTCTGGAGACTGGCTGGTCCATCTTTGGACAACTCCGTACAGAGTTCCACAGTGAGCCCGAAGCTGTCTACTGGCAGTCTCTACTCTCGCTCCTTTGAGCTCTTCTGAACAAACCTAATCCTTCTCTATTGGATGGCACAGCCCACAGAGTATTTGAAAATAACACTTTGCCCCCAGCAGCTTCGTTCTTCCGAATGAGAGATCACAAGGCCTCTCCCTCTCCCTGTAACCTTCCCTTTGTTACTTGTTTGGGTTTGTCTGTGATAAAATGGAGTGTTCCAGGTGTGGCCTGGAATGGAAGTAGATTGTTCCTGTGGGTTCCAAGGGTCCTAAGGGATGCTGTCAGAGGCTTGAGTGGTAACTTGGCCTGGGGTGAAGACCCCAGTTCCATGGGGTCTCCGGTTCACTCCTCTTTGGAGTCGGGGCTTGGTGAGAGGGTAAGAGTCTCTGTAAGCTTCTAGCTTAGACCAGATGCTCCAGCCCAGCTACCTCAGGTCTGCTGTGGTGCTTCAGGCAGAAGCCCCAGCTGACTGTGAGATGGTACTTCACTAGGTAATGGCACCCGATTTCCACACTTATTACTAACTACCACCTCCAATATGCTAGATTCTGTACTTCACAGAATATAAGCTAAAATTGAAGAATAATGTAGTTTGTAGCTTGTGATTTGAATGGCTAAATTTTACATGTCTCATTTCCAGATGAATGATACCTTATATCTAAAAATCCAGACTTGTAAATATTTCTTTACAGGGAGATTCTTTTATAAAATGGCTAACTTTTACGTCAAGTGCATGTAGAGCGCAGCGCCATACAGAGCTCTGCCCTCCTCGGGGACGCGCTAGGGGAACTGAACCGCAGCCCACCTTGGAGCGCAGGGCAGCCCTCGCAGAGGAGGCCACCAGCTCCGCTGCCCTGAGGGCGCTGGAAGGTAGCCCGAGGCCTCCCACATGCATTCCCGACCCTGAATTCTGGTGTTCAGGTGCAGGCCCTGTAGCAAATTTTAACAAAACTCAAATCCTAGGAGCGAGCAGAGACAAACAGTATTTCCCATTTTGAGAAGTTGCAGTCCACTTCTCCTTCCTCCTTCTCAGAGGAAAGTCAGAACAGAGCATATCTGAGAATTAGGAGGTTTTGAGTTTTAACCATGAAAAGACATTTAAGTTTGGGGTATAAGTTTTGGTATAAGGTAAACCCAGAATATAAGACTGAAGACAGTCCAAAGTCTTCATGCCTCCCAGATGCTTTGGTACAAGTGGTTAGATGTTGGAAGTGCCCATCCTTCGGCTCCAGTTATCCTCAAGTTCAGGGAACAATGAAGCTCCTAGAGGGAGAGAATAGAATACTTCCAGGAAGCACCACAGGCCGTCAGCCTGGGCTTACAGACAAAATCAGGCTTTTCTTTAATAGTAAAAATGTCGTTTGACACAAATGGGAGGCTGCCCAAAGAAACGGCTGCTCCCATGGGTCAGGTCCAGCGCCTGGGAGGCAACCAGACAGACAGCTGCTACCACCCAGGAGAAGACCCAGATGAATAGTGTTCAAGGCAATAGGTATATGTCAAGTCAGACTATCCTTCAGTAACTAAAGCATAGCTAAGAGAATTTTCTTCTCTGAGATACAGCAGCAAAGAAGTTGGTGGCATTTAACTTCCCACTGGAACACGTTAGACTGTTCGTCGAAGGGCTCTGACGTTATGTCTCAGATCCCTGGTTCAGAGATCAAACGAAAAGTGCTAACGGATCCAGGCTCAGTACCACGACGTCTCAGTCACTTCCCAGCCCCTGTCTTGCCCACTTCTGTTCAGCAGACTTAAGGGGGTCCTCCTTCTTCCAAAGAACCAATTGATTTTAAGACCTTACTTTTGGTGTCAAAGTGAGGGAGGTGAGGCACAAAGGTTCAGGACTTTGGTGGTGAGCGTGCAGACAGGCAACTCTCTGATGGCAGCACGTGGTCAGGGGTGCCAGCCCACCCTGTAACCACTCAGAAAATGAGTCGAAGTGTTAGGTAGTGGGACAGCTGTTCCCCATTTTGCTGTTTATTAGCCCAGCTTATCAAACATCAAATTCTATTTTCTGAGAAATTCTAGAGTGAGGTCTCTTTACTTAGAACCTACTGTTAACAGCTTCGTTTACAGACTCCAGATTTGGAGAATCATCTTGTCGCCTACAGTTCATAATTACTTGAATTTAAGTGTATTTCAATCGTGATCCTGCCCAACTATGTAAGGTTTGCATCCTACGTGGTTTCACTTTAAAATCAAAGGTTTTGATTACAGTTGAAGGACGAAAAGGTATTCAAATTCTAAAAGACTGGTTCAAGACCAAAAGATTTGAATGACAAAGGCTCTGGGTAGCCCAGTGTTTAAAATCTGGGGCAAAGTCAGAGGAGTAATTTTGGTACTAGCCTTGTTGAGTACGATGAATTGCGAAGTAAACATAACTGATCATACGGTGGAGTATCTAATCTAGTCCAGAGCACCATGCTCAAACTCCCTCATAAACAAAAGTCAGCAAACCCACCACTGGTGTGTAGGCTTTCCTTTGTTTTCCCACAGTCTGCTTCCACCAGAAAAATGTTTCCAGTTTCGTCCGAAGGCCAATAATCTAGGTCTTCCTAACCTGAACAAATCCAACAAATATCTAAGTACCTACAGTGCGCGAGGCTGTCCTTTGGAAGTTACTAGGCCAGTTTAAGTGGCATTCACTAAATATCCAAATGAAAATGCTGGGCAGGGAAAGTGTCAGGAAGGCGTGAGAAAGTGACATTTAGGTGCAAAGGGAAGTAGGAGGAAGTGCACACCGGGCGCAGACTAGCAAGGGGGTAGTTTTGTTCCTTTTAGGATGAGGAGGAGAGGAGGGGGTGGGGAGGCTGGAGCCGGGTGCACAAGGTGACCTAGGGGAGTTTGTCAAGTACGTGGAGCGCTTTGGTGATCTGACCCTAAAGTGCAGTGAAGGGCTCTCAACATTCATCAGTGTTAATCCAGAATCTCTCCGGGAGTACTTCTATGCCTGCATTGTTTCCTAACAGTTAAATTTATTCATAACATCATTCCTGACTATATCGGGTAAAAGCTCTTGGATAAGGACAAATAGCCTTATTTGGGATCTGATGATGTGATTTTTCTTCATTGCACAGCGTCCGAGACAAAATTCCCCTGGCCTAAGGCCATGTTGTACAGAGCATTCACTGCATGTTGACCTACCAAGAGGAAGAGAAGCTATTTTGCCTGCACTAAAATCTTGCCACTGTAGAATGAGGTCTTTCCACTTTTATGAGGTTTTAGTAACCTGCGGCAACAAAAGCATAAGCACTGCAGGAAATACAACATTGCAACAGGTGGTATGTGTGAAGGAGTATTAATAAAATCCTAAGAAAACTGTAATACAGTGAAGGATTGTTAGAAGAGTTATCCTTTGCTATCTTTAAAGAATCTTCCACAGAGAGAAAAATCACATCCACTTAGGGCACCCAGTCTTAAAAAATCCATTACATAGATAAATACATACATACAAATGAGACACTATTCTTATAGAAATCTCCTGTAAGAGCAGGGAAACATGCAAATAACACAGACTTATATCCACCAAGAAATGCTGCAAGCAGTGGTTTCTCCTTCGTGCTTTTTAACAATGTTCAATTCCAATTTCCTCAGGAAGACCTTGGAACTCCTTCTCCCAGTGGCCCTTCCAAATCCAGCTGCTCGGTCCCTCGTGATATTAGAACTGGAGGAGATGCTTCTCCCAGTAGACTGACCTTAGTGAAGGCTGGAAATGTATTCAAAACAAGACTGCAACCTCGGAGTTGTCACCTGGAGGCCTCCTTGTTAGAAACTGAATCCTAGCGTAAGGCAGTGACAAGATGACTGTGCATCTCATGCTTCTGTTGATCTCCAAGGAAGGACTGACTCGGTGGATAGAGGTTTGCGGAGTTCAGGGTCTCTGGGGTGTGACCTATGTGCCTTAAGATTGGAGTGACTGGATTTCTTGGCGTGAGGGTAGGAAGAGGAGGGGATCAGGGCTTACAACCCCTGAGGGGCTGGCAGACTCGGCTCTCCCCTCCTGTGCGCAGGCAGGCAGCCCTCAGGCCTGTTGCAGGCACGTGCAGTATCTTCAGACGAAGGCTGATTGATGATGTGTTGCTAAGGTAGGTATCATGATTATTAAGAATGTGGAAACTGCTTTCTGGGTAAGTTCTCTACGTATTCTAGCTGTCCTGTAGTTTTAGGACATGCAGAATACACGAAGAAAGCTCCTTTTGTTTGTAGTTAGAGATCTGACTGAGATAAGCCGCAGTGTCCCCACCACCCCTTTCAGAACTTTTAACAGAAATGTGCATGTTATGATATAAAAGGGAAAGTCCTCAGAGCCAACCTAAGTGTTAGATTTTAATGGTACTGAAAGTGAAGAACCGCCACCTGTTAAAGCCTCACTGTCCTAGGACCTTGGGGGGCTGGGTTACGAGACTGTAACATTTCTGCTTTTTGCGCTCTTCCTGCAGCTCATGTCAAGCAGGAGCCCTCTGTCACCTCAGTAGCTGATTACGTGTAAAGCAAAGTTGGAAAACAGACTTCTCCAAAAGACTGAAAGCAAGAAAGTACTCATTTGACCATAAATATTTTTATTAAATGTGAAAATACACGGGCATAAAAATAGTACCTATATTTGTAGACATGTCTGAGACCCATTTCAGTTAATGTTCGGTGGTGTTTTTACTAAGACACTAAATTGAGATGGATTAAGTTACTTCGTCTTGTCTCATTCAAACCAACCACAGTAGGAGTAACGGCCTAACTGATCAGACATCTCCAGTGTTTCCCCTCCCCTGTGCTCTGCTTTCCACTGCACGGAAGAGGTTCAACCCACAGAGGCACGAAACAAAGTCTGTTTACTGTACACAAAGCCACGCAGTGGCTAATTTTACTCTTAAATCATTCAGCAAATGAGATCATTAAACAAAACTAATTATCCCCACCTATTAACATCATTTGCAATTACAGAATAAACTCTGCTACTAACAAAAAAGGAATGATCTGATTTAGAATAAGGATAATTGTTGGTAAATCAGCATTTGCCTTCCTCCTTCCTTTATAAACATGGAAAAGTCAACTACATTCAACGTAGCTGCATGAATTTCTCTAGGTTAACCACTGGTGTGTACTCGATGAAAACTGCACAGGGCCAGTCACCGGTGCCCTGTCCCTCTAAGGAGGCGCAAGCCTGACTGAGGAGACATTTGTAACGAAGCGTCTTGTGCCCTTTTTTCATGGTAAATGTCACATACAACTTCTGACCAATTTCATGCTTTACAGGTGAAAGCTTTCATTTTCCACCATGAATAGAAAATGGTACCAACTTAAAACTGCGATTCTTTTAGCTTTTTTCCTTCATACTTGGTTATCAGTAGTATTTTTCTCTTAAGCTGTGGGTAGTTTTTACATTCCATTATCAGAGTCCCAGAAAGTTCTGTTGTCATACTGATACTTAAACTTTTAATACTGCCTGAAGAGAAAAATGTTTTAAAATTAGTATTGTTATATCCAATTCACATTAGTAAACTATTGAAGTCGTTTTCCAGTTTTCATTTTATCCATGTTAAGAAAGCACAGACTTTCAGAAGTGGGCATTAATTTATCCTCTCTTTTTAGAACTTCTTCAGGTTTATAGGCTGATGTGTTGAATACTTGTTGCTGTGGAAGAATATCCATTTACAGGCCAGCGATACTTCACTTCCGGCGCTCACTGAAAAGGGAGGGAGGAGTTCAACAGGGAACGTAATACAGCCACAGCTGGGCGCCCCGCTCATTTGGCTTTCCCAGAGAGCACCACACCGGTTACCCGGCACCCGCGGGAGCGGTGGCGACCTCCTGCGTCAGGCTGTCAGGACAGACGAGTGTCCCTTCGCACTCCCAGCGCTCTCCTCGGTCACTCTGAAAGAAGCGTGGAGTGACCACCTTCCCAACCACGCAGATGCCAGAAGACTGCTGATGACCCTCACAGCTGGAACTTCAAGGTCGTTATTTTCTTCATTAATTAGCAAAACAACAGAGCCCAGAGAATTTCTGTTTGTGGCGTTGGCGCTGGGCACCATACTTGCTTCTCCCTCTTCACTGAAAACGAGTAACTCTCTGCACATTTCCACTGCGACGACTAAAGTCCGTCCACGGTAAGGCTTTAGGAACAGGATTTATAGTTATTACAGGGGGAGAAAAAAGTGAAGCAAACAGCCCTCTTGGCGGCGGGGTGACGGGTGCCCAGGACGTGTGGCCCGCCTCCAGCCCTGCGGACTCCTTCCAGCTCCTCTTCGCTGCAGCCTTGCACCCTCTCCTCCGGATAGAACGGCAAGTGGTTTGTTATTTCCCTCCTTCTGATTCTGTGTGAAAACTCTTACTTGTGAAAGTCAGTAGAGGCCATTGCTAGATTTCAGAGTTCACAGTGACATCATATATGAAAGAACCAGATTGAAAAAAAAATTGCTGATGTAACTAATGAAGTAACAAGATTAAAGAATAAACAAAAATGAATTTCCCTTGTAAATTACTTTCACACTGACTTAAATTTTGAGACATTAAAACAAAATGAGAGCTGCAAGCTGTTTGCTAGTTTTCAAAATGCAATCTTAAGTTTATTGGTAAGAAATAAACTTCTAAATAGATGCAGAAAGCACTCACGTGTTTTGTTCATCTCAACTATATGTTTTGTCTCAGTTTAAACAACTTTTTTCCACGCATGTTTCAGGATGACTGTAGAAGAAAACGATTTGTGCTTGGCTGGCTGTTGTGGATATTAGCAGTCAGGACGGTCCCTGCAACTCAAAGAAAATGCTTGATTTCCTGAAAACAATGTATTAAGCCTGTCCCGCTTAAATTGCTTCAGAATGCTCTGAGGCAAAAACAAAAACCTTTCCAGAATGTAATAATTTTTATCTAAAGTAATTCTCTTAGATTTTAAATGCAGCATCATAATTCCATAAATATTTTGTGTTCCTGATTAAAGTAACACTCATTTTTTTTAGGGAAAAAATTATCCAGTACATAAAGAAAGACTGAATAGTTCACTTCTCTTAAGAAGAAGGTGTCCCAAGAAGAGATGCCATCTTGATAGTGGACATACAGCTGGAGCTGACTAGATCTGTAAACCTGTTTTCTGTTGTTTTGTTGTTGTTTTCTGGCAGAGAACATCCAGAGGCATCAAGGTCTGAAAAAGGGGCAGCAGGCCTGCTATTTAATGCCCACCTCAAAACAGTCCCACACGAGCATCCACGGGCCAGGTAGGCCAGGACCTAAGAGATACTGTCGGCTGTATTTACTAAAAGTGGGAAACATGGCGTTCTGTTTGTTTATGTTGACTGAGCGACTTTACATTTCTAAGCCAATCCTGTTACAGGAAATGCTGTTTAACTCACAACTTCAGTTGTTGTTAAAGTACTTCATTCTGCACTACAGCAATATTATTTTAAATACCACTGCTATATTATCTGAACCTATTTTACATATTACTTTTTCGTTTGTTGTGTTTCATATTAAAAGGGCCAGTAGGATTTACAATTAATTCTATTTCAGTGATTTTCAGTATTCCCCTGCAGGTACTGAACAAAAAAACACACATGCTTAACATCGGTCCAAATCTAACCCTGGCTCCAGTGACTATCATTCGGTAGCAGGTTTTCTAGAAGACCGGCTGTGCCCACCTTCCATGACAGCCACATTCATGCTCATAGAGAGATGGGAACGCATGTGGAAATTTAACACATTTACAAATGACTGGACTGACCAGAATCTAAGCAAAGTTGTCCCTAAGAACATACAGCTCAGAATGGTCATTCCTCTGGGAGAATCCTGACACCACAGCCCCTCACAAATGCAGGCACTGACAGACACGTAAGCAAGGATGTGAAGAAAAGAATTGCCACGTGCTCCAGTGTAGAAAAATACAAACTCTGTGCGCCTGTTTCAGACTCCTTCGTCCCGACGTTCACAGCCCAGACACAGAACCGAACCGTTCCCCTGCCTCCCGGCCCTCACAAACCCATCAGCCTCAGGTCTAAACGGATAAGAACAGATATTTCCTATGAAAACAACTCTTTGGTCATGGACAAACCGAAAGACTGAAATTTTTTTTTCATTAAGATCCTGGAACAAGGTTTTTTGTGTTTAATCTTTAAAAAATGAAGAGCAGAAAAACAGCTGGTTTAATTGAAGTGGAATTTAAATCTAAAAGGTCCGCCTGAGCTGAAGGGATTGAACCCTTGCCATGAGTTCCAGCTTCTGTGGAAAGGGTTGCCGCCCCCTCCTTGTTGGCTTTCTGCATCCAGGGGATCTTCTCCGTCGTCAAACTTCTTCCTCATCTCTGTAAAAGAAAGCAGCGAGCTAAGAGCCAGGCGCTGCCAGAGGTGTGGGCTGAGGCGGGGTCTGAGGACCACACCTCTCGGTTATCGAGACAACCGTGACCGACTGATGCTCAAATCCAGCCTCCCTCTCCCACCCAGATCACAGGTTTCAGGAGAAACCAGTCATGGAGAAGGCGGTGAGGTTCAGGGTTGAAAATGGATATTCATGCAAGTTCAGACGCCCTAAATCTTCTCTCCTCACAAGAAGCTACCCAAGGAAATTCTTCTCTGGGAAAGCCGAGAAGTTGCAGGGAATGAGACCTCACTCAAAGTCACGCACGCTCTTCTGATCAAACGGCCGTGTTCACCGTCCTCACCCCAAGCATCAAGTCAGCCAGGCGAACCTCGTCAACCCATGAAGCGTCTGGGGCCTCACTATTAAATCTAAACAGAAGGAAGGCTCCCCAGACCTGAGGGAGGGAGGCGCCCTATCGTACAGGCCAGGAGGCCGCCTCCACTGCTGTGCCTGTCAGTCCAGAGCGAAGCCCGTGATGAGACAGAGGCCCGTGCAGACACGGGGGAGACAGGAACCCTGCGGGCAGCAGACGGGCAAGCTAATATCCTCATAGGAACAGCTGCCATCTTTACAGTAAGGACGGGGGCTGAGAAGAAGGCACAGAGGACAGAGAAGAACTCCTAGTGACCAAGGGTGCGGCTCTCTCCTCGATGCACGCGGCTCTGCCCGCAGGCCCCCTGCTCCCCTCGGGGCTCAGCTCCAGAGCGCCTCACCTGCCCGCTGCGCACGCTGAGGACAGAGCCATTCACGGGCATCGACATGTGCAGAATGAAAGAACAAACAGCGTGTATCCTCCTGTACTCGTTAAGTAACTCCTCCCTCTCCCACTGGATTATAAGTTACTTGAGAACAAACATCATTTACTTTCAATTCCATAGCATAAGTAGTTCAGAAACTTGTCAAATGGGCATAAAATGTGATTTCCTTCTATTTTGTTAAATTTGTCTAGCTCAAGTCATAGTTTCTGCTCCCACTGACATGGAAAGCCACAAAAAAGCAGTAGGTAGTAGCTTAACATGAAATTCCCTCTGGAAATGTCAAAGCACTGCTCGGTATTATCTAAATTCTTAAACCGTCTCCCTCATTTTCCAGGTCATTTTAGCTTATGGTGAAATAACATTTATATCAACCAGTAAATCGAATGACCATTAGAGCTCGAGCACGATTCCTGGGGAGCCACTCTCAGAGGGGGGGCGGGCCCTGGGCCGGGGATCTGCCCCTGTCCCACCACCGCACATTCCTGCCTGGCGGTCCATATCCTAATCAAGCTCCTGTAAGTCTGGTATAAAAATTCACATTGATCTGTGAAGCTGGAAGGAAAAAACCTAAGAGGATCCCTCTTGTTGTACTTGCATTATCATTGGTGAAAAAACCTGAGGCCCAAAAAAGTTCTAGGAACTTATTCAAAGAGAGATAAGAGTCACCCTCAGGCCTTCTGATTCCACACTTGGTGGCGTTTCCACTGCACTGTGCACATGAGGGTCCCTAGAGTCTGACAAGGGTAGACATGAAAATGGGCTTCAGGGACCATCACCAGCTCCCGAGGTCAGCCCCAG